GGCCCAACTGCCTGTGCCCAGGGCCTCGTCTGCCTGGAGATGGGCCCGTGGTACTCTCAGTGCCGCATCGGTTAAGCTGAAACGCGGCTGCGCCACACGCGAGGTTTCCTTTCGATTCCTAGAGTAACATATTTGACTGGTGTATTTTGGAAAGTGTAGTATATAGTGTCAAGTATGTATTGAATATGAAATACTATGCTCCCTTTACGCGTTGCAACGAGTAGCGGGGAGTGTGGACGGTGTATTTGAAGTTTGTATTTACTTGGTGAAAGTGGACGTGCTGTCAGACCTGATGTTTTGGTTCCTGTACCCATACCACTGACGTAATGAAATCACTTGGCGATGATAAATCAACAAGATGACCCGTGGAGTAAATATACTTGCGTTGATTTATTTTCAATAGAGAAGTTGGCAACGTGGTGCTTTCAGCCGACATTTGCGCTCGCATGACATTCGAATCGGGATTAGGAAGCTCGTTGTCGGTGCATAAAGCCGCATCCTGCTTACGAAATCCGAGGCGTGGTACTCGAGGCCCCACTTGGCTTCACACATGCCATTGGGGCATGACCAGGGACCCTGGCATCGGGCGATTTACTCCGCCATCGTGTCTATTGAGATTTACAAAAAAAATTAAAAATTGCAACACCGGGTAATATTCGCTGGTCGTCACTGAACCAACTGCTAGTCCGGCGCTCTCTGCAGGGTCATAATGGTTTCCCTGATGCTGTCAAGTGCTTCTGGTTCATATTTGACCCTTGGAAGCAGGCTGCTATAAGTGCAGCCGGTGTAGGTTCTGTTTATGATGGCGTTGGATATGGTTGGAATTGCACATGGGCATTTGCCTTCGTGCGAGTATCCTCAGTTGCAGACGGTGCTACTCGCATGTTCGCGTGGTCCTCAGGGTTAGATCTAAGGTTACCCTTCCTAGTCTGCTTATTAACTCTGTGGTATATACTCAAATCCTATTTATGATCCGGACCAACAATAAGATCGTCTTCTTTATGGGATTCCTCTTGTGAGGTTTCCTTTGTTTGGTCTGGTTCTTTGGTTTCTTAGAGGAGGTTGATTAACTCCTCATAATTTAGCTCACAGATATCATCTTTTAATTATTTAAGATCTCCATGGAAATACTCATCTTCGTTAAATATTACATCTCCCGTCGAGATAACTTTACCAAGCCATGGGTTCCAGATCCGGTAGATGTTGGTTAACTGGTAACCTACGAGGTAGCCAATCCGGGCTCTTGGATCGAGTTTCTGTCGGCGCTTTCTCTTGGCTATTGCATCTCTTGTCATCGCAACGGCTTTACAGCCGTATACACGGAGATGTCGTAGATCTCGCTTGTACAATTGGTCGGCAACGCCGTCGCGATTCGCGAGGAATGTGAAGAAACGACGGTATAGTAATTGCCATCGAAGGATATATTTTGGCGTTTAATTATATAAGTAGACAGCCGCCTTAGAAATGTCCACCTGTAGGTAATTAGGTAATCCGGCCCTAATTCTCATTGCGCGCGCTTTTATCTCTAGTATAACCCCCCGAGCGTTCAGAACCTCTGTTCTTTGCCGGAGTGTATTTCGCTGAGGGCTCGATCAGAAGGAATAGAGATTCCAGCCAGGAGCACAGTTGATGTCTCTTTTCATAGATCTTGTTATCGCATTCAACTACGCGAGGCTTGATTTGATAGTATTATTTGAGAATGCCGAATAAGATTTTAAGCGCTGTCCTTATTGTGTCCGCTTTGCGGCAGTTAGGTAGAGACCCCAGACGTAGCCAGACCAACGATCTGTGACGAACACTACGGAGTGTTGTCCTTCGTGGTCCTCCTCGAGATCGTGAAAGTCTATAGCTAATCGTAGTCCTGGGGCGTTTTCTGTATCTCTTACCTTGAGACCGATTTGTCGTTTTGCCTTGGATACACTATATTGATTATATTCCACTTTGGTTAGACCTTTAATCTCAGTTCCTGTTGAGCAGTTGACAACATGTTCGAGTGCTTTCGGACCAGGATGTCCAAGTCCAAGTCGAAGGTGCTATTTCCTTGCGTCTGCGCTGGATGCTTGTCTTCCAGTCCATGAATTAAATGTATTTCGTCCGGTAAAGAATAACTGGCGAGATGTTTTGTTTGGGATATGCTCTAGCACAAACTGGTTGTGTCGATTGAGGACTTTGCATACGATCTTTCCGTTGTATGCTCGGAATCAATTATAGTTCAGCCGGTTATCCCACTAGTATCTATGATGCCGTAATTGGCGGAGAGAAACCAGGTTCACTGTAAAATTCTCGCAGAGCGCGATATTATGTAGTCTCAGAATGTCAAAGCCTCTCTGTCCTTGGACCCTGATGTCTTACCTCGCCATATGCTTAGATAGGGGCAAGATGGCCTCCAGCAGTAACACAGTCCCCTGGTAATGCTGTACGGAAGTTGTTAAATCGACTGATCTCGTTGAAGATGTGCATAGTCGATGCAGAGTCCAAGAGGGCTGAATTTTTCAGAGGGTACTGCGTGATGGCAAACGCGGTATGGTGTGCACGACTGGTGAAGACAGCAGCTGCAGTGTTACACGGAAATGGCTGGTTACACAAGGGCTACGGTCACGGGATTAGGGCAGAAGGTCCTTACCGACTTCTTGTATAAATAGACATTTTTGGTCCCTCAAGGCCTTAAGGAAAACCAAGGACCTTTAATACCAAAGACTGTTATTAGATGAATTGAGTAATTGCTCCAAGCCAGGCCCTTGTCACATGCAGTGGCTGCACTGTATCCGCCAATACGCCGTACTAGTCACTCCTGATGCGCATGATCTTCATCCTTCTTGGATTTTAGTTGACGCCTGATTTCTTCTACATGGGCCTTATCGTTGGCAAGTCGATGCTCAATCCCTGCTTTAATAGTTTAGTTTCCTTGGAAATATTTTGGGGTAATATTCTTGTTCACATAGAAACACCTGGTAGTATCACGAGTTCTGCTGCCGCAGGCATAACACCCCCCTGTGTCTCGGTTATCGCTGTCTTCGCGCTTCTGTTTGTTAGACTCAGCCTCTTTTTCTTTGGCATTTTTTGCTTTCCTTTTCCGTCCTTTGCGTTATGGGCTGTGGTTATAGCCTGTTTAGCGTAAAGAAGTCTGCAATTTTCCGGCCCAGCGCTATATAGGACAACGAAGGACCGAGTTCTAATGTGATGCTACTCTCCACGAGAAGCTAGTAATCTTTAGGTGTAGGAAATACTATTTTACCTTGGCTAAATCTACCTAGCACCTCGGCGTGAGACGGGCGTTTGCCAGCTACTATAAACCCCTCTCTTTTAAGCTCTTCTATCCTTTATTTGTAGGCATCTTTTTGTTTTGCCTGAGTGCCAGCGATAGCTCTTTAACTTATCTTCTGGCCGATAATACGGCTACTCGCGACATTGGAATCTGGAAGACCCGGCAGACCTAGCACTAAAATGCCGTTATCACTTTCCTGCGGCGGGTTAGCGTTAATAGCCCCGAGCAGTTTACCAAGTATAGCGCTGCCCTTTATTATTAACTGTTCGTCCGTGGCTTATCGCCAAAAGATATTTCCTATTAGAGTTTAAATAACCGTTGGGTCTAGCTGATAACTTCCCCGCTATAATAATTTAAATTCCCCCTCTAGGGTATTAATATTATCGTTTTCTTTAGAGCAATATACCTACAGCTAGGTATATTTTCTCGTATCCGCGGCAGACTTAGTTATTAAGGTGCTTAATCTAACAAGTTCTTGGATAGCTAGCCTTAAAGCTAGTTTAATCTGCTTTTAAATACTTAGTACGAGTTTTACGTAATATATAAACTTATCCCACAGCACGAATAGGGCTAGTAGCAATACAGTATTTCTATTGCTATATTAACCGATTTTTTTCCTCCACGCTAGTACTCTACTTACCTCTAAACGTGATATTCAATATCTTCTTCCAAGTCTATCCCAAGGTATCCGGTTATGACCGGCGTAGCCGGTTTATCAGGGTATCAAAGTACCTGCACCCGCCTCTCAGTAAACTCAGTCCGAGTGTTAAACGAAGCCTGAGTTGCCCTGGCGGGGATACTTGTGCCTCTTCGGCGTAAAGATACGAAGGAAACGTACTCCCAAAAGCCCAAATCTACGAGAGCCTCCCCGTGATGTGGACAGGCACCGTACTACGAAAGCTTTAGCCCCAGGTTTATGAACAATACTGACTCCGGCAAAGGGCCCTAATGCATCTCATTACTGGCAAGCTTCTGCATTGCCGGCCTGTGGCGGAAAACCGCCTAGTAGAGGGTGTTGAGATTAATAAATTCCCACTTTGTGTTATCTATAAAGTCTATTTATAATCCTAGTAGATAGTAGCAAACCTCCACGAATAATAATTCTCGATCGCTAAATATCTTGTTCGCCTAATAGTTCAAGAACTATTAAGTGCGATTGTTGCGTACTTACTACCGCCTATCTGCTACAGTGGAGTTCGCCGTACTATCTGCGGCGTCCCCGTTTCCTTCGAGTAATTCCATCCCGCGGGCGCCCAAGAACAACCGTTTCTAGGTTTACGTGCTTAATTTAGTCACGTAATTCGTGATATAATAAATTATTAATAACTATTATGAGCGTGCGTTAAGGAAAGCAATATTGAAGTTATTCCGCAAGCCGATCGCCATGGCTTTATTCTATCGATTAATCCGTGAATAGGACCGTTTAATATGCACAAGCCCGCGCTTTGTGATCTTAGTGCCCGCGTAGCATTTAAGAGACATCTGGAATCGGCATAAGTCTCTTTTCTTCCTCCGTCCTTGAGTCTCCCCTTCGGCAGCCGCCTGACTGTACGAATACTTCACGCACGTGTGGTATTGACACGGCCAGGCACAAAAGTTGGCTTGCTCTTTAAATTCAAGACCTAGAAGTTCCTTGTCGTTTATAAAATCCCACACACAAGCATACAGTGACTTGGACCGCGGCCAGCGGCGGCCGCTCTCCTTATTGATGTCCTATCATCAGTTAACAAACACGTTATTGTGCCCCGGCGTACTTTGCACCTACTTCGTAAAAGACGTCGTCAATGCATTTATAAATCTTGCGCTGATACTCTTCCTCTTCCTCCCTGTAAGCATCCTCGAGCAACGTGGGCAGGTAAGTATTACCGTGGAGCCACATCAGCCCGTGAAGATATAACGCTCCCCATTTATTAGTTTCTATAGTTGCGTAGTACTTGGACACCTTGCCGAACACTGATGGCTCTCCCATTCGAACGTAATGCTTAAGAAACGCCTTAATCTCCCGGTGGAAAAAGATGGCGGAACTAACAGGATCGCTGATTCTAAGATGGTGATATCCGAATCCCTGCCGTATTTTCTCTAGCATTTTCTCCGCGTCTTCCGCAAAGTACTTTTAATCGGCTGCAAGCCGCAGCTTCACTGGGTCGTTTAGGCTATTAGGGTTAATTGTGAACCATATACTTGGCATGCCATATTTCAGGCATAACGACTTGATCTTTCGCCGTATGAGCATCCTGCTCTCGTTCAAAAGAGGATGGCGGTGGCCAAATGCACTGAGTTCTCAAAGCAGGAACTCAACATCCTTGTCAGTGGTGCTTCGAGTTTCTTTATATTCCTCTGTGCTGCCTGAAGCCGACTAATTGTCAGAGTAGACATGATATTCTCCAACTTCAGGAAGAACGACTTGGAAATCCGGCAATCCGTGCACCGCTAATCTGACGATTCTTCGAGCGGAGATCCATATCGAAGACCAAAAAAGGAAAGATAGAATGCGTTGCAAACTGGGCTCCTGTTTATAGCTGGTTAGAGCGTGTCTCTGATATGCTCGGCGCGGCCCATACCTTCAACCAAACCGGAGAGGGCAGAAGCGCGCCCAAGCTGTCGACGTAAAGTCTCGTTATTTCATCTCGCTCCTTCCAGCCACGCCATCGACCTCTAGATTCCGCGGGTCCTCCTTTCCCCCAGGGGAAGAGACACGGGAAGATCTTTTGGGGAAAAGTCGGGTGTAAATGTGTCTTCAAACTTGTCCCCGCGTCGGTTGGCAATGAGTGGTTCCGGATTCCCGTCCAATGTAATGAACTGCTCCGGCTGGGCCGCTGTGTCGATGGCCCTCCCTTCCGAATCTCTCTCCGAAGGTATTGCCCGGCCTAGGTGCTCCAGCCTTTCAAAAGCCGTCGCCTTGGGGGGAATGTCCATTCGCATCATCCCAGATGAGGTGATTTCCTCAATCTCTTCCCGAATCTGCACCTCTGCATCAGCCTCCAGATCGATATCGTTGTCCGTGTCCCAAATCGGGTCATTTCCCGTTGCAGCCTTATCTGTCGCCCACAGGGGGTCCATTATGTCCCTAGTTGGAATGTCTCGACTATCTGACTCTCCTCGTTCTGCTGACGGCACATAGTGCCCCGTCTGGATCGCGTCCTGGGCATTTGGCACGCATTGCTCCATGTCAGCTAGCAGAGCCCTAGGTATCTCATCACTGGTATCTCTATATTGTCCCAGTTTCTGCGTGCTTATCTCGATCTGACGATACAGTGGGTCATGCTCCTTAAGCCATAAAAGCGCCTTTTGTATCCTGAGAGGCCGCACGCGAAGCAAGAAGCTCAGATCCCGTGGAAGCGGCTGTCGTGGCCGGATAAAGCAGACGTGGAGATTCCTTATGTTGGATGATAGGGGCTGAGAGGACGGTGCTTGTAAGGCTTTCTAGGTTGTTGGGGAAAACCGTAATATGACCCCTTCTTCAGCTTCTGATAGTTTTGATTAGTTTTCCTCTCCACGGATATCTTAATTTTTGTTACCTGACCGTAAGGTTATACCAGAGCAATAAGTCTTTTCTGTATTAGACCCAAGTCACGAAGCTCTTGCGGATATCAATGAAGGCACCTAATAGCAAGATTGTTAACAGAGCAGCCCCTTGGCACGCTGCCCGCAACGAGAGACTTGTAACAGCCAGAGCAGAAAGATAAGGTGGCGTGTAAGCTGGCAGGAAAGCACTCTCGGCACTCTAGAGTTCCAGGTGTTTTAACTAAAGACCGAATGGCAGACCCTTCCGGCAAACGCTCTTGCCATGCTTGCCGACGTAAATCCCCCGGCGCCGTCATTTGCCGACAAAGATAGCAATAGTCTGTAGGTAAGCCTATCCGAGAATGTATACTTTGAGCAATATTTAGAATTTATTAGGCAGAGAAAAGGAGAGTAAAAGTGGTATAAGAATTAATATTAACGTGTAGGGCCCGCAATATTATGTGATAGTATATTTCTGAAGCGGCTAATTAGAAGCAGCTAAAAACAGCTAACTAAAAGATAGTATTATAGCTAATTAAAAACCTTAAAAACACGTGACAGGAACTATTTTTCTTGCAGATTCAGATTACGTGTACGCGTGCAGGGGGGTCGGAGTGTAAAAAAAGCTTCGCTTTTAATTAATTCCGCCTTTAGCGCTTACTACTGCCTATCCCAAGTTCCGCTAGCAGCATTGCTGCCGCGCAAATTACCTGAGCACCAGACGTTATTGGCAGTGTCTGCCTTATATAGTCAAGTCGCTTCGTTTATCTTGACACGTAGACGTAGTGCAAGTACTCAGCAACAATAAATTAGGACTAAGTTTAGTTAGGTCTGTGGCCGAAATTTAATACAGCCGTAGGAAGGGACATTAAGAGTATTTCAATGCACACATTCGGAGCCACTAGGGGTTCGATAAGTCACGACAACACTTCCCCCGGAGGATCCAGCGATGCCTTGCGATACGCCGGAAACGCTGCCGGACACGTAGCTAGAACCGCCGCCGCCTCCCGCCGGAATGACATACCAGCCATCTCCGTAATTCCAGTAGACCGAGGCCCCACTACCGCCGGCCTTATAGCCTCCGCCGCCACCACCCGAACCTCCAGCGCCGCTTGAAGTCGTTTGGGGATTGCCTACGCCAGCTCCGCCAGCAGTGCCACTCCCAGGTCTCCCAACATAAGCCGTGGTTGCATATCCGTAGTATTGCCCCCCGACGCCAGGGCTGCTGGCCGAGCCCGGGCTTCCTCCGGCCGCCTTGGAGAAATAATTAGCCATGTTAGCTCCAGTCGGTGTAATAACCCGCGACACTCCTGGAGTCTCGCCGCTGCCGCGGTTACTGTCAGACTGATATGCTTTACTGTTGGGATATGTTCCAACTGTGATAGATCCGCCGCCACCTCCTCCAGCGACGGCGACCAATATACCACCAAGATACAAGGCAGACGCGGCACCGCCTCCACCACCTCCCTGGGAGGCGGTTCCGCCGTTCCCATATGCACTTATTCCGGCCGTGTTTATACCCCCAGCGCTACCGGCAACGGCGGAAATTGTCTGCCCAGGAGACACTGTAATAGACCCAGATATTAATGCACCGTAACCCCCTTGATACCCGATCTGCCCGCCAGCACCACCAGTAATATTGAAGCGCATGGTTTGAGCACATTGAGGGACGGTCCACTGGGTCGAAGTGCCTGTTGAGCCGACAGCCAAAAGCGTGTCCGAAGCCAGGTATTGTGCAACTTGCCCAACTGTAGCAGGGCCGGTGGACATGCTATTAAAATATCCCGTGCAAAAGTAAAGCCATCCAAGACCGCCCTTAACCATCCCTTGAATATACGAGTTCAAAGAGTTGGTGTCCGCTGCGATCCCATCAGCGGTCTTGCCCACAAAGTCATGGATAATTATACCAGCCTGTTTTTCGTAACCAGCCGGAATAGTATTTTTCATAGTCGCCGTGCTTAGATATGACGCATAACTCTCAAAGGAGCCGACAGCGTCGCATATCTTGTAGAAATCAGCAGGGGCCGCTGCGCCAAAGTGGCAGAAAATAGTAATATTACCGCTAAAAGCTTTACGCGCGAAGGAAGTAACGTTTGTTATATACGCCAAGTTGCTTGACTCGTCAATAAAGAGGCCGTGAATTGAGATATTAGACGCCGAGTATGAGGCCCAGTTTGCCCAAGTTGTAATGTTCTTAGTAATTTCATCCATCGGGATACTCGCGTAGGCAGTTCGGATATAGCCAAGCGTCTTGACGTTTGGGAAGGAGTTAAGCTTTGATACACCGGCAATGTAGTTGACATCGTTATTACCAGGCATATAGGTTGAGCCAGGGCCAGTGGCAACGTTAACCACGGCCAGCCATGGAAGACTTGGGTGAGCCGCGATAGCGTTAAACGCAGGCGACCAGTTGGCCGCGCCGTCGTTCCAGGTAATAGACGGATAGAGGTAGAGCGGCAATATGATGCCAGTTGAGGAGACCAGCGCGGCCAGGCTAGTTGTGAGAGCAATAGCGACGCTGGCAGTGAAACGCATGGTAAATAAATGTCTTTAACGAGAAGCCTGGAGTAGATGAATAACAACGGGGAACTGGGGTTAACTGGCTGCAAATAACCAAACCCAGGTTTGTGGCTATTGGATTCTCTTATAGAGAGACGGAGTGGGACATGTTAACATGTGCTATACAAATAAAAAGCCTGTACTTCGTCCCTGAGGCCATGGCGTCTACAGCTAGTATGCCCCATGCGTTGTTTAAGGAGGCATGTCACACTCTTTTATTCATGGCAACTTTCCACAAACCGGGTAATCAATTGGCTGGCTAAGTTATCATTGCAAGCCTCAACGGGAGTTTGACGCTATTCTATGCATACTCACCAGAAACATGCTACACGCGAGCCTAAAAGAACCCACACCCGCGGACATGCATTTCAATATTATTGGCCCACAGTGGATTATCTGAGTTGGAGAGGCTCGCCCGTGGTTAGGGTGTGTTTTAAGTTTTGGTGATTGATGGGGCAGCTGGGGTTCCCGTTTAATCCTTGTCGCAGAAATCTAGGCTTTCGCAAGCGTGATGCCAGGACAAGGTCAGATAATAGGTTTTCTCGCATATTGACTTCGTATGATATGTGTTGCTCTTAGCTGCACAAGCCAATCCCTTTCCGTTAAAAGCTAAAAGGGTAATATTTATTGTACGTGCCTGAAATCTTAATAACGAGCTATCTTCTCGTTGTTGCCTCGTTTTATTAGCTACGTTTTTCTTACAAGTTTGCTATTCTTGCTCTCTTGCCTTCTTTATTGATATACGAATTGCAGACACAACCTAATAGTAAGAATAATACAAATTTATTTTGCAAACCCAAGCGGTCTTACTGTATACTACCACGTGACACGTAAAACTTACAGTAGCGACGAATATCTACCGAATACTATCTACTAAGGTAGAAACGCCTTTAATTCGTTCTTGTATTGTATCTAGTTGTGGCTTGAAGCGCTCTGTTATAGAATAAAAGGTTAGTATATAAGAATCTAGCAGTTTACTCTTTAAAGGAAGAATAAGAATAGCATTCTATTTAATTATATTTAGATTACGACTATCTTTATAACTTTGCGCTATTATATCCCTAACAACCTATTTGATACCGCTAGGTTTATTTGGATCACAAGAGGGGTTACGTAGAAGTGACAGAATAGACTTGGTCTAATTCTAGGCCGCACCGGAATCAGCTTATCTCCATTTGAGATATGGACATGCAACCCAGGTGTACTGTACTATAAGACCGTTACGCCATTCTCCGCCTCAGCCTTGTGTACCCAGCCTACTACTTTCGTTAGAATCCTCACTATACAGTCTTGCGAAATGTTAGTTATACTACTTAGTTCCCCGAGTTGTCGACTGAGGCAATAAGCCTTGTCACGCTTAGTAATAGGAGTTGATTTCCTTAGCAACCTGCGCATGTGAGCGCCACAACTGACGTCGTAGCGCAGACCTCTACTTTGCTGCTAAGCTCGTATTCTTCTAGGGTCATGACTCGCCGGCTACCGATTAGCCCCTCGCAAGGATTACGCACGGACTGCCCTCTTTTAGTCTCCTGCTCCCTGTAATATTGCTTGAACAAGGGTCCCGGATAATATGCCGTAATTTCAGCTCCTGAGGTTGAACATTTGACACCTCGCAGAGAGACTGGAAGCAGCAATGAGATCCCCGGACGAACCGGTTCTCTAGACTCTTGTAGTTCCTGGGTCAGAAGGGACTTAACGATGGGGCTGTTAGCACCGCTCTACCTGTGGCTACAAGAACGCCCCGAGACCACTAGGTTGTCAGCGCACTATCACGACTTGTCTAAGACATTTACATGAGCACAGACTATTAGCGCACTATAAAGCTGTAGTCTAGATAGCTTTCTCTTCCGTCCTCCTTAAGGCACAACTACGTTACCACCAGCACCTTCAATTGGCCCTGTAATAGTTTGTGTCTACTCAAATTAGCGTCTACCGTAACGGGGCCCGTTCTGACTTTTAAGCTAATTACCACTATACACTTACCCCTATTTAAATTACTCTTATAACAGGCTTTATTCCCGCCTAATATTTCTTATACTTTATAAAACGCGTTTTAAATCTTTTAAAATAAAGCTTATTCTTAGATTATCCTATATAGCTAATTATATTATATTATTATATTAGGCTTATAAGTTTTATATATGTTTAAGTATAGTATAGCGCGTTTAAGAATAAGACTAAAAAATACTATTATATATATATAACTTTTTTTTTACCCTTTTTAAAAGGTATTAATTAAACCTATCTAATATTATAAGAAAACTTTATAGCTTATACCTAGTACCCTAGATATACCGGCGGTTATAACCAGAAAAAGTATAATATATTATATTACCCCTCTAAAAGAGGTAAAACTACTAATGTAAATTTACTTAGCAGCTTTAGCCTTATAAGCTTTTTTAGCCTTTTTAGCTTTTTTAATTTTAGCTTTATTAGTTTTATTCGCTTTTTTTATAGCTTTTTTTATAGCTTTTTTTATAGCTAATTTAATAGTTTTTTTAATATTATATTTTAATTTAATATTTTTAAAAGCTTTTTTTTTAAAATTCTAAATATTTTTATAATTTTTTTAATTTTCTTAGAATTAAAATTTTTAACTTTAAAATAAGTATTTTTTATTATAAAAAGCTTTTAATTTATTAATAATTATATTACTTACTTAATTTTATTAATTTTAACCTTTAAAAATTACAATAAATAACTTACTTATTAAGCTTATTTAATAGCTTATTATACTTAATTATCTTATTATTATTATTTATAAATTATTATTATAAATATTAATAAGTACTTATAAAATATATATATATATTAATATTTGGTTGATTCGCTTTATAATCAAATAAAATTACACGTATAATACTAGTATCGTGCAAGCGTAAAATCTAAAACAGTATTCGGCTGTACCAGGCCAAGGACAGTAGGAGACTAGAAATATATATATATATAAAGTTTAATTATATAGTAATAACTAAGGCTATTATAAAATAATTATAGCTAATAAGCTGTAATATAATATTAATTATACAAGGTATTATCTTAATTATTACTTAACTTATTATTATCTTATAAGAAGCCGCTTCTAGGAAGCCGGGCCGTATATCAGTTATATATAGGCTACGCGTGCTAGTTGCTTGTCAATTTCCTTGACGGCTCTGTAGAAGTTGAGATGACCCAACCCGACTACCATTCGTGTAAGTCGCACTTTACCCAGTACGCCCGCGGGGGCTCTGGATGACATGCTCCAAGAGAGCCTATCAATAGACTGTGGGAATCCTCGCATATAGCCTTTGCTACGTTGCCTTGGCGCCCAAGTTCGCACGGCAACATTCGCCCAGCTTCTGGGTGCGAGCCGCTCACCAGAGTTTCAGCACAACACTGACAGCTCAGCATATTAACAGTGGGGGGACTTCCTCTGACAATATCGGGCTAGAGAGAGATGTATAATGAATAGCAACACAATTTGGGTTTACTGTAACAAACTACGCTTCTTTAATTCTATACATATGGCAGCATATGTTTCTGCATGTAGAAAACAAGGTGTGAGGCAGCGTAGGGTCTGGATCGAATATTCCAATCGTGTTCCCGGCGAGCGGCAACTACTTTTTCCAAGGGGACATGAGTCATAGATATCAAAGTCTTTAATGCGCCTCATTCTAACAATATCCTGGAAGCATCCCGTTTCATCTTCTCGATCCTTTTCTCATATCAACTCTAGAAAGAAATACCAATCCACACGTCTAGAACAAAGCGGTCTTGCATAGCTTAATGCCTATGTCGCATAATTTCGGTTACGAGGGTGGCAAGACAGTAATGCTGAAGCCTAGGGGTGATGATAATCGTCCCATGACATGAGGTACTGCCCACCATCATGGGTATATATGCAGGTAAAGCACTCATCCACCTTGTGTAAAAACGAGGAGTTGCAGGCGCAAAAGCTTGATCCCCCCTGCAGCTGCTGGGCATTCGTTTATGCACCCTGATATGGTCTGATGCTGGTGGAGGAACGTCAGAGGTCAAGCTCGAGTTGCCGCTCCAAGTTACGACGCAACAATTGACATCAGGAGCGTAAAAGGCCACGGAATAAACCGTGATGGCCTATGAAGTCTCATCTCGCGTGACTAGTCGAACAAGAGAGGTATTGGCATATATTTATCGTTATGTCACAACAGTAGCTTTAGATTGACCGTCGTGGAGGTTTATTTAGATATGAGGCAGCGTGGGTAACGCAGCAACGCGACATCATGCATAGTGCGTAACGGCTCTCCCTAGGAATAGGAGGCCTATATAGCTTGACTAGCTGTTGTTAAAGCGCATTAAACTATATAGGGTTGCTTTAAGGCAACTGTGGTCTCAATTGAGTGGAGGTGTGTCGTCTTGGGTCATATACTGGTGCGGACACGTGAGAAAACGTTGGTATTGGCCAAAAAGTCTAAAAGAAGCCGGATTAGCCGCCGTCGAAAAGTGCCTTGCTCGCGGCGACATTCTGCTAGGGATCCTATCCTCGCTCCGACACAATAGCTCCAGATGTCCTTAAATTTCAATGTTCCTTTCCGTCCCTATCCCGCCGGCGCCAGCGTCGAGACTCGGCCTTCTTTCCAATCAGAGGGCATACTGTTACGCTACTTGCTCCTACCTATAGCAAAAGTGGAATGCACACTCCAATAGGAGCGGCGTTCAGTCTTGTCATGTCTTTGATTGGTACACTGACAAATATACATGTAACTGTAGGCTGAGTGGTGGGCCAGGTCGCGAGTCATGCCAGACCAAGTTTCCGCGCGCATAGAGAAAGCGTATTTATGCACATATAGTGTTATGTACATATAGTGTTATGCGTCAGCTAGCATTATCATTAAAGCATCACACCAGCACATAGAGACGTATGGTTCCACGTGCGTGCTACGTCCCTTTCTCGGTACGTGATGCATAGTGCAGCTATATGCTATCTATTCTTTACGCATAATACATGACTAGTAGGGAATGAAATGAGATAACCGATTATGCTGTGAAAACAAGTTGACTGTTCTTGTGTGTTACATAGGTATATAAAGATAATCAAGACTCTCCCTCCATGCTGAGCACTTACAAGCAACCAACATCAACATATATTTAGTCTACCAGATACATCTACATACTACAGCCCTTCATCATGATCTTCTCCATGACCCCACAAGTCTTTTCCGTCTTGTGCTTGGCGGTTGTATCTGTCGCCGGCCAGTGGACCGGAAATTACAACACGACACCCGTGGCGGATAACCCGATCGCTCCGCCCGGATGCCAGCTCAAGAGCCTCCAGGGCCTGGACATAACGGCCCAAACGACTGTCTACAAGTGCGTCTGTACTGGCGGCCAGGTCTTTCCTAGCTGCAATTGGTTACTATCGCCTCGGCACCAGCTTTATAACAGTGTCAGGAATGCAACCTGCAAGTGTGCCGCGGCGAAATTGACTGGGGGCGATCCTCGGAGCCTGAATACGTATGGCAGGCTTCCGAATAACATGGGCTTCGACAAGCCTGGGGTGGTGAGGACGTGCATCTGTGATCCTGTGGCTGGTAAGGGAGATGACAGCACTGATAAGTTGGTTGAGACAGCTGGCAGCTGCTGGTGCCCGGCCGATCGATTTCTTTGGCAGACCAGTTTATCAGATGCGAAGGAGAGCCAGGCCGTTCCGGAGATGCCTCCTTCCGTCGGTGAACAGTCAACCGGAAAGCAAACCGAGCCATCAGAGGCGAAGGAGAGCCAGGGCGTTCCGGAGACCCCTTCTTCCGTCGACAAACAGTCGACCACTCAGCAGCCAGGAGAGCAGCAGTCAGCGACCGCATCTATCGATGAGTGCCGTGTCGATCCTTCCGTCGAACCGTCGACCACTCAGCAGCCAGGAGAGAAGCAGCCAGCAGAGAAGCAGCCAGCGACCGGATCTGTCCAGTGGACCGGAAATTACAACACGACAGGCGCGGTGCTCAGCGATAACCCTCCGCGCGGATGCGAGCTCGAGAGCCGCTTGCCCCGGACGATCCTCGCCCCGTGCGTCTGTACTGGCGGCAAGGTCATTGCCAGCTGCAATTGGCAGAGCATTCACGGGAGTTACAACACTGTCAGGGATGCAAACTGCAAGTGTCAACGTGCCCCGGCGGGATCTACATGGCAATATGCTAAAGACCTGGTGGCGTATGGCCTGGACTCGAATGGCCAGAACCTGCCTGGGGCGGTAAGGGGCTGCGGCTGTGATCCCGCTCCCGGCAAGGGGGACAACAAACCTGATGAGTCAGGATTGGTTGTGCCAGGCCCCAACTGCTTGTGCCCGACCCGTAATCTCGAAGAGTACAGCGGGTTATCAGAGGCGGAGGAGAGCCAGCAGCCAGGAGAGCAGCAGGTACCGACCGGATCTTTCCAGCGGTGCCGCGACGATTTAAACAAGGGGAAGCTTCGTCAGAACATCCTCTGCAAGCAGTTGATGGAAGTTAAACCTAAGGAATTGCCCCAACGGATGCAGAGCGTACTTCCAAACTGCAGCATTTCTTCCCTCACTGAAATCTGCAAGGATATTCCCCAAGACTAATTTACGCGGAAAAGGCCCAACAGATGGTGAAACCCATTAAACGGGCTTCACCGATGCGGGACTTATTGGTTACATGGCTTAAATACGTGCCCGGGTAAAAAAGGGCCTAGGTCTAAGCGTTTCTTCCATGTATAAATAGCGGTTATTATTCTTTTCTTTTCTCTTAGTAACTCAAGACCCTTGGGACTCTTGAGATTAGTATTGAATTGAACCCTTTTGCTCTAAGCCTCCTAAGTTGAACCCTTGTCATAACCAAGTTACCTCTGTTACATGCATCTTCTACAACCGACTAATATATTCATCTCCTCGCTGAAGTGGAAAATTGAAACGCCGACACTCTAGACGCCTCAAAAGCATTGGTCGAGCTGGATACGGAACGCCTGGCCAGCCCCGTCGAGGTATACATACAGCACAAGCTCTGCTCTCTCAAAAGTGAGCTAGAATATGATGACAGTATTATCGCCCAGGCATCGAAAATTGTCCGTTCGCGAGCTAATAATAACTTCCTTTGGAGCAAGTCAAGTCTGTTCGTGGGAAGTACGCAGCCCAAGCTCTCGTGTTTCTGTGGAGCTTCTTTGCCGAAAACTAAACCCAAATAACCAGCATTTTGAACGACTTGTTGCGCAAGAGCACGCCCAACAGTCACTCTTCTTTGAGGATGCCATTTACGGAATGGACGCAGATGCCCGCTATCAAACAACTGCTGCTATCACGCCTCCAGAATATAACGCGTCCAATGGCCTGGGCACCGCGTGTCACACGGAAATGGCCGCGGTTACACGAGGGCTACGGTCACGACACCTAGGGCAAAGTCCCTCACCGACTTCTTGTATTGAAAGACCCCTTTGGCCAACGAGGCCTCGCGGAAAACCAAGGACCTTTGATACCAAAGACTGGTATTAGATGAATTGAGTCATTGCTCCAAGCCCAAGCCCTTGTCACACCGCGGCCCTTTCATACCATTCGTACGTACTCTTTCAACAGCACGTCTCGTCCTCGGCAACCCAAAATGCACCCTAGAGACTCAAGGGGTCTATACACAGAGTCCGTCCCGCTGAGTAGGTGTCTCTTGGCAATATCACCGCTTACTTCTGCACAAGACACTAGTCACATGTTGGAATTACACTGACTGTAGATGACCCAACAACCAGACCTGTGCTGGTGGCCTGACCGCGCGACAAGACCGCCGCCAGCAAGCATTCCATCCTTCGTACGATTCCATTCTTGACGAGTGAAAGTAGACGGCCGTCGCCCTGGCCCAGCCGTCCCGAGCAATCGTGCCGTGCGACAGGCCCAAAGGCGGTGCTCCAAAGACCAGCCTCGTCGCCTCTCCCGCACCCATTCAGCAGTCGCATCAACTTATCGTGGATGTGCTCCAACGACACACTCGGGCCCCAGAAGATGCCGCCACTGATCCTCGCCTGCTTCAGCCACGCAATCGCCGTGTCCAGCTTGCCGTTGCTCTCGTAAATCTTGGCAATGTCCTCCATGGTCCAGATGGCGCACTCGTCGTGGAAACGAGGATCCGGATTGGGCCCGAACGCCTCCCCAACAGGCTGTCCTACAATGTCGAAGCACACAGTGAGAGCCGAGACCCAATCGCCTTGGTCCATGTAGATGTGCTCCAGCAGACGGGCGAGTTGTCTCTCCTGGAGCGAGCCCTCGCCGGCCGTTGTGCGAATCTCCCCCAGGGCCAGGGTACACGCGCGCAGGGCACGTTCGTAGTCGCGCCCTCGACGGAGCAGGGCGATGAGTCGCTTTTGGGCGTGCAGCCTCAACGGGTTGGTGGGCTCGAGGCTCGCGCGCAGCCGGTCCACGATGCATTGCAGCGCGGTCAATGTATACTCTTGGCTGTCCATGCCTTGATGCAGCCGCGACAAGACGACCAGGATGGGGCTCTCTCGGGGCAGCTGCTTGAGTGCCAAGGAATGCAAATACGACAGCAGGGCCTTGCGGACGTCGGGATTTGCGGCTGTATTCACGGGCGACAAGGTACTCAGTATCTCGATGAGGGCGGTTGTTGCGCCTTGCGTGAAAATGTCGTTGGAGTGTGCCGCCGCCGCCGTCGAACTCTCGAGTAACCTGCGAGCCTTGGGCAGGTCGGAAATTTTGAAGAAGTATATGCTTTCGCTACAGTCCTTCCAAAAGCGCGGCTGCAGCATCGCCGGCGTCGGGTCAAACCCGCCCGGGGTGTAGTATGTGCGAATGCTGAAAAGAACCAGGTCCAAGTGGGAGTCTGTGAAACCTCCCGGCCCTTGGCTGGGGCAAGGCAATGCGGCTTGTTTTTGGTGAAGCTGTACTTGGGTTCCGCGTCGTTCCACCGAGGCAGGTCTTCTTGTCCGTGATACCGGCGCCGTAGGTGCGTTGGCGAGGGACGACGACGTTGACAATGTCACATTACCAGACGAGGCCGTCTCATGAAATGTCAAGGCAAAGCTCGAGTCACCGGCGTTGTTGATACTTTGCCGTTGTGTCACCGCCATGTGAAGACCCTTCATGTCGGCCGACAATGTAGTCAGCTGCTGGGCCACGTCATGGAATCCTCGGAGCAACATGTCATTGTTCACGGCCGCAAGTGTATTTGTCGTCACCTGTACCTGCAAGCCCACGAGCGAGAGCTCACGCACCACGTTGATGTTGAGGCGATTCAGGCGCTCCAGCTTGTCTGGCAATTCCTTCTCCATTTTCAGCGACACAATCGACTTCCACATTCGAGCCATTCGCCTCCCTTTGGCGACTGACCCTTGACCAAACTCAGCCATTGGCGCGAGAAACGAATTTACATCTTGCGTCGCCTTGTATAGAGCCGTCATGGTTTCAAGGAGCCCGTCTAGGTGCGCTTGGGATTGGATCTGCTTGTACATGTCGGATCCTCCATGCTGCGGCGATAGGCTGGAACAAAGCGACTCGACATGTGATGTAGATGCCTCAACCTCACTGAGCAGCCTTGCAAGCTTGGGGGGGACTTCTCTAAGGCCTCTGACAACTCCAATCGTCTTGATGAGAGCTCCGGCAGCGGCTTCGGCGAACTGGACCGCCGCAGCGACAGCGCCCAGAACTGCCAATGCCTCGGCCATGCTTGCTACTGGAAGTATTCCAGCTCTGAGAGTTCGAAAGGATCCTTGTAGGTGCTGATGGCTTGGGTTTTGATCCAGAAGTCAACCTCGACGGCCGTGGAGGCTCAGTCAGCTCCCGTTGGATTAAAGATGAGTTACAACTTTCAGGCAACATGACACGGCCGGCGATGGCGCCCGTTTAATGATTTAATGTCGGCTCGAGTAGGAATGCACCGCCTCACGGGTGACGGGGAGCTGCGCCTGGTTTGGCGAACAAGTAGGCATGCCCAGCTAGTTGCTGATGCCAGGTGCCATCTTCGTATTCGTCATCCCGTGCATCAAATCATGCAGTGTGATGCGAGGCTTGTTGATGATTGGCAGCCACCAGGCTCCAAGTTGTGCCGCTGGAAACAAGAGAAGGCACGGCAAGCTCGCCCTTGTGATCCGTACAACGCATGCTTACTTTGTCCATTTTGCAGCTGGCCAGCAAGCATTTCCTCATGAGGCTGCAGATGCAGCTCAGCCCAGCTGCATGCCTTGTTGGGCCAAGTAGCAGCATGACGAGGCGCTCTTTTGCTGACATTTCCCACTTGAGCTGAGCTTGCTCTTCTTCATTTATTGCCTCATAGTTTCTCCCATTATTCCCAGCACGCCGCATTCTTTTCAGACTCGACTACGCCTTCATACGAGACTTTGGGGACTTGTCACGTCTGCGAACCCGGCCATGGAGTTGTGCTCGGCATGCAACCGCTTCGTCCAAGACAACTACCGCGAATGCAAGCACCACGGTACTCTGAGGGAGCTCAAAAATTGCGCAGAGACCAAAACGACCCCATCTTGCGCTCTTTGCTGTCTGTTGTGGACCGGCGTGCAAGCGCAGTATTCTGTTTCCGTTTCCATGTCTAATGTTGGCAGCATTCTCGCAAATGATTATACCTTGGATCTGGGCTATACCCGCCAGGGACATCTGCGCTGGATGTACGCCAAGGGAACTGTTATGAGTGATGGAACTCGACCAATTCTGGGGACCCTGGATATAATTTCTGAACAAGGTAGGCATAATACAGCTCTTGTCTACAACCTTGGCGTTTGCAACGACTTTTGTATCCCTTCAACTAATCTAACCATGGTGCTGGATAAGGTATAGAGAGCAGCTTCTCACAAAGAACTATTACAACGGGTCAATGGGATGCCTGGAGCCATCAAACCGCCTTGACCGTCAAAGGGTGGCTGACTGAGTGCCATGATAAACACCCGTGGTGTGGGCGCCCACGGCCCCAAAAAGCGCCAACAAGGCTAGTCGACATTGGCGATCCATCCATTTATAGACTGATTGAAACAAAGGGCGGCCAGAAGGAGCTGTACGTGGCTCTATCATATGTCTGGGGCATCAAGAAGAAGAAAGGTGAAAGCATCCATCAGTTAAAACTTGTCAAGAAAACAAGGAGTGACCTGATGAAGGGGATCAAGCCTTCTCAGATGACGGCTTCACATCGAGAGGGTAGTATGGTGGCTCGGGACCTGGGCTACCGCTACATCTGGATCGATGCTCTTTGCATCATGCAGGATGACATTGCCGACTGGAAGAATGCAGCGGTAGAAGTTCCCGATATATACAATAATGCCGTACTCACCATTACAGCGGGCAGAAGCCATGACAGCCGTGACGGGTTCCTCACAGAGCGCCGGCCGGTCAAGCTCCCACGCAGAACCGAGGGCAGCAGCCGAAATCTCGCGTCAACTTTCGAGGTGAGCCTGGCGAAGAATCGGGCCATTGGTCCGGCAGACGAGCGCGCCTGGTGTTTTCAAGAGGCCCTGCTGAGCAGGCGAAGCCTTATATTCGGCATGGGACAGCTCATCTTCAAGTGTCGGAAGCACAAGGCATTCCAGGATGGCAGTCACGACAAATTCATGTTTGACGAGGCTGCCTTTCACCACGATTGGGTCTTGCCCTTTCCTCCCGAGGCGCCTCGCACAGAAAATGACAGGAGTCCACCCACGCAAAGCCACATCGTACATGGCTGGTACCGCGTTGCGCAAAAGTACGCCATGCGAGACATGTATGACCCCTTCGACTGCTACGCCGCGCTCGCAGGTATTGCCAGACGGTGCGAGTCTGCTCTGGCTAAAGCCAGCAAAGACGGAGCCGCTCCCAGATACCTCTGCGGATTGTGGGAGACGGACACTTTTGCCCACGCTCTCATGTGGCGCAGGTGCCTCGACGCAACACTTGCGCGGGATTGTCGTGTTCTGGAGGAGCCCGGGCCCGAGCAAGACCCGATCAGCAGAGCGCCTTCATGGTCGTGGATGGCCCTCGTAGGCCGAATCACGTTCCATGGCGCGCCGGTGACCACGAGCGGCCCTCCTGCAGCCGCCTTTATTCGAGTTCCCTGCTGCGTCCCTGCCAACGGACGAGGGAGCTGGACCCGGGAGAACTGGGGCATCAGGACGCAGCTCGAGGCGCGAGAAATCCAAACATCTCTGCCGTTGAAGATTGAGGTCAAGGGCCGTCCTCGTCGAGTGCGGGCCACGACGGGTCGTGTCTGCGGCTACATGATGTTTCTCAGGTACGGAGAGATGTTGGCTAACCATAGTACGATTGACCCTGCTGAGTCAGAAAATTTGAGAGAACATGGTGTTGTGCTACAGGACTTGAGGGATCAAGACGACGAAAAGGGCATTGCATTGGCACTGTTTGACCGTGAGCAGGTAGATTATACAGAGCTCTGGGCTTTGCCATTTTTTACATGTTCGATGGGGACTTGGAATGTACCAAGTGAGGGTTTGCTGCTTTGCAAGAACATCACGGGTACTTTTTCTAGAGTAGGCGTGTTTTGGGTCAAGAAGTGCGAAGCATTTATAGACTTGCAAGAACAGGTTCTTTGTATTGAGTAGACGGCTATTAGACCAAGGGTTAGAAACAAACAAGTAGCATATAGATGTTATCAGTATACTTCGACAACATCTTCAATCGTCAAGTCACCTGTAAAAATGTCCAAAGCGAGTCAGGTGCTGACCGTACAACAACATTGAAAGTCTAGTTAGGACTTCTCTAAGGCCTCCGACAACTCTAATCGTCTTAACGAGAACTCTGGCAGCAACTTCAGCGAACTGGACCGCTACAATAACAGCGCTTAGGAGCGCTAATGCCCTGGCCATGCTTACATGTACTACTGGAAGTATTTCAGCCCGAGAGTTTAACACCGGGACGCTTGTAGGTGCTGATGGCTTGGGTTTACCTAGCTAGGTAGATGGTAAGGTGATTTAGTCTCAAGCTGGTTCATACATGTACCCGTTGGCAATTAAGTGGCTCGGGTTTTTTCTCTAAGTGGATGAAAAAAACACTTACATATGTTGCTGACGGGTAGTCCAAAGTTAATATTACCCCGCGTCCATTATAAAAAGACACGGTCAACTGGTTAATTTTTCCATCCAACTCCCACTCCGCCGCTCAAGTCTTCTCCCCTGAATTGTCTCCTCTTCTACCAGACCAAATCCGTGCGACATCATGGCCGAAGCTCCAAGGGATGAAGTGATCGAAAGAGTGATTGCAGTCGCCAAGCTCAGGCGCCAGAGGGAACAAGAACGAGTCGCCTGAGCCCTCCAAGTTCCCCCAGAAGAGTACAGGGAGCTTCCTCCTGTTCCAAAACCTGTATCCGACCATGAGCTGCCCCTAAAACCGAATTACGACTCTACATATGAGCGCTATCGCGGCATTTTTGAAAGCGCATCTACAATGCAACTTGAAATTCCCGTCACGCCCATGGCCGAACCGCTCCAAGGGACGCCCACCATTCCGTGGATTGTTGAAGCACCACTAAACTCGGTCGAAGTTCTGGGGGCGATACTGAAGCCGTCGCATCCCTTCCAGATCCATACCGCCCACCACGTCCAGCGTCGCTTTGATCGAGCACACGGCTCGAAGCCCTTGTATTCCGAATATATCCGTCTCCAAGGTCAGCTGGAGCGGAATCGCGAGGTATCGTTTATTCGTGTGCCTGCATCAGCCGAAAAAATTCTCCGCCACTGGCTTATGGGCTTCTTCAAGCCCGTTGTTCTGAATTACATATCAATTCCTTGGACAACAGGGCGGATCCAGTGCCTAGCACATCCGCGGGCGTTGGTGATGAGTGACAGACCTGTAGCGGGCATCTATACATACGAAATCGATCTGCCTACAAAATTCCGGTAATTGGGATTGTCTACCAGTCCTGTTGATCCTCAGCGGAGCTTACTGAAACGCGGAACGACCCCATTGCCGGAGACTTTATGGGACTGATTTGCAGGACGGCCAGGCAGTACCGCAGCGTTGCCGTACTTTACTTCTGCCTGGAAAATAGATTTGGACAGGAAAAACGCGGATGCTTATCTACAGCGTGAGGGACATCATACAAGTGAGTCACATGTATTTGCTCAGTGCTGTCTACCAACTACTACTCTGAAGGAGGTACTTGAAAGGAACGACCGCATTCGACAAAAGGCACGCAAAGAAATAGAAGCGGAGGCTCGTGGAATCAAGGTTCGTGGAGCAAAGACTCGTGGAACTAACAAGGGCATTTGAAAAGTGGCAAAGCAAACACACTTCAAAGGCACAGTGAAAGCACACCTAGCAAGCTTACGGCCTCACAAATTTAGGGCCAGGCGCAAGGGAATCGTGTTGACTTCGCGACAAGGTAGAGATACAAAAATATATGAACGGGGAGCATTGTTTCCCTCTGTAGTTAAGTGAGATTACAGGCATAATACGAGAATATACAAAAATATATAATATAATGAGAGTACATATAAAATATATCATGTGATATAAGTAGATTTAAAAATATATCATATGATACGAGTATATATAAAAATATATAATGTAATTCCTTTAATAAAAAAGAGACAACATCGAGCCGACAAGGGCAAATTTCAAGTAAAGTGAACGTCACACGTTGAAATTGAGCAGCGGATAGATTCAAGTGCCGAAGTTAGTTGCAGCTTCATTCGCATGGTATTTTGAATGTCTCCCATGTTGTGATATTGCAAGAGGATGGCAGCAACTGATACACTAGCTGGGGTTGATCCCTTTAAACTGTCGTGGCGTTGAGCTTTGGTGGCGCCCAATAAATGCCGAGGATGCCATGACTTGAATACTAGGAATCATGGTCGAGGTTTCAATACCACCTTCACAAGTTGATCGTATGACAGCAGCGCCACTGCGGGTCGGATTGCATCTTCCGCCGCTTAAATTCATTCTGCTCCCCTCGATTCTCCGTGAATCAAAGCAAGACAACATCCCCGACATTTACAGTCGTCATCCTCGGGGAATTGGACTTGACCTTTTCAAAGAATAATGGCTGCCAAACACTCTGCCGACAGCTGCGTCATACTGGAAGCCGGCGTCTTCTCCCTTCTCATTCGGGCCCGGGTAGGAGCTGACACATCTGATCAAGTAAACGATATTAATAGCATCGCACGATCTTACATACTCCTGAAGCCTATTGCTCGTGCCGAACAAGCTGTCAAACAGACGCTCGCCAATAATAATGCAGCAAGGGTCCTGATACTGCCAAAGAAGGCGCTCCCGTCCAAAGGAGAGCGCTTCATGGCGTTTGTCACCAAAGCACATGCATCAGACGATGACGTCAAGGACGAACTCACCACATCGGCGGATTACGAGACAAAAACAGCAGGCATCCATCATACGCCAGCCGCGACAAAGGTCTGCGAGGGCACGTATACACTGTCGTCGGCGGGTGGTCGAACTCATCTGGTTTACGTGATAACGCAGCCAGAGACACTGGGCAAGTTTCTAAGGGAGCATCTCAAGGTCCAAGTCCGAGGATGCTTTTTGATCAGTACCAGAAATCCTGCCTATGAAGGCCCGGCCAATGTACAGCTCCCTGTAGGGCCCGAGTTTCCAGAGGAGTAGGTACAATTGCGTTGGCACTTTTGAGACACGCACTAAAGCTGTACTGGCAGGATATTGAGCGATTTTCGATCCCTGCGCTGGATTCCATCGACTCCGTATCATCTCGACTATACTAATGCCCAGTTTCTGCTTATTGGTGAGAAATCTGTTGTTGAAGAAGACGGCGAGTCTGAGGATGTGGACCACGAGCTCGAGGTCAAAATCGAGGATGTAGATATGGTCTAGTAGGATGCCAATCTAAACCGCAGGGAACTTCACCTTTTGCCTTGATAATTGGGGAATGTGACAGGGCTCAGTGAGGACTTGGAGAAATAGCTCAAATCATCTGATAACAGTCTTTGGCATCAAAGGTCCTGGGTTTTCTCAACGCCTGGATGGACTAAAGAGCTCTGTAAATGCAAGAAGTCGGCGAAGGCCTTCTGCCTAGGTGTAGTGATCGTAGCCCTCGTGTAACCGTGTGACAATACTGGGCAAAAATCTACCGCACTCCTGGCACGGTCAACGGGCAATGGTTGTCACTCTTATTTTCTCCAAAACAAAAAGGAAGTGTTGTGGCCAATATAATTTTCAGTAAAAGATCTACACAGTTATATTCGTATAGTTGGCCCGAGAGCATATAGACAACCCGTGAACACAACATCTCCTACCAAAGTACCCTTGACTCGTTTCCTCAACATCTTTGAGACTTCCCCCCATAGCACTACACAAGTCTCCGTATACACTTCGATTGTTGGAAGAGTAAAACAGATGGATGAAGTAACGAATACTCAAGATATCAAGGAGCTGATGATCTATGTTAAAAGGGTTGGGGCACGGTACCTAGGGTAGCTCGTTGAAGTAAATTGGAATGAAACTTAAAGACTTGATATTCGCACTAAAAGCTCTACTTGGAGAGTAAAACGTAGGCGTCTCTCCATGTTTTGGCGACGGGCAGTCGGTGGTACAAGTCTTTCTGAATGTATGCAATGAGAAACACGACTATATGAGAGATGCAAATGGGATTAATGAGTCTGGAAAGCGATGAATAAGTGACACGGCGAATTGCTGAGCGACGCACGAAGGACCAGACCGGGAGCATGACAATACATCTAATCTATTGACTTTCAACCCGCCTAAGGCGCAACAGATCCTTCATGAGAAGAAAAGTTCTATACCTAGCCCCTGTTTAACATTTATCTTTGCGAACAATGACATTCCAATTCGTCTCGTGGAAAATCTGGCCAGCAATAGAAACTCCGCTAGGATTCCAGCTAAAATATTTACGACAGTGTTTCTCAAGTTCATACACACCATCCGCAATGCTCCCAAATGAATTCAACGTCTTTGGCGTCTTCTCCTATACGCAAAGGCATTAGCAAGAGACTCATCGCTCGGCCAGGGGGGATTCATACATCATTGCACCACCAAATAGCCGCATTATATGAGCAGCTCACTCGACCACAGGCACCGGGTCCCGCGCCGTTGGTCGGTCTTCCCGGAACACGGTAGAGGTAAGCACGTCCCTCGGCAATGGCACCTCCATTGCAATACTCCCAGCGGCCGCCGCAAAAGTATTTCGAGTTTGAGAAGTCGGTGCGCTTGGCGAGTTGGCCGTGTGTCTCATCCGAAGGAGCTTCCACCTTGTCGCCGAGGCCAAAGTCCTTGTCCCAGTTGGGATTGAGAGAGAGGAGCTCCTGGTGGACTTCCTGAATAGTGCCGTTGAGGCGGACTTTGTCGCCGCCGGGGGTTACTTCAACCTCCCACTCGGGGATGAAGACGGGGCGGCTTTCGAAGTCGTCGAGAGCAGCGCTGAAGACCTGGGACGGTTAGTATACGCGCCCTCGATGTCTGGGATGGATGGCGGAGATGCATACCGAGGTGCACAAAGCACTGGCCGCAAGGAATAGCTCGAGGACTCTCATCTTGAACAGTCGGTGCAAGTTGGAAGAGGTGGGTTGGATTAGAATTGTGGGAATGGAAGTGCTTGAGGGACTTTTGTCTAACACGCAGAGGAGGTGCTTTTTATATCTCTCAAACTCGGGGGGATACCCCTCGGCGATGACGAACAAGATGAGGTATATTCAACAAATGCATCATGGAGCCTGACTTCGATGGTCAGCAGCCGACATCCATCCAGCGGGGCGCCCTGCCTACCAGCCTGCATGCGAGTTATCTAGCAAGGATTAAACCATGATGGATAGCCGTTGATGTGGTCAGCACATCCAACGCTGGACAGGACGTGGAAAAGTCTGGAGATGGAAATGCCGACAGCCCCAAAGCGACTGGAAATTTATGAGCATGGGTGACACCTCTTCATACAAGACCAAGGCACATTTCCCCAAGGACGGTACCTTGGTAGATTTGAAAGGGCTCAGCGAGGGATCGTAGCCCTCCTCGGGCCTCATGTAACCGTGTGACGGTAGGGCTGCGAACAATGATGGACTAGACCTCAACCGACCGACACGGCTACCTGAAGCTGTGGGGAAGTCAGCTCATTATAAGCAAAGACCGGCCACATTCTCATCCTGATGCGGCAATTTTTACCTATTCTAGATAATTAGGCGGACCTTGCCAGGGGCCGCAACGTCCTAAGCAGGGGCAAGTCCAAGAGCAGAGTGGGCTATTATTGCTGACAGGAATCCCATGCAGGCAGTCTTATTGCATATTTTATAGCCTACCAGCGTTCCTTATGTATTCAATCCATCATATCTGGAGATGGACAGCCGATGATGCGCCGTGGATCGAGCATGTTCCAAGTCCAGTCGGACGTCGAGACGCTATTCTTTCCTGCCGCCACCTTCCTCGACGCTGGTTTTCTCGTCGTGCGGCTCGTTGGCCAACTTTTCAATATTCGCGTCGTGCATTTCTGGATCTGAGAAACGAGGCACTAGCTATCTACCGATCTTGCCCCGTATTACCGCGAATGAAGCCCAGTAGCAGATAGCCGCTGGCGGATCGTGCCATCACGGTAACATTTGAGCGGGGCATTACTGGCGATTCTGCGCCTGTCGGGTGATAATTTCGGTCGCTGCTCCATTTGTATGTATCATTTTCGTGGTCCTCTGGCTTCATTTTTGGACCTAGGGTTGGTATTGATGTATGTATGTTCAAGGCTACCAGGCAGACGCCAAGGATGCGTAGCCGCGTAGTATTGCATGTCATATGTGATTAGGCCTAGAATTACGCACTGTGTATCGTTTCTTCCCTGGCCTGCGACCTGCTTCTTCGTACAGTATTTTCGTAGTATTGAAAAATTGGACAACTGCTAGGTTCGACCCTTCTCTGGCAGGTCTTGTAGAGTGTGAGCAACATGACCTTTAGACACCCACCTGGCTCGAATTACTATCTCTTTGAACTTGAAGGGGCTCGTGGAGTGCCCATTTCATGGGTCACTAGCCAATCAGAGAATAACAGAAAAACAGTACTTATATTTATATATAACTTAAGTAATATTACTTATACTAGCACTCTTATTAGGTATAAAAAGCTATATTATATCTGATATAAAATATATTCTCTATTTAGTACTAGTTTTATAGCTCACGATGTATGGGGCAATAGGGCACCATTGAGCCCCTCCAAGTTCAAAGAGATAGCTAATAAATCTAAACAGTCCCTCTTACTACCGGGCCCAGTAACAGCAAGTAGTAAATGTAGGCGTGGAGGTTTTGGATGGATAACAGGGCACACCCAAACGGGGGTTAGGGCTCATAGCTTTCGGACAAACTGGCTTCACAAAGTTGGCCAGTTCCAGGATTCTTGGAGTGCTATAGAAGTAGTGTGGTAAGCGCATTAGGCGGCAATTATTCATGAGAATATCAGACTAACATTTTATAGTACTGCTTAGTAGCATAACTTGGTCAAACTATGTTTCCCCTCCTCGCTTTCCATACCAGATTACCACACAGACTATTTATGCATTAAGAACTATTCAGTATTTCGCATACGAAGCACGACTCTACTAACAATCATATGGTGACGCATTAATAAAGACGAGCCCTTCCCTACCGCAGCACCCCACTGAGCGTACGTGAGACAACTCATCTCTCCCGAGTTCAACGTCATGTTGGAGAGATTTCTTGCTCTTTGCAAAAACCAACAGCTGTGGTTTTGCTTTTCTATATCCTTGCAAAAGCCGTTCAAGTTACGAGCAGCCGATGGTTCGGTTAGCCGATTAAAGATTATATTCCATCATCTCATTTACGTAATGCGTAGAACCTAAAATCAAGGCCGGTAATCTCAAGGAAAGGCGCTTCGAGTCTCGGAGGTTACCATAATAGCTCCAAAGTCCGACTTCTAGTTCCAGATCGGGTCCCGGGCCGTTTCTTCCCCATCGCCAGACTCTTTATCCATGCCACTTCTGCAGGCCATTGCACTAGGGATTGAAAATCCAATGCGATACATAGGCTTTTCTGCTTCCTCCCCCACCACACGATTGGCGTTTGTCTCCGGGGCAAGGATGATTGCAGTAGTACTCAAAGTCGGCTCCGGTACGTATGCCGATATCCTGATGAGTATCGGTGCAGTCTAACGTAAAGACAGATTAGCCACGTGCTCCAGGATCCCAATCCTTTGCTACATTCGTGCTTTTTCTTTCTTTTTTGGCTTCCCATTATTTCCTTTACGATTTGAGTCAAAAACTCACAGCAGTTATTATCCTTGTCCAGAGCCATTCCATTTTTGCCGTGCTTGCCAACACAAAAGTCGGCGCAGGAGTTGACCGTCATTCTTGTAGCATCCGCGTATTTTGGGCCAGTGTACTGGGCTTCATCAAATTCGTAACACCAGTCGAACGTCAGTCCAGCCAGGTATCCGGGTGCAGACAGAAATTGCACATCGCCATAGAGACTAAAGGCACTACCACCGCCACAAGATGCCGAGTCGTCTCCGGAGCACTTGTCGGTGCAAACACTGTCGTCTACAAGCTTCGCCCCATGTGAGGGTTGAAAACCGCAAACTGTATTAGAGTGCGATTAGATACAGTTGACATCTGCGAGGGAAATTCTTTTCATGGATTCTTTGTTGTGGTACTTGCAGCATGAGTAGTTATCCAAAGCGGCCAGCGGATGGTCGTTTCCGAAACCATGGTCAGAATCATGATTTCCGTTTTGACATGCTCTTGCGCAGTATGCGGGAGACGCCTTGACCTTTTGAAAGTTCAAAATATTGCATACCAATGGACGTGGAATACGGGGGATGTCATCGGACGGCAAGAAAAGGCATCCTAGGTACGGAGGGGTTTCTGCGAACACGCGGGAAAATAATAGGGACAGCATTAGGGATGGGACTGTGGTACGCATGGCAGTTTCTTGGTTTCAGAGTCTGGCTGTTCTTTGCTGATAAATCATGAAATACAAAATCTCGATGCAGACTTTGCAGGTAGACTCAGGTAGTGTATGGTAGACTCTAGGTACAGTTGGATGAGGTGGATTCCCAGGGACGTCGTGCTAATAGCTCAGAAGATATTACATAAACAGGAGACTTTACGCTATACTTGATGATAGTAGTCAACAGGATATAAAATACAAGAGAATATCCATGCTTCCGATCAAAGGACACGTACGTCCGCAGCAACCGAATGCATCAAGCCCATTTAATAGAATCTAGCTTCTGTTCGGCTGAGAATCATGGCACCTCGCAGAATTTGGCACTTTGAAAATGCAAGCACGGCTCGACTCCGGGCTGTCGTGGCCACCGAGACGATTCGTCATATGCGCTCTGCAGCTAATCGGGTAATATCCAGCCATGGCCTGATGGAAAGGACGCAAGGCCCGCCGCGTTGTATCTTGGCTGCCGGGTCGTCAGGACGGTGTGACACGAACACCACGGTCGTTGTATTGGAGTCGGCGTCGAGGGCTGCTACAGAGTCATTCATATTCATGTCTCTGTTCATGAAGCAAGCTATAGGCGTGTCGCGCATCATTCACAGTCTTCTTCGAGAGGACAATTCCAATGTCTGAACCAGACACTAGGCTTAACTGACGCAAGCCAGTTGCTGTTCTGCTGAAGATATGGACACCTACGCAAGCATGCTTCAACATGACCTGTCAAGATGACCGAAATGATACGTCATTCGTGACGAACTTAGCTCCGCCTGACCTGTCTTCCCTAGGATGACTACTCTCCGTACAATGAGCTTTGTTGGTCGTTGCGTATGCAAGAAGTAGGGAAAGTGGCCAGGGAACAAGAGCATTCATTAGTAAACAGACATTCCTCGTTTATACGATGGTACCCGCACGATGAGCACTCAAGGCTACGGACACCGCCACAGTGCATACTCGGCGAATACATCCCACTCAGTTTCAAATGGTCTCATGACTTTCTCGGCCCATCCATCACTACGCCACTCATGTTGGTACTCAACCCGTACAGCAGCTTACAGTACTCCCAGTACTCTGGGTACCAGCCAGCTTGCTCCCAATCAATAATACCTGCAATTCGTCGAGGACCAGGTCCGTCAGATATAATAATGTTCCCAAGAGTAAGGTCCCCATGAGTGAAATATATTTCCCCCGTGTCGGGCAGATATTCTCGATATGGGCCTGTCACGCCGTTGGGCCCAGGCCTTTGACGAGTCGCAGCAGCAAGCAACCAGTTGTTGAATGACTTTATAGTCTGAAATGGACCCTCTTCGTAATCAAGCTTAAAGAACTTATCTTGCACAGTTCCTCCGTTGATGGACGCTAAATCGTGGTCAGCGCGCGCCATGTAGAAAAATGTTTGGGGGTATATACCAATAGAGCGACTTGAAGAGCCTTGGCCGAGTCGTCTTAATTCTTTAACAACTCGGCTCAAGTCGCCACATATCAATGTTTTGTCCTCGTTGGTGAGCGTTGGCCACGCTTCTCGCAATGTTTGCCCCAGCATCAGGCTCATGTAGATGAAGTTGTCGTCGCCGTACTTTCTCCATCCAAACACCTCAGGCACAGGTACCTCATTATCTGCGAAGACCTGTCTGATGGCTCTCATGGTTTGTGCTTCCTCCAGCCGTAGATAGTCGGAGCCACCAATCTTAACAGCGAGATTCAGGTGTTCCAGCTTCACGACGCAAGCTCCTTGGTCACCAAATTGTTGGATGATGGATGCAGGCGATGGCAGCTGTAACGAGGGATCCCCCGATCGGAAAAATGAGGTGTCGCGAAAATCCATCTCAGCCTGTGCGATGTCAGGCAAAGAGGCGATATCGATGCGTAACTCATCTGCTCGTTTTGCCGCCATGGCTGAGGGTTAAGTGTAATGAGGAAGTTTGTGGAAACATTGAAGGAACAGAAATCAGAGCCTCAATGCCACGGCCCGCCAATCAGCGTTGTCTAGGCCATGTTTGCGCGCGACTGCGCAGGACATGCATGTTGTTCCCTGAATCTTTCCAATCAAATGTTTATATTTGGTCCATGTCAAGACCAACACCAGTTTCAAGGGCGCTTTCGGGGCGACCAGCCCCATTTCTAAAGCACCAGCCTGCGATAGGTTCGAGCTTTACTTACAGTCGCTTACACGAGGAATCTGATTCGCTATTCTAATTGTGCACACTGCCGGAGTCATGGCCATGTTGATTGATGGGCGGCAACACCGCTTCCGGCTTTATTTAAATGGCACGGCAAGTTCTTCAACTCCGTTTCTCAAGCCGTATCTCTTATTCAACGAAAGTTATATAGTTGCCATCTTCATCGCTTGCCTATTCTTGAGACAGCAACCGTCGTACGCTGTATACATGGCTTATCGTTCCGTGTATCTGGACAAGTATCGTGGCTCTCCAAGCCAACGCGCCCATTTCGCCATTTTCATTCCAAATTCTACCAACGACAACCCGGATCTGGACAAAGAATGGAAATCAAAACCATGCATGGGCACCGTCATCCACGTCGTGGGTGAACCGCTGAGGAATGGCTATACGCTCGAGTTCAAACGGAACGAGTGTAGTACTTCTCCCGACATAGATGAACTCGTGTTCCTCGGAACCGTTGACTCAACTCACGTCCATGACCCCCCAAACCCAGATTTTGTGAGGGAGACTCATCCACGACAAACACTCGAACAGGAAATAGCCACGATAGCCCATCCTCCCAGAGGCCAGGATATTCGAGCTCCCATCGATGGTGTAAGTGTTGCAGCTGAGTAAGGCGCGCCGAGCATTGTTAACAATATCCTAGGTTCACACGAAGCGGTGCCAAGAATGGACCATGGAATGTCTCTCTCGACTGGAGGAGCAGCGCCTTATCAGCTCTGGCGCTGTCGACATCGCGCAGAGCCATCGAGACGCGCCGAATCATGGTATATTTGGGCAGTCGGGGTCTTCCAAGACCCCAGGTAGCGCTGCACAGTAAAGCAATCCGCCAAGCCAAGAAGCGCAAGAGCCAGGTATTGAATGGGTATGGGATGGCGTACTGGGATGGCCGATGGGTCAGCGATGGCAGACTGGGCGAGATACGCAAACTAGCCTTCCGCCCTGTTCCGATGCAAGGACATGGGCTCGGACGGAAAACTTGCATCCTCTCTGTGCCGCACATGGAAGGGGACGACCTGGACGTGACCATGATTATCAGTAGGGCTGATTGGGTTAACTGGTCGACCGGTACATATACGACGCTCTCTGGCATTCTTCCAGCCGGACAATAGCCCTAGCTGTACCAAAAGATGACGTGGCATTCAAACCCATGAGTACATGGACTACTTTGGTATATCGATGGCGCGTGAAACCCGTTGCATATAGCCTGCTGACAAGTAATGCAGCCTCCAATGTCTTTGGTATTAAAGGTCCTTGGTTTTCCTCAAGGCCTTGAGGGACTAAAGGCCTTTATAAATACAAGAAGTCGGTGACGGACTTTGCCCTAGGTCCCGTGACCGAAGCCCTAGTGTAACCTTCGACATTTCCGTGTGACAGGTGATGGTAAGTTTATGAAGATCTTTGGTGTTCATTTTGGTTCGGTCGAGTCGTGATATCCCTTAGTCGAGAGACGGCTGGACTCTAGGGATTCTGGCCGAGAAACCCCGAGACAGAGCACCAGACCGTTACAAAGTCGTAAACGCAATTACTAGAGAGGCCGCTGTAGAGTCGTTACGGGGAGTTGAGGGGTTTATAACCCGATTGTTTGTTGGGCTTGGATTCAATGACTCAACCATGCAGTTGGGGGCAAAAGAGATTTCACTAGATCAGGGTCAGGTACCCGGACATTGCCTTCCATGTAATGTACCATAGCATATTATTACTGTGTACTTCTTGATGGGCAAGTATATTCTGCCAGACTCTATGCAAAATCAATTTGACAGGTCATTCCCCCCAAGCAATTCTCACGCCATGTCACCGTGCTTGAACTAAACTACGTAGAGAGAAAATACAGTCTCCTAACATCAGGATTCAAGGCAGTAGAGTCAATGATTCTAAGATGGAGAATAACGAACCCAAGAGCCAAGTATACAAGAGTGCGGAGTACAACAAAAAGCATGGGATGGTTCTACCAATCAGCGCAACATAGCCATACTTAAATTATAATGATGGATAAAATGTTTCCAGTACCTGTCCCTGAATGTACTCAAGAGCACAAGAGCTGCGTCGAATGGTCTTCTTGCTAAGCTTACATGCCGCTTGATTACTTTTGTCGCATGAAGAGTGTGTTGCAAGATACCCGGCATTGATACTAGCCAGCATACTCAGGAAGCATATGAGGATGCCAAAAACAGCCCACGGACAGCGTGGCGGCTTACATACATGAACCAATTGGCCAATTTGAGGAGGTAACACAAGGTGTTGTACTCCAACATGCACCACCTGCAGGCAAGTGGTGGGCCAACATGCAGCTTTTGGCAAAGCAAGCATCGCGAAAATGCACCCTGCCGCAACCACATGCGTAGTAAGCTACGCAGGTACACTCACACAGATGCCGTCACCGCCGACGCATATAGCCAGCACATCAGTCTTTCTTCCTAATCTTGGGAAAACTCAGCCACACCACCGTCACAACCACAATCAATGCCAGCACAATCGGCTGCAAAACCTGGACACCAGCCGTACTCGCCACCGCACCAATCATAAACGGAAACACGGTACCGCCCGTGCCTCCCAGCGCCATGGCAAACCCAATCGCACTTACATGAATCCTCTTGGGAAGGAGTTTCGCCGTGACCATGACCGCCCCCGGGAACATGGGTCCCAAAAAGAAGCCCAGAAAGGCAATGGCCACGGCAGACACCACAAACTGCGGCACCAGCCAGAACAACAGCTCCAGCGCAATGCAGATGGCGAGATACACCGTCAGACAGGTCCGTTCGCCATACCGCTCCGTTGCGAACCCGAGTGCGGCACGCCCGAGAGTCATGCCAGCCCAGAAGCCGGAGCCTGATATCCCCGATGCGTAGGGCGTCGCGTGGCGCACCTTGAGCATGAACGTCACGACCCAGCCTCCCAGGCCGACTAGTTGCACCGATTAGTCCCAAGTAGAACCATGTTCGCCAGGTCGGCAACTTACCCTCTACCCCCATGTACAAGAAGAAAAAGGTAGCACATAACCACGTAACTTTGGACTTGGCCGCCTCTCTTGTCCCGGCACCAGATCCCTCATTGTCACTTGCATGTTCGGCCCTGTATACTGAGCCGGGCTGGTCCCAAAACGCAGCGGCCAAGCCACCAAGCTCCAACGCGGCTGTCCCAATCTATCACCATTAGCTTCGCCGCCTATCGCTGGCGGAATTTCATTGTCTCACCATGACATAGTAATAGTTGTACCACGGCAGGCCGGCCTTGACAACCATGCTCGTTGCAATGAGCGGTGCAAACAAGGCGCCGAGCGAATAACACGAATGCAAGACACCCTGAATGGCGTTCGCCTTGTCCATGGCGCCGAGCCACGCGCAAAAGCATGCGTCCGTGAGACCATTACCGAAGCCGCTTATCGAATTCGCCACAACGAGCGCCGGGTACGGTGGGTGCGATGTGAGAACAGCGTACGTCACGATGTGACACAGCGGCGCCATGATGCTGACGCCGCGCCGGCCCAGGGCGACGTGGATGCGCGCATTAGTAAATGCCGCGAGAGAGTAGCCTACAAAGGGCGTGAGAAAGATGAGAGATACCACGGTGTAGTTCAAGTTGTAGTAGTCTTCGAGCTACCAGCCGTCAGTGTCATGTCTTGACGTCTTGGTGTGAGAAGAGACGTACATAGGGGATCAGCGCCTAGAGTTTTGTCAGTATCATCTTTTACCACGCCATGAGGGACATGTACATACACCGACCGCGCCGTCATTCATCCCCGCAATAACAAAGGACAGACACGCAAAGCCCAACTTGAACACATTCGACCGCGGATAGTTCCATCTCTCCACCTGGCCCTGGGCATCGGCAGGCGGTTCACTGTCATCGCTGGTGGTCCCGCTGGTGGTTCCTAGCTTTGCTTCGGCGGTAGCCCGGATAGTGTCGGTGTCTTTCAGCTGGGCATCTATGCCGCGGCCACAGGAAGTGCGAGACGAAAAGCGCGTTAGTTCAATGGCATCATAGGGAGGAGAACAGATTTGCTGCGTAGAAGCGATGGTTTGAGACATGCTGCTGTGTCGATGCCGTAATGCGATAGTGACACTGGCATGCGGCCGTTGGGTCTACGATATACATGTGCAAAGCACCTTGCAATTATGTGTCCTATCTGAGAGTGAGAATGACACCTGAAGGAGTGAAGACGAAACAAGTAGATGAAAAGTGCTGCCACGCATCGACGATAGGGATTTCGGTATGGTATCCCGCATAACCGATCGACGCCACCGATCCCGGATGTTACCCCGCAACGGCCCGGGACCAAACATCTCCATGAAGCAATGATGGTCGTGTGGGTAGACTTGTCGGATATGGATATCACCTAGAATCGAAACAAAGTGGTGTTATACCATTTAGTCGACTGTCGATCATGACGTGGAAGATCCACCTGACAGTGAGTCTGGTTGATGGCTCTTCATCTCCAAGTCCTTCATATACACAAGTTGTGCTGCATCGTGCTCAGGATCCGTCTCACCATACTCGATACTAAACGTTTTGTGGAAGGTGATGTGTTTCGATAGAGGCTCTCGCCCGTTTTGTGATCTTTCGACGTGCGAGACCGACGTCGTTCCCATCGGCCGGCTACCCCGTCTTGTTGGCGATTTGTATCCATTTTTTGTTCCATGTTTAGCGTAGAACCGCTGGGATGTGTCAAGTATCCGAGGAAATAGTCGAACTAGGACTAAACGGAACGTGGGTAGGCAGGCACAGATAACGGCGACGTTGATCTCAACAACTGACCAAATGCCGACATTGAAAAAGTCCCACGTGGGGTTGGTAGAATCGGATCCAAACTTGACCAGTGATTTGAGGCGCAAGATGCTCACTATGGTAACACTGTAGACAGCCATTGTTAGCAGTGCTCTGGGGTAACATGAAGGGTAAAGACTCAGCGTACAATGTACCAACGCCGAACATCAGGCCGACTCCAATCTTTTTCTTCCAGTCCAAGTTCAGCGCCTTTAATTGCCATAAGGGAACAGCCAGCATCCATCCATCTAAAAGAATACTTATCGCGGCATTTGACCATGCCCCTGCATTAATATTGACACATCGTCCCTCGTGTATTCCATCCCACTTCAACCAATTGTGGTCGATGGGCGTGCATTGAAATATGGCACTGAAGGTAAATGCGATGCCAAACAAGGCCACAAAGGCAACCGAACCCCAAAGCACCCGCCGAACGCGCCGGCCCGGAAAGATTCGAATGTAGAAGAATAAAATGGCCAGTTTGCTGAGTGAAACTTCGACTATGTAGATGATCTCTAATATGTAAAAGTAACGTCCAAAGTTGATAATATTGTCGTACGTCAGGGTCCAAGCATCTCTGCCTATACCGTTTGGTGCCACGTAATGCACATTCATAACGGTGGTAGGTATTCCGACCACGGTTGTAAGTAATACGAACCAATCATCAAGGCCATATTCCAGTTTTGCCCAGAACTTGTACGCAAAGCGCTGTATGACAAACATGGAGGAGATGATTGCAAACACTTTGGAAACGACAGCATATTGACCTGACTTGTCTCGAAAAGGATCTCCACAAGATGTCGATGTCAGATTTTTTACCACTATACCCAGAGGTCAGTTCCGAATCGTTCATATTATGATGAACGTACTTGGTCTGTCATACTTATGGCTTCCTTGATTGTGCAGCTTGACATGACACAGTTTGTCAGGCCATCTTTGAAGACTTGATCGGTACACAAGCATGTTTGGTTCGTCATTGAACAGTGTGATTTGGGAATAGATTGCCCTAGGCATGGGATCTGCGTAGAAATCGCGGTTAGCTCTACAGGTTCTACGGTTTGGTAAAATTCAACGTGGCCACTTACCGCGCAGCCGGGGAACTTGGCAAGCGTCTGTGTCAGGGATGAGTCCTGAGCCATTATCATCGGCAGAGCCGCGAGGGCTAGCATCAGGGAAGCCCACAGCTTCATTGTGTCTAACGTCGTTGGCCCAGAACAATGTGGCCCCGATCTCTGAGGTTGAAAATTGGAGACATCAACATTTAATGCCGAAAAATGTATTCGACAAGATGGGGTGTTTATATAGACGGCAATTGCAGTATCTATAAGACACAGGGGCCCGGAAATTGAGTCACGTTAATAGACCAGGATCCTGGTTGAGGGAATGATAGGCGCCACTACCCGCAGCCAAGAGTGAAGACATGGCTCACCTTTCCCAAGACCCGTGCATAAGAGAACTGGTATCCCTGTCTGATATGCATATGACATATGATTCCATAACACAGGTTGAGAACCACACCGTTGTGGCTCTGAGTTTCCAGGGTGGACTCCCAGGCACTAGTTGTACGGGGTCAAACGCCACTTTCAACATGGTGTGTTGACTGAGTCAAAGATTATTAGCCGAGACAACACCTCTCATGTACAGTCTAAGGCAATAGGTGCTAGCTAACTTCATGCATCGCGGGTCTGGGGAACGGTGGCGTTGGGGGACCTCAGGATGGCCGGATAATTATCGTCTTCTACTGCAGGGCAAGACAGAAAAGAGAGCCACAGAGAAGTCCAATGTTCACATCAGACGGCAGTATATCCGTGATTACAAGCGCCAGGATCATCTTTGATGACTAGAGGATTTCGCAGTTCTCTCAGCAATGAGACACCCTGGATGCTGCTTGGATCGGCGTCTTCTCTATGACTCCACTGATTTGCAAGTTGCCGTATGTTCTGAGAGTCCACACGCGGCATAGACAGGGATCGTAAGCTAAACACGAGCCCTCGTGGGTATTTGCTGCCGAAACGTGCGTATGTGTCCCATTGAAATCGTCAATCTTGACATTTACGGGTCTGGAAAATGGCTGGAAGCGAGCAACCGGGCAGGCGCAACACCTGTACTGGACATTGAGTAAGCGGCCTTGTCAGTATTATCTCGACGAAAATACCGTGCTGGTGGATGGCTTGGACCCCAACCAAAGAAAAGCCACTGACGGATTGGTGGAGTCAGGTACGAGCACACGAAGTGATGATATTTGCCCTGAGCAACCGCGGTGTAGACTGCACGGCCGTGGGCAAATGGAATTTGACGCCAGTACCCGATATACCCAACCACATAGTCCAGCGGTATTGGTGTGTCTGGTTTCGTTTTCCTCCAGAAAGAATGGTGCGCGCCCAATGCGCCAGCGGCGTTCAACCAACAACTACATCACGATGATTGTACGGAACACTCGTAACTGGTGGCATCCCGGGAGATGGATAATGTTCCCCACGCCAAGACGGGCAAGTCACTCAAACAGACTTGGGACGAAAGGAGGCATGAAGCCACTGGCGAGCCGTTGGCCCAATGGACACAGGGGTCTGATGTCGGCTCTCCGAAACAAGGTCTCTTGCCTCGTGGCGTTCCGGCGCATGGTTCTAATTCCAGATTAGTGCTGTGGTTGGCTTGATTTGTCGCGGGCGCTTCACAATGGAGATGCGCCTGGGAAGGGAAAGGAGGGAGGGGGGCTAACTTGTTGGGGTCGTTAACGACCAATCGCACCGAGGCTTCATCGTGTTGCGTTGAAAGGAAACGCGGATGGTGTACTGGAAGCCGGAGCATTCGCATGTCCCAGCCATACGGCAGTGACGCGCTTTCAATGAATGCGGAGGGTTTCCGCATATGCAGATGATGGCTGTCACTAGCACAAGAGAACAGAGGTCCATTGGTGGTGTTTGTGGGAAACCTGCCAGGAAGGAGCGCATGTGCGATGGTGATCTCGCAGCTCAATGCTTCAAATGTTCCAACTGGCGTGGCACCTGGCAGCTGCACTACCAAAAGTGGGGAATCCTGGTCATGCCGGTTCAATCTGAAGCTAGGCCGCTACGCCCACATTCTGGAAAGACACATGCATGGTCCTCTTTTCCCTTTTGCCGATATCCAGTTGAGACTATTACCCCCAAGCATTGGCTGCCGTATGGATTTAGAGTCGTTTCCCGCACGTGCATGCGGAGTGGTCGTCGTGGTGTTGAAAGGTGATGTAGGACCAGAAGCGTGGAAAACGGTCGACATTGGTATTTGCCACGGCCTTCACGACAACCATGATCCAGTCTCTCGGAGGACGGTGATCCAAGTCAACCCCAACCCAACCCCAGCGTCGAGGCCCACCGGTCTCTATCTCATCCGATACAGGGCAGGGCAACATTCTTACTCTCGGATCTGTCGGCTAGAAGCAGGAACAGCACCCCCAAAAGCCGATATCAAGTCAAGTTCATGATTACCACCCCCGCGTTTTCCCCCGCCAATTCGACATGTCCACGCTAGCGCCGCCACATGCATGCGCACAGAACATTCTCAATGGATCCCTCGGCCGGCATCAATTGACAATGAAAATGACGGGGCAATAACCCAAAACTCACCATTTACTACAAACCACATAAGGTCGGCTGGCATGGTTCAGCGTCGATAGAGTTTGTTGGATAGTCGGAGGGTTCACAACGGCGCTACTGCCAAACGTCCGAGCGGGTTCCCAGGGTCAAGTGACTCGAGTCCCCCACGTCTGTCACTTCCCGAGTCATGGACACATCAAACAGTGTGGAGGCTAACTGACTGGTTGGCGATTTGCGAGCGCATCCTTGCAGTCATTGTAGGACTCGGTAGTAGGCGCAACATTTAAAGCGCGGCAAAAAAGCAAACGTACCAGACTACTGATATATCAGGATTAACGTTTTACCGCATGTGAGGTAAATTTTCGAGAGTACTCATGAAACATGTCGATATAGCCGAGAATGAAATGGGACGTATCCAACCGCAATAAGAAGCGTCAAGTATTTTGTGGTCTCTACTACGCGAGTAGCACTCCAATGTTGACCTTGTCAGGCATGTGAACTACCTACACCGTTGCTTACACATTCAGCGTAAAAGATTTAATAACCCAAGTATAGATACAATACCTTTAGCCTAACTTTTAAATCCATTGCAATAAAGTATTGATTCCTCTATCAACAGGGTGCGTGTACTAAGTGGTTTCCCCGCAAACCACCGAGGCGTGGTGCCAGGGTCTAGGGTAGGTTCCGATCTCACTGTGTTGGCAACGCGAGCAATTGCTTTAAAAAAGAAACCCATTGCCGAAGTTTTATCAACAGTTGTCAAAGACACATCAACAAACGGCCCAGCGGGATTGCCTAGTCTTGCGCCTGTAAGGATGCCGCATCAAAAGCATGCGGAATTTCACAATTTGATTGTTAAGAAATCCCACTCAACCGACACCGCAACGAGAAAAACAGCATGTAGATCGCATCCGCGTGAGAGACACTGGGCTGCTCAGCAGCGCAGCCACCGGCGATTGGTTAGGGTATGACGAGCATGAAAGCCAACATTGAATTCGGTCAAGCCTCACCCATTAAACTTTGCCTGCGACTTACAAATCCGGTGCCCAGCTTCTCTCAACCATGAGGGATCGCCGACATGTCCAGGAAACAATAAAGAAGGCCCTCTCCGCACGTTTGCTGCCACCACCCAAGGGCCATCTGCCAACGCCTCCATTCAAATACGACTCCATCACCAAACTACAATGGCTCTCCGGACCGTAGCCATTGCCGGCGCAACAGGCAATCTGGGGTCGCACGTCGCCCGGGCATTCCTATCCCCCGAATGCCGCACCAGGTTCCAAGACATCGTCGTCCTCGCGCGAGCCGAGTCCAAGGCCGCTGCCGAACTCGCCGCCGCCGGCGCCAAGCTGCGCGTCTACGGTGAAGACAACCTCGCACAAAGCCTGCAGGGCGTCGACGTCCTGATCAGCGTGTAACCACGCCTTCGCGCAAATGTTGCACAAGATCCATCCAGACTAACCTGCTGCCAGGGTCGGGCCGTCGGGGCACGCCTTCAAGGAAAAGCTCCTGCGCAGCTTGCCCGCGACGTCGGTGAGCCTGTACTTCCCGTCCGAGTTCGGCGTCAATCACTACATACACGACTTCCCCCACGAGGAGTGGGACACGAAGAAGCGCCATTTCGAGCTGGCCAAGCAGCTGATTCCGAATATTCGCCGCTGTCGCGTCTACGCCGGTCTGTTGCTGGAAGACTCCATCGGCCCGTGGTTCGGCTTCAACACCAAGGACGGCCGGTACGAGGCCGTCGGCAGCCCGAGCCAGCCGACTTCATATATTAGCAAGTCGGACATTGGACGGGCCCTGGCCAATCTGGCGTCTTTGCCTCTGGGCGACGTCCCGGACGAAGTCAGCCTCAACGGCGACAGCAAGAGTTTCCAAGAAATCGCCGACATCATGCGGGCCAGCGGCGCTGGACAGATAGACGTCACTTCGGTGCCGCTGGCGACGTACAAGGCTCAGGTGCTGGCGGACCCGTCGCCCACGCCAGAGAGATATCTGCGGTTTCTGATGGGGGAAGGTAAAATCGACCATTCTGACACCGGGTTGGGGAATCAGAACGGCGTGGTGCTGAGCGGCGGGCCCGTTGCGTGGATGCGGATGCAGGATTTGGCAAAGGAGACGGGCGGAAAACCATGGGCCAGCAGTGTTTAGTGAAATTGCCATGTATCCCGATACTCAGATTAATGCAAAATTGAATAGAAGATGACGATGTTGCAATTGGAGTAATGCGTCGCATGCATACATGTTGCATCAATTGATGTGTATCCCGGTAGGCGCGGTGCGATCACTCATCATGGCCGGCCCTCGGCATCCTCGAGTCCCGGACAGCCATGTATAAGCTCCATATGTATCGACCAGACACACCCCATGAACGGCACTCACCCTCCCAAACCCCCAGGCATCATCCAAACCAAAGCATCATGTCGCACAACCCGCAGGGAAAGCCCGTCGTCGCCGTCGCCGGTGTCGGTCCCGGAATTGGCGAGGCCGTCGCCCGCGAGTTCGTCTCGCACGGCTTCGTCGTGGCCCTGATTGCGCGCACCGCCGAAAAGCTGCACGCCATCCAAGAGGGCATCCGGGCGGACCACGGCCACGACACGGCCAGATACTACCCCACCGACCTACGCGTCGAGCACGACGTCAACTCCAGCTTCCGCCGGATCCGCGACGAGCTCGGAAGCGTGCAGGTGCTCGTCTACAACGCCGGCGCGCGCCGCGTCAACGGGCGCTCCATCCTGGACACGACCACCGAAGAATTCGAGGGCTTCACCAAGATTAACCTCTTTGGCGCGTTTTGGGCCACCAAGTGCGTTCTCCCGGACATGCTCGCGGCCGGCCGGGGGACCATCGTGTACACCGGGGCGACGGGCTCGCTGCGCGGCATGCCCGGCCTGAGCAGCTTCTCGCCCGGCAAGTTTGGGCTTCGGTCGCTGGCGCAGATTGTGACGCGGGAGTACCAGGGCCGCGGCATCCACGCGGCCCATGTCATTGTGGACGGGCCCGTCGACGGCAAGCTGATTGGCGGCGTGCGTCGACGACAGTGGGAGCGCGCGGGCGACGGGGAGAAGCTGGCCGATGTCGAGGCTCACTTGGTGCAGCCTGCTGATCTGGCGAGCATGTATTGGTATTTGCATACCCAGCCGCGGAGTACGTGGACGCATGAGCTGGATGTGCGGTCCGAGAAGGAAAGCATGTTCTCGAAGCTGTGAATGAAATTGCGTTGGAGATGATTTATTTGATAATGATTGTATCCCTTTGAATGTGCGCAGGTCCAATCTTTGTAACGGATCAGGGTTCTTTTATAATAATAAAAGTTATTGGATACTTGAATATATAAAAATATACTGTTTATTATTACTAATAAAGGAGTAGCTTTAAGTATTTATGTATCCTTAAGTGTTATAAAAAAGCAGGTTAAATATATTAATTAGACCTGCGCACATTCAAAGGGATATGCACTGTATTTTTTGCCGAGGCACTATGGGTATGCCGCCTGGGGGATAGTCCTGGCTAGTTCCTATTGACTTGTTGGAGTCAAGTTTAACCTGGCGAAGTTCTTCGGCCTTCTTGCCAGGTAGTACATGGGTTTTACCCCGGGACATCAGGCTGGGTAGTTGGAAGTTCGGAGTAGTTTGTTGTGCCTATTGTGTTATGGCATACCAGACACTTCCTTTTTGTGGTGGTAACGTTAATCAATCTACTTTGTCTGCCCAGAAGCCCCACTTGGTTCGGCGGGTGGCGTTCTTTCAGGCGTCAACAGTCCTTTGCTGCCTGGAAATCGTCGCAGGCTCGGCGTCTGGCCGATAGCGCCTTGTGGGTTCTGGAGCATTCCTTGCATGTGTTCTACCAGACCAGACCATACCTTGAAATTTCCCTTTAGATTAGGGACTTTGCCCGTCTCTTGCAACGAGCGAGTCAGGGATTAGGAGACTTCAGAGGCCAGGCGGTCCAGGTTATTTACGCTGTTGGCTCGTGGGTCTATATATAGAGCCTTGTCTCTCAAAATAGTAAGAAACCTTTCTATTTCGTCGTCAGTAGTAATAACGTGTGGGCGTATTAGGCATTTAGGTCGGATGCCGCTTGGTATAGTGATAAGTATGGCTTTATGGTCTGAGGCACACTCTAGTTCTTTGGAGAGTCTGGAGATGCATAGAGGGATGTTGGTGAAGGCGAGGTCTGCAACTCCTCTGTTGCGGGGAATTAAGGAGTTCAAGGCTGTGGGTGTCGGCCCACGTTAATATGCCTTCGCCCTGGTTCCTGTTCGCCCCAGTTTGCCAGGTCTTGTGGCCGGCATTAAAGTCCCCAGCCACTATTATTCCGAAGGGGGTAGGTCCATAAGAGTCAAGTAGTATCTCTAGGTCCTCAATTATTCGGGGTTTACGGTAAAAGTTGACAATGGTCATGCCTTGTACTTCCCCCACAGTAGGTGTCTGGAGTCGGAGGAGGGAGCTGTGTGACGGGCAAGCTCTTCCTGAGATATGTGACGACCCTGGGTTACCGAACAGAGGGTGAAGAACGGAGGGGCAATAATTTAATTCAATCATCTCTATCGAGCCACTTCTACCGTACCAAGAGTTTAGCGCATTGTTGACGACGACCAAGTCAGCTAGGCAGAAGCACGTCATTATGCGTGCCATAATATAAAGAATCGACTGATTTGTTTATAATTAAATGTCTTGCCTAGCTGTAAGAGGCTAGCCTGGAGTTTGTCTAATAAAGCAGGTGCCTAGGTATTGTCTATCTGGAGCTTAGGAGGAAAGAAGTAGAACTCGAGGCCGCAGCCTGGAGAGTAAGCTTATATCGCCTATTGTAGATGTTCTCGCAGTACCGAGCTTCGCGGGGGTAGTCCTTGTACATAGTCTGCCGGATCCGCCAACCCGCACATAGCCCGTGATGGTGTTTAATTCTTCTTTCCACCGAGGAGTTGATTCTATAGCGGGTTAACTGTTAACGCTCCGCTACTTTATTATCGAAGCATTATTACCTACAACTCTTTGATTGGCTTTGTCTGAAACATCTCTCGAAACTCGCGCCGCGCTCCTCGCCCGACCGGCGAGATACTCGAAGTCTTGATTATTTCGTATCTCGTCTGCGAAGTCCACAGCATACTCCAGGGCGTCCTTATCCTCCTCAGACATGGAGTTGGCCCCTGCGATGCGCAGGGCCGTCATGTCCTGCCCAAGTTTTTTGACCGCGTCAAGACTGTTGGCCATTATCTCACCCAAATCTGCAAAGCTTCCAGCGTACAAGCGTACGTCGAATGCTTTTCTGACCTCATCTTCGTGGCTTGCGTCCTGCGCCAGGGTCGTCGTCAAGGCGGCGAGAAAGACGGTAAGAAGCTTCATCATCATGTACGTGTAGCGAAAAGTAAGCGGCTAGTAGGAGAATGCAGCGGATAGTGAGCTGAGGAAATTGACGTTGAACACCCTCCAAGGTCGGGCATGCCCATTTTATACTGCCCTCCAAGCTCGTTACTAATTCCTATTATAGTGCTCGAACGCTATGGACGAAGTTACATAGAGACGCCGCGTAAGGTAGGTGAGGCGAAGCGAATCCTAGTAACATGGGGCCGGGCATGAGTAGGAATGAAGCTACGAGTCGTAACTTAGGAAAAGCATGAGTCATGTGTTTGTATTTCCAAGAACGCATAACCGCCTCATTTTGCCCTAGTATAACGCGCCCCTATCTAGCTTGTATTCTCACGAAGTAGGCTTTTCTGTCTATATTCTATAGAGTATTACTATGTATACGGATAAAAATCTCTATTTACACGGGAGCATCTCACTATATTAACTTACTTGCCCTACCGCGGTGCCTATCAGTTTCTGGAAGGAGTGTTGCTCGGCACAGGGCAAGTGGCAAACTACTATATCCCAGTCATGGACAGCGCCCCCTTGGAGTCTACCAACTTGAACGTTGCATTCAAACCCCTGTATAATTAATCACCCAACTTAACAAGGTAATAGAGCAGGGTCCCCTAGCTGTATCCCTTTGAATGTGATAAGGTGCCACTTTCGTACCGAGCAGGGATATAAACCAATTAGAAATCTTAAATTAAAAGATATATAAGCTTATAAAGTATTAATATATAAATTAAAATACCTTTACTTTTTAAGTATATATAAAAATACTTTATATATATTAGGCTATACACCTAATATAAGGTATATAAAAGGTACTGTAAATAAAGTAGGCCCGCTACCTGGCTGGCACCTTATCACATTCAAAGGGATAGGTAATTTAGCTGCTAATCTCTTTGAAGGTCGAGCACCTTGTGGGGGCCCCGCTGCCCCACGGATTGTGGTTGCAGTCAATACCAAGCAAATAATAGTGTGATTAATATGATGTAGCTGCTTATATATGACATGGTTATTACTTAAATTATAGGTAAGTAAAGGTACTAATGAAGCGTTCTTGTCCGATTGGTTACTGACCCTTGGGCTTGGCACCCCACAAGGTGCTTGACCTTCAAAGGGATTGTGAGTATTTATTAATATAACATAGATTAAATACTACTAGCCGATTGGATCCTCACGCACGGTTTCCAGGGAGCCTAGATACACAGACAGGATCATGTTACTTTGGAGCCGCACTGCTATCACTCAATTATTTTCCCGAGTCAGAAGCAGCGCCCCCGAGATGGGTGCTTGTTTATTTCTGTAGGCTATTCCCGTACCTTCCCGACAAGCTCGCATACCGCCCTTGCTTTCCATTCCGATATAAGAACCCTAGCAACATGGAGCAAAACCTATACACGGCCCCGTACGACGACCAGACTAACGCATCTGGTATTTAATGCGAGAGAACTTTCCAAAATTGGGGAGAGCCACTGAGCGGGTGGCATCTGTAATCATTTGGAGCAATTCTCAGAATTTTGTGGGGATTAGTTTGATAGATATACACTGTAATTTTTACACGTCAACAAGCTGGTACTGGAGGTTTAAAGAAAAAAACTTACAATACTGATTCTGAATGTAGGACTTGACCGATTTCACGCTGGACTGAAGGGGTCCTTTACGGTCGTCCGCAGTGACAGTAATGCCTTTGCCTCCCTCGCTGCATTGGTTGTTCGAAAATGTATCAAAGGTACCGATGAATTGCCCAAGAGGCATTTCGTCCTCCCACGTATCTACGTAGTCGGCATTAATGCCGCTGGCCAGACTGGCTAGGAGCATAGTAACAACACTGAAGCGCATTTTGGCGTTGGGGATAAAAGTCAAAGTTGAAAATTGATTGTGAAGGTTGAGACTGTGTTCTTTGCTTCTTTCTTGAAACCTTGATGATTATGCTCTTCAATCCCCCATGTCGGATGCTTGGAGTCTATTTATACTTTGAAAGGCAGCTGTGAGGGTGCAGGTGATGCCAAATCTCTTGGAAGCGTCCATGAATCTTCTCGGCATCGCAGGGCGACGACCTGAGATTGTCTTTTCTCCGCACGTCTGGAACGTAATCGATGAGGAGATGGTATGCTGTGCAACTTTAAATTTCTAGTACGCGCTGTATTTCAGTTACGCCACGAAGCTTAGATGCATGTAGTTAACGCGACGAGGTTAGTGAACATGAACGGATTTTATGTGTCAATTACAACGGTTGTATAGTTATATCAGATTAGATGGAGTTTTTAGTTTTTTTTAATAAATTTATTTTTATACTCTTAATAGTGAGGATATCCTGAAACTCTAATATACGGGTATTACTAAGAATTGTGTTTGGAAATAGAGTTAGAGTTTAAAAGTGTTTAATACTTTCAGGTATGCAAAACTCAGTGTTAATTCCAGGTATGTAGTACGCTTTTACTCTAGACTACTTTCTGCAACAGCGGAGCTCTGCCGCTTCGGAGGCAAGATAGATCTTGATCTGGAGCTTTTTGAGCCCGCTACGTCATTCAACGTTACCATGAGTGACAATATAATTGATACAAAGTATTTCGATACGATATCCTCGGTGTAGGAAACCGACGGAACATTATGAATGTAAAATGCAGCTGGCAATTACCGTAACCACGAACGAACTATTGTCTGCCGACACGTGTCCGAAAGCGGCAGTTCTTACTGATGCTTTCATGGTGGCACGGTTAACGGCATTCCATGTGAAACTGATGCAATAACCTAATCTCGAGCCGGTATGCTGGTGACCTGAGTCGACCCATTTTGTGGCAATTCCCAACACATCCCTTGCAAGACTCGAGTCGTATGCGGCGATAAGTATACAAAGGTCTTGTTCATTTCATTTGTGAGTTAGAAGCGCATTCCTCTCCGCATCCCCCTCGTTGTGCAATTTAGATCTATGCCTTCATCTATTACCGTTAGTCTTCTTGACTTTGCCCTGTGAACATGGGTAGCCTCTTAGACACTTCGTCCCACGTTTCAGCCCCGGCAACGAGATCTCTAATTGCCTCAACAATCTCATCTTGAGAGGCCCGGACCTGGACTCTGGAATCCCGCTCTCGCAACGTAACGGACCCGTCTTTTAACGTGTCGAAATCCACCGTGATTCCAAGCGGGGTGCCGAGTTCGTCATTTCTCGCGTATCGCCTGCCAATAGAAACGCTAGACGAGTCTACATTATTCGCAATGCCCATGGCTCTCAGCCGACGGGCAAGGGCCTTGACTACGGGCTTAAAGCCGGCGTTATTCGACAGTGGTACAAGCAAAACTTTGACAGGCGCGACGAGGATAGGCAACGAGAGCACCTGCGAAACTTGGTCAGCCTAGAAAACGACGACAGGTTGCAATATGCGTACCTCTCGAGCAACATCCTGCGGTCTGCTCCAGTACACGTGCTCAAGAATACTGTAGAGTATGCGGCCGATACCAAAGGAAGGCTCGATGACATTGGGCGTGTACTCCCGCGTCGTCTCCACGCGAGTGGTTTGTTTGATGGAGCAAACATCAGACGTGAGCTCTACAGAGTTGGCACCATTTGCAAGCTCGTCTGTAGGAATTGTCACGACGCGCTTTTCAGCTAGCTCTGTGGCTAATTGTCTTAGATGATCTTGATCCAATTGCCCGACTGCCAGCTCGATCTTCTTGGCATCCTTTTTGAAACGAGGCCCCACGAGCCTTTTTTCCAGTGTTGCTTTCCATTCTGTGATTTCAAGAGGTGTGGCGCGGGCTTCCTTGACCGTCAATGGGGTTCCGGTCTCCCGAGAATGAACGGTCAAGTCGTATGCGCTCCGGTCAGCGCAGCCAACACACTCGATCCAGCCATAACTAGTCAGAAGCTCTGCATCCCAACAGTCGCATGCGTAATGTGCCATCTCATTATCGAGATGTTGGCGGAACCGTAGTTTTTGCGGATCCACGCCAATCTTGAGCAAGAATAGGTACACTCTCGCAAGGAAGTAGCCGAGGGTTTCGTTGTCCACAAGTTTCGTTTCAAGGGCTTGCCAATGGGTATCGATGAGATGGACGTTTGTCCAGAAAGTTGCGTCTTTTTATCTAAAAACGGCAGTTCAATTTCAGCTATTTCGCTAAAACGTTCGTGGCTCTTATTGCTCTCCGGATCTACAAAATGTTCAATTTCTGCCATTAAGAATTCTCGAACTCGAAGTAAGCCCGACCGTGGAGAAATTTCATTACGATATGACTTGCCAATGCAAGCGGATGCGAAAGGCATAGACCCTTGGCAGTAGTCTAGTAGCTTTCGGAAGTTCAGAAACTGACCTTGAGCAGTCTCGGGCCTGAAATATACAGGCGAAGCTGAACTTGGACCGATAGTAGACCGAAACATGAGATTAAAGGCAGTTGGTTCTTCAACCTTGCCATCACCATTGGGGTTCCTGATATCAAGCTCCCTAATCAGTTTGCCAAGTTCAGGCCCATCATAGTTGTCCATCTATTCACCGATTAGCTGGGCAGGACTTTTGGCACTCGTTGACAGAGGATGTCTTACTTTGGCTAGAATTTCTTGGTACTGTTCTACCTTGGCATTGTCCAATCTCTCCATTTTGCTCTGGGGGTCAGCGGCAGCTAGTCGGCTATTTGCCAACCTTGTTTCTAGCACAGACTGAACGAGGTGATCGGCGCGCAAATATTCGCCCTTGGCAGGGTCTCTGCACATCCAATCAGCGAATCTATCAACGTGACCACTTGTTTTCAAGACTGCCTCTGGTGTTATAGCGGTGCAATCAACCTCGAGCATATTCTCTTCGATAACAAAGTGCTTTCGCCACTCGTTGACAATGTTGGCCAGCATACCACAGCCGGGCGGTCCATAGTCATAGAGGCCACGATTGTCTCCCTTGTAGTTGGGTGCGGTTCGGTACACCTCGAAGGCTTCGGTGAAGAAAAATCGCCTTTTCAGCAGCGATTCAAACTGTGGCCGGTTGAACACGTCGCCAGAAGAGGTCGTCAGATTCGCCATATTCTTTGACAAGGAGAAGAATGTTTGTTGATGTAGTCAAGTTTGTGGAATAGAAGAAGAACAAACGTGCCCCCTCCTTTGTGTCCAGAGCAATATGACTCATTCGGGCCCATGCAGTCAGTGCAGTGCTGGGCCAACACCTCGGACTCTTGGCTGAGTCGCAACAGGGCGACAGGTTGAGTGCAAGTCTTGTGATTGCAGCCGGAGATTTGTGGTTATTTTGCTTTGATATCACTGCAAAACGAGTTGCTTGGGTCCCTATTCCGCGCCTGGCGTTTGCAGTCACTAGGATTTTCCTCCAGTCAAGGCCGACAAGGATGTACCTCTTCCTTGGTGCGTGCTGTGAAGAAAATATTTCGGATCAACCTGACAGAGACGCTTTCCCTCGAGGTGGAAAGGGTCTAGTTAGACTTGTTGCTCAATACAATGACCAAGCATGTGATCAAGGTGCCCGATTCATATAATTGATGGCTGACGACTGGCGATTTTCTACCAGACGGGGTGGCGCATCATTCCATCGTTCGGGTGCGATTGCCTCCCCAAGCTTCTCATCTCAGAGTTGCTGCTTTTTTAAGCCGCCAACACGATGCCCGCGGCGAATTTGGGGAGAACAATGAGGCCAGGGGCGAGGGGGTGACCCCCTGAATCCTGAATCCTAGGAACTGACCTCTTAATCCTACTAGGAACGGTAAGATTGAAGCTGGCCCCGCATGTGTTGACTTGATTCCTCCTGATCCCTAGAAGTTCTGAGCAGTAAGTCCCACCCCCGTTTGCTTTCACGCGCAGTAATAAAACCATCTATTCCTTCATGACATCGCACGGCCTATTTGCCTTGGTCAAACCAACAGACGCAATTGTATCAAATATATAAAGCTTCCAACATAACTGTATATTTTCACACCAGCCCATCCTCTTCCATCGATATAGTCTTCATCTTTCATATCAGACATTTAGCTCCGTCGTTTGTGATTTTTCGAACACTGCCCTGTATCGCTGGATCTTCTTCTCCGCTACACCTTCCAGACCGCAATATCGTTCCACAATTTCAATACTACGGCCAATATAAAGCTCAGGTCTCAACATATCGTCAAGATCAGCCCAGATAGGTTGAAAGAACTCTGTAGCCTTGATCCTGTCTATAAGATCATTCGGTTTACCCTCCAACTTCACGACACGGGCAGCTTGGTGTGATAAGACGCGGATCTGCTCGTGGGCTTCCTGCCTGGATATGCCCTTGGCAGTGAGCTTCATGATGATATTTTCCGCGCACATAAAAGGCAGTTGCTGGTGAACACGCGACGCAATTACCTGGGGGTAAATGACCATGCCGTCGGTGATATTGTCTAGGCTGCCAATAATAGCATCGGCCAAGAGGAACATCTCGGGCAAGTCCATTCTGCGGACGGCGCTGTCGTCCAGTGAGCGCTCCATCCATTGCGCTGCGAGCGTGTTTGCAGTGGTTGCCTGCTTGGACAGAAGCTCTCGGGCAAGGCTAGAGACCCTCTCTGAACGCATCGGGTTTCTCTTGAAAGGCATAGCACTTGACCCCACCTGTTTGTCTTCGAAAGGCTCCTCGGCTTCCTGCCACGAGGCGAGATGGCGGATATCTCCGGCAATCTTTTGCGCCGTAGCACCAAGGCCGCAGATGGCGTTGGCGACGAGCAGGTCAACCTTGCGGGTGTACGTTTGCGTCGACACATCGTAGCATGCGGGAAAGTCGGTCTTCTTGCACAATAGTGCATTCAGCTGGTCACACTTGGAGCCGTCCCCGCCAAAAATCTCAAGGAACGAAGCTTGAGTTCCTGTAGTTCCTTGTGCACCTGGCATGACATATTATTCAGTCTCTGGCTGTCTGATGCACCATATGTATTGCGGCTCACCTCGAAGCAGTAACCCATTGCGAACGTGTTCGATACTCTCAAGGTCGAAAACGAGATCTTGGGCCCATTGAGCTGCCCGCTTGCCAACTAGACGCGAATCAGCACTTTGTCTCCAGGGTTTGTATTACATCCGAAAAGAAGCATTGGTTTCGGTATACCTGTGATCAGTTGGGCTAGAAAGTGTTAGTGTAGTTCCTACCAATTTGGTGGTACCAAGGGAAAATACCTGGCTGCAAATGCGTGTACGCAAGAGTGGGTGTTGCCTTCCATTCCCTAGCAAGCTGGCACAGGTTTGAGACAACCTTGGCCAGTCTTGGGAGGAGAAGGTCCATGGCATCACGCATGAGGATAAGTTCCGCATTGTCAGTTACGAAGCAGCTTGTCGCCTTGACCCGTTAGACTCAGTTGACAGAGATTTGCAAAATTATCAAATGCATCAAAGGAGACTGAGGATTGCGACTTCAACTTACACCGTAATGGATAATACCAGCCGCTGCAGGCGCAACAGCTCCGAAGGCGTGTACATGAGCCATGACGTCGTGGCGGCGGATCTTCTCCTCGGCCCTGGCAACCTCAAAGTCTTGGTCGGTTACTTCAAGGTGCTGCTTCATCTGCTCGAGCGCTTCCGTCGTGATGGTCTGGATACCAAGCTCTCTCTCAGACTCTGCGAGCAGCAACCAAAGCCTACGCCATTGCGAGTGGCGAGAGCGTTGGCCAAAGAGCCGTGCCATCTCCGGGCTGCAGTATCTCGTCGTCAACGACGTCTGATACGTATCGTAGGGCGACGGCCCAGCATTTTTTCCATCAGTTGCCATTTTGAATTTCGTTTCAAGATTGGTGGATGAGGGGCAGAAAATGGAAATTGATTTTTTCCCCGCCGATGCATTCATTAGTCGTATGACCTGGACCATGTGAAGACGGGCCGGAATAATAGCATCCCGTCAAGCCAATGTGGGTCCCACGTCTAACCCTATACTATGGCTTTCGGAACCAGACTCGAGTCGACAGCTTCCAAACACCATTTTAAACCACTACAGGAAGTGCTTTCAGTATGCAGTGCGATCTCAGATCATCTGACGGCACACAGTCTTCTGTTGGCCGAAAAGGAAGGGCAAGGGAATTGCAACAAGTGACGACGTTGCAAAGCGTGTCTGTATGACAACTGGGGCAGACGAGAGACATTTACCCGTCGAAATTACGCATTCAAGCGCGTCAAGATGGCACGTGGGAGTGGGTGGCTCTGTACCATGCCGCTGTGTTATAGAACCATCGCTCATTTTCTTCATACCAAGAGGTCTATAGAGAATCACATGAGGATCCACAGAGAACGTTGGCATTTGGAAGACCTGAAGGAAGAGGCCACACCAATCGACATCTCAGAAACCACGGGCTGGCATAACAAATGTCATTGAAAGAGAATAATATCAGCATAGACGAAGCCGCGGCCGTCAACGCTGATAATTATAAAAAGTTATTTCCATGGTTCTACGAAAGACATGGTACTTGACGACGAGTCGGCCAAGGGTAGCGAGAAAACCCAAGATATGGACAGCAGTATCCGAGGTTTGCATCCTCCGCGACCGACGGCTACTCGGACTTCATAACTAACATCTTACTCTAGCAAGGTTCGCAGGTCATACCCCAGATCTCAGAAATCAAGGCGCTGCGTGTATTGGACCTCGCATTTGTCCCGAGGAGGCTTCGTTTAAGAGCTCTGCGCCTATAACGCCACACTAGGAGGGCACAACGCCCATCTATCTGCAAGAGTTTCAGCACCGAGATTCTATGTCGGGTTAGAGTCGCGCTGTGTTTCGTGCAGTACTGCGATTATGATTAGCAGAGAGTTGGAAAAGTTTGGGTTGACGAGATTGACGCACCTGTTTCGAAAAGCCGTGTAATGAGTCACAGTTCTGTATTTCTCATCTCTCTCTGGCTGCGAACGACCGAAAAGCAGTTGCCAATTGCATGATTGGAAGGTTCAAGAATACCTTTGACCAAGCGTTGCAACATCCCTGGTTCTACAGCCCTTCATTCCAGAAGGTCCTGGATGTGCGAGACAAGATTGCGGATGGAAAGCTACCCGGTGCCCGCTTGCTTTGTCTTGATTTCGAGTTTTGCCTTGACCAAGACGGTTTTTGAGGTCGGTGTTTTCGCGTATTATTCGGGGAAGAACATGATCGATACCGCGGTCCAAGGAAACATCAAGACGCTGTCCGAAATTCCTACATCTACAATCAAGGACGGAATATCGAAACGGTTCAAGCAAGAAATGAGTTGGAAAACGATTCGAAGAGATTACGGTGGTTACACACAAGCCATAAATAACCATGGGGCCGATGTCCACACCATGGCGTCACAGCTACGAGAATCCCCAGTCATTACGAGATCACTCATCCTGGTATGGCATAAATGTTCAATGAATTTACAGTTGTTTCGCAACGTACTAACGAAACACAGCTAGACCGATATTCTGCCGCCGGACGAAAGTTGCGTGCTGGTATTAAAGGGCATCCAAAGGAATATGCCTTTATTACCGAACGGGGAAAAGCTTTCCGCAAAGCCCGAGATCATTTCCCCCTATTCTTCCCAGACCATGATCTCGTAGGCCGTAATCATGGAGCGCCCGTCGATGACCAGCAGTTACGACTTGTTACGATGGCTTTTGAGGAGGCATGTCGATGGGTCGCGCGGCCCGGCCGCACCTGAACGCCAGAGTGGCATCAGCTGCGGGAGACCCCGTCTACGTCTTCCCTGTCCCTGAATGCGGCTCTACTGCGAGCTGGCCCGTCGTAATGGAGCGAAGTGCATGTTGAATACAGAGTATTACTCCTCATGCATGTCAAGTCATGTATGAGACAAGAATGGGTGCGAGACCTTCTTAGGAATGACAGGCCAACCATGTTTGAGCGTTGGCATGTACGTAGTAATGCTGACTTACATGTACCACAGATGCTATGGTATGACAACATTCTACTTTAAGGGGTTTCAGGTGTTGGTATGGAGATGACAATCCTCTGTTGGCTCGATGGCCAGACATTGAGCCGCAAGAGCCGATGCCAGAGGTACAAATAGGACTCCATTTCTCTGCATTGATCAACGAAACCAGCAGAATGGTTTTGAGTGTAAAACCCAGGCGCACAACGAGCATTCTTCAACGACGTTTCTACTCGCATCTACCTTCACTCGCGTTCACCAGCTGCCACCATGCTTGGCTACCCCAAAATCATGGTGCTCACCGCACAATTAGTTGCCATAGCGACTGCGACTGTGAGTATTCTCTCGACATTCCATCCGTAATGTACGGGTGAATGCGGCGACTAACAAACTCGCTGAAGCCGGAAGTGAACAACAACGTCAAGCGCGACGTGTGGCCTGGATGTTTGGATCAGCACACAACCCGAGCACTCACGGACTCAAAAGCTAGTAAGTCACGTCGATTTGGCTGTCCGGCATAAGTTACGTGTCTCACAGGCCGATACGCAGGTGTTACAACCCCAAGTCCGGTGCGGTCCCCAATGGCGTCCAACTGCAACAAGTTTTGCTGGGTTCCGCCAGGTGCCTGGTGCGAGTCCGTAGCGAAAAACAACGGCATCACCACTGAGAAATTTGTCGCTTGGAACGCTTATGTCGGCCTCAAGTGTGATGGGCTCTGGGCCAACTACTACGCCTGCGTCGGTGTTGGCGAGTAGGGAAAGTCAGCATGACTTTGGTAGACTTGCACAGGAGGCCCCGACTGCTTCAACACCAGGAGCAGTTCCCTTGCTGGCGTTGACGGAAATATGCTGCTAGTTGTTTGTAGTCAGTTGGCCCACAATACAATTTTTGATTGATCAAGTACGTAAAACTAACACGTCATGGATCGTAAGCATACAATATATACGTGTTAAATGATAGTGAATCTGTAAATAAAACCAGGGATTAGAGATTGGAGAGCATAATCGCCAATCCAAAGGGGAATAATGCACACGGAGCTGTTTGCGCTTAAAGATGGGATAACCTATATCGGGTTACAGGGGAGTTTTCGGGCGCCATATGGCACCGGCTGAAGCTTGACACAACGCAATTGATTGCTGATGAGTTTGACAACGCTAGGGACGAATACCTTCTGGTCCGTCGGGCCTTACGAGGCTGAATATTTATATTTCTAACAGATTGCCCGACGGCCCACTTCCTCATATATATTGTAGCTTTGGCGACTCTACCTGTTCGGCTAGCTCTATGTCCAGTAGCATGAAAAGCTAAGACTAGAGAAGCACTGTGACCGTCTAACCTGGCTGGGCATGTGATCAATTCACGATGGAATCGGTAGGATAACGCCACGAATAAACCATGGGGTTTGAATTAACCCCTGCATGAAGGAGGCTTAGCAGGCGACAGACCAAACGCCTCGACGAGTGAGCGGCTAGTTTCCAAGCGAGGTGGAGTCTCTACCAATCTGGGAAGGTCCCTTTTCGAGCGCAAAGTTGCGTCTCTGAGTAACTGGGCGGGAAGAACGAATACTCCTATATGCGGGATATACGGGGTAATATGAGCCGAACGCTACGCTGTCAAAGTCTCTGTTGATCGTGATACTGCGAGAAATGAGAGCTGCAGTCATAACTGATTTAAAGAATACATGTAGGCTCTACTGGCTAGGATACCGCCGGCCGAGGTTAGCAGTTAGCACATAGCTGAGTCGGTGACCAGGCACACTGTATCACCAAGCCTCGAGTGAAATATAGAATCCGGAGAAACAGATATACTACGCCCAGACAACATTGCCCGACCCACCCCGTATTACAAGGAGAGTCCGAATAGATCGTGTGGAGTACCCGCGGAGACTTGAGAGTATAAAACACGTGCCTGTGTAATAGTGGCATGACGTTAATGAGATTTTCCAATTCGGGAAATTCGGAGAGAGTCTGAAATTGGATCAAGTATATAATATATGCCAAGTCAATCATACACACCCATTGAGGACAGCTCAATAAGCTCTTGTTATTGCGATCTGTTTCTATGCGGCCAACAGCCTATGCTCTCATTTCAAAGCGTCAATCTCATACGATTTCCGAATTTCTTGACGATCTTGAACAAAACAACCTGCTCCCGCAATGATGGAGCCGCGCTGGTGCCTTGTGGTGCTTGTTTTGTCCGCCTTGCACATTGGGCCCTTACTGGCACGGAGTGTGCCGTATGGTGACCTTATGACCGTTGGAGAAGGGTACAGTACTACTATCAGCCGTATTTTTGTCTCTGACCTAAAAGATTCTAACACTACACTAGTTATAACACCTTTCTGGGCAAAGGGGTAAAACACGGGGCTGTCCAGTTTTCCAGCGTCAAAGCCGCGCCACCCGAAAATATAATCCCAAAGAGGTCTGCGTCAAACACTCCAACTAGGCGAGAAACAAACCCATTTCAGGGACTAAGTGTAGACATGTTTGATGTGGACCTGGATTCATATTTCATCGCACCCGACCCAAAAATGTTTGACGAACCCATGTATAAGCAGAATGAGGACAACCAAAACGGGATCAACCACAGCGTAGCTCACGTCAAGCGAAATGCCGCGGCGTCTTGCCCTGCCGAAATTGACGCCTCTGTCGAATTTATATCTGACTATGAGTCTTATTTAAAGGTTCTTGACGTGAGTGCTTCTGCCACCATTTCGGGCTATGGCCAGACAGCATCCGCATCAAGCAGTTATCTTGATAAGTCAAGGTTCGCATCAAATACGTTGACATATATGGCTATAATAAATATAAAAAAACAAATCAACACTGGTGAGGAATTTGCATTCAACACGAACCTCTATTCCAATTCATCATTTGCAAAGACCTTTGGAGACCGGTGGATCCGAGGTAAGTCGAATTGGCATTTTTACGCAACACCGCAGCCCGAGGGTAAAGCTGATAGCCGTTTAGGGTTTCAGATGGGCGCCAAATTAGTTGCTCGAATATCCCTTACAGCCAAGGAAAAGTCTAATCAAGAAGAATTAAAAGCAACGTACGTCTTACAGTCTACATTGCAAAGGCCGCACATTCCTAATCAATCCGCTCGTTTAGCGCCGTGGCTTCATTGGCCTTCTGGGGTGTTTCAGGCCAAGTCAACACAGCAGTAACATCGAGCATGCAAAAGTTAAATACGCAGGCCCACGTCAAGGTTGACATTTTCTATCAGGGCGAGATTGGAAAACAATTACAGGGCCAGTCAGCGTCGACAAGCGGCGACCAGCAGCCTGCTCAACAGGTGTTTGCAAACGCCAAATCATGGGCAGACCTCTTCCTGACCGAGGCTTGCAAACACAATTACAAGTATCAAGCCCTTCTCGATGAATATCCAAACATCAAGGGCTTCCCCGAGAATCAAGCCGTATTAGACTACTCCACGGCAGAAAGGGTATCTTACCGTGTTCTATCAGAACTCGTCAAGATTTCAGAACTGGCGCAAGTCCTGCGAAAAAGTAGGACACCTGGCCCTGATTTTTAACGTAGACATTATCCATATGCCCATCTAACGTCTTAACACAGGCAAGGTTTTGAATCAGGCGGATGGGGATCAGATTTTATGGGACGAGCTCGCCATAGTCGAGGCTTGCAAGACATGGGTATTTCTCGAGTCAAAATGTCAAATCAGCACTCTCTACTAATATCAAGCGCCAGGTGCAAAAGACAGCCGCAACGCCCAATAACGGCACAGAAACCGCAAAGGAGCTTATAAAGCTATTTGACACGGCCTTCTACGAAAAATGGAGACCACGATTAGTGAGTATGCCTTGCTCTCAGCCGCGAGCAGAGCGCTAACGACATATGTATAGAAGGACATCAAGGGCGATCTTACGGTTCAGAACACGACGGAATTCGTCCGGGTCTGGGACGACAGGGGCAGCGGTGCTGCCAGGGGAGCCAGCTTTTGGCTCCCCCGGGCTCAAGGAGAGCTGCGGCCCCTGGGTAGCATGGGCGTTGCCAACTACGACGACATCAACAGCCACTTTACGGCAGTCCTCGTTGCGCCTACCCCTGGACGAACTCCCAGCAAGCCAGTCGTTGCGAGCCCCGTTGGCTTCAACCGGATATGGAGAGACCTTTGGAGCGGTGCCAACAGTGACGGGTCATTCTGGCGACCTACGGCGCCTGAGGGTTACAAGTGCATCGGCGATGTCGTCCAGAATAGCTGGTCCGAGCCTAACAAGGATGCCATCTGGTGTCTGCGAGCTGATCTCGTGAAGCCCTCTGCTTACGAATCGCCGAGCTTGTGGGATGACAAGGGGTCGGGGTCGGCTTACGGCGTGCATGTGTATAATGTACAGCCTAGGTCCGACAAACGCCTTAATGTTTTGCGGGCCTTTAGCGATCCTGATCCGGATAAGAATATTGCCTCTCAGCTGATTGCGCCCTCTGGTGCGAACTTGTAATCTTGGCATATATTCTGGGCTGCTGTTACACCGGCTCCTAGGTGGTTAATGCGATGTAAGATATTATTGACAGGTCGCTTGTTGAAGGCAACTTGCTGTAGCGATCAGACTACGAGCATTCAATCTATATTGTATGGGCTTTACTAGAAATAAAAGTATGTAGTCGAAGCTATCCCTGTGCTAATAATGGAAAATGAGGGGTGCAGAATTCTCGTGATAAGGGCTCCATGTATGATGACTTGGAACTGCGGCCGTATTCAATCTAGTAACTTGTCTTCAAGTATAACGCCCTTCGCTTCTCTCAAGGTCCTTGAGGTAGAAGACTCTTATTTATATAAACTATTGCTGAGCCCTTGTGTTACTATCATCAGCTTCAAGGGACAGTCCGTGCCGCGATGTGACCTGACCTTCATGTAACTCTACTTTTTGTATTTCTCTCACAGAATATACAGGCAGATTATATGCTTAGGGACCTATAATTCAGAGCATGGAATGCAAATTTGACTGCTTGATGGAAAGGGCATAAATCCACAACTTGTATTGTTCGCCGAGAAAGTCGCATGTAGGTGGCGTTTGCGACTTTATGGCCCCATTTTAACATCCCATCAGTGGGTGTACTACTTGCCAGCAATCGGGAAGTAGAGATGTATTATATACCAGTTTGGAATGGAAATCTCAGTACTATCTTAATCTTGGAGAACCAATAGTTGTGGTGCTGTTGATCTACATGTCTGACAGTGATAAAAAGTTGAATGATAATACTGAAAATTGACTATGATAGGGTTTTAAGATGCCCCTAATTTTTGTAGCAAAAGTAGACTGGGTTGAGGCAAGGAATGCACATTAGCACGCAGCGTCTTGAGACTCCAAACTACGTGATAGTTGTACAACACTAGATATGAGGGACTGTAACAGTTATACTTTTATGGCATGACTTGAGTTCTACCCCTTCGACTTGTTGCGTTTTTGATAGTCTACTTGTCTTATTGATATAAAGAGAGAGATGCTCTAATAAATGCGGGATTTCTATTCTCAATAATGTCTATTGCAGTTGGACGGCTCTATATAAAGGCACCAAGCTAAGACAGCCTTGTGGGAACAGTTTCTATCTACAGCCTGGATCAATTCCGGGGCGTAATGCTACAACGTAGAATGAATACCCATGACTATTGTCCTTCTCAGATAAAAAGCCTCATTAGTCTTATGTCTGCTACATCTGGCATCGTATTCTGGAAGTGGTTGCTTCCTCCTAGCGTCCAGTAGGTGCTCGTGGGTCGAAGCATGGGGACACCCGTGAGCTTTCCTTCTCCGAATATTATTATAACATTGAAAGAAATTGGACAATTTTTTTAGAACTGGTGTCAACTGTCAAAGAATGAGGCCACAACTGGCAAACAGACTTGGGGGCCACGTGATCTTTGAATGCCAAGTGTCACAAGGTCGGGCATTTCAGCAGTGCCTTCCCTCTCTGACAGGTGCCAAGGTACTTCATTATTGTTTTTGCTTTTCCATCACCAACGCATACATGTGAAAAGCTTTTCGTCTGGCGATGCTTCGAGTTGATTTCAACCACCTTTATGCCATCCCAGACTTCTGAGCAGTCACACCATCTCGATTCGACTTCCCCCTGGCTACCTCTGCCGACCACCCCTTTGCGATTCCACAATCATCAGCACAATGTACGAGTGTGACAGTTGTACACGTGTGTTCTATAGCTACCGGTCTTGCGAGCAACACATGGACGCACTAGACCACTGGGCGCCGCTTTACGAATGTGATACGTGTACCCGGGAATTCGGATCTTGGCATGCTGCCCAGCAGCATATGGATGCACTAGATCACTGGGCAGAGACATATCTTTGCGAGACCTGCGACTCGGAATTCTACTCCGAGAAAGCTGCCAAGCAGCATATGCAAGCCAAGGGCCACTTCAAGAATTACTGCCTCGAGTGCGACAGATATTTTGGGAACGCAAACGGTCTCAGAATGGTCAGCTCCTTCCCCTATCATGGAAAGCACTGCACACATGTAAGCTAATGGGACCAAAGCACCTGAACTCCAACGTCCACCGAGGACACAACGTCGAATGCCCATTTTGTAGGACGGGATATACCACTGCAAGCGGCCTCAGCCACCATTTGGAGTCTGGATCATGCCCCAAGGCAGCCACGGTGAACAGAGAGGTCATACTGTCAATGATTCGAAAGCGCGACCCCCAGGGGACCATTACCAACAAGCAGATAGAGTGGCAAAACGAATCAAGCGTCAAAATCACCTACGAAGCAAACCGTCTTGCATGGAATGGTTCTGCGTGGGAGTGCTACATCTGCCACGGCCAATTCAGTACCATCAATGGATTGAACATGCACCTGAATTCGCCACACCATAAAGGCAAGATATATCATTGCCCCAACAAGAAAGGCGCATGTGACAAGGAGTTTGTTTCGTTGGGTGGGTTGTTTAATCATCTGGAAAGCGAATCTTGCTCGTATATGCGATTCGAGAAAGTGCAAAAGCACGTCAGCAACATGTTCAATGGACATAGATTCATTGCTTTTACCGATTGAAGCATACCCCTCCAAGGCATTTGGGGGTACTGTCACTATTCGGGTACTCACGGTGGGGCAACATGGTAAGACATTTCATGTGTTGTAAATTACATTGTATTTGCGGCCATATTGCCACAAGTGCTATAGCCTGAATACATCAAATTGCTCTGAGACGATGATGTCCCGCCAGTCTATATTTCTTTCAGCCCCAGCCAACGCTACTCTCGTCGTCCATATTGACTCAATCATTTCATGAAGCACTACGAGGTTCCGAAACCCAAGTTTACGTTGACCCCTGAACCACACACGCATTCTATTCTGCAGCACCGCCCCCGTGCACTCTGCGCCCAGCACAACTACGGGCCACAACATCATGCAGCCCAATTCACCCCTGCCAACCTTCTCAATGGACTCGAGTTCCTGAATACCTAGCTCAACAAGAGATTGGACAGTTTCAAGCGCCTCGCGCCGTATACTGCGCTGAAAGAATACCAGCCCTGCATAATAAAAGACTTTGGCCGTGTGATGAAGCACCAAGCCGTGGGTTTGGCAAGGAGCTAATATCTCCTGTGGAGGCAAAGTAGGAAAATTGAGGTACTGCTGAAGCTGAAATATATCCAGCTCCTTCTCCAATTCTGGGCTCGGATCATTCACCACGTCCCCAAGCGAATTCATGCGATCGTATGCTCGCAAAAACGACCTCGACACCCCATAGTAAGGAAACGTAAATTCTAGGCCTTCAGACGCAGTTTCATCGTCGAGGAACGCCTTCAAGTCATTCGGGACGGGAACCTCGCACAAAATCGCCATGGAAACCATGTGTCTCTGGAAGGCGGCCACGACAGCCTCGTCCAGCCCTCGAGCGTGGAGTTTTGCGAGATATGCCAGTCCACCAGTGACATGCGCCCGCCACCGGCTAGTCATCCCCGAGATGGCGTCCGCCGTGATGCACGCCATGATGGCCATGGCAAACGACTGGTCTTGGTGCTTGTCTGCCTGTGCAAGGTTGCTGCGTAGATGGCAAATGGCCTGTTGCTCATGGTTGAGGGCGAGCATGCGATCTTGCTCATTGATGCGGTCGCTTAGTTCGTACAGATTGCTGGCGGCAGAGGCGCAGAGAGCGTGGAAAATGACAACATTGGAGTTTGACTCTTTTGCGTTGGACATGAGGCCTCGGAGGGCCATGGGCAGCATCATGATGCGACACGGGTTGTGCGGCTCGTCAATGAGGACGAGCTTGCGGCTGGTAAAGGTCACCCAGTGATGTATCAGCCTTTTCTGACTCGATGGCATGGACAGAGCGTCCAAGTGGCGGGGAGTTCCTGGACTTGGCTGCTTTCGACGCTGTTTGGGGATGGTGTCGGTGGGAGTTGACGGCCGGTTGAAGTCGTTGTTTGAGAGGCTCAAGAGCGTTTGTGCGACGGGTACGGTATCTCTGGCACGGCGAGTCTCTGACGCAGAGGGGCTAATTGTGCTTGATGATGGGATCCAATCCCCTCCGTCGTCGATAGTTTGATCCGTGGTGTCCCGGTACGCCGAGTCAGACGGTGTCGGGAGCGCCAGGTCAGAGGTCCCCGACCGGACAGAATCGATGGTGAATACGGAAAAAGCTCCTTGGTCGAGTCGTCTGTCTAATCCGGGAACCCATTCGTCAATGTATGATAGTGCTACGTCGACTTCTGGGGATGGAAGCCGTGGGATTGATGAAACGCCCAAGTGCGCCAAAGCTCGTCGCGGCGTTTTGTGCAATGAGCTAGTATCGGCGTCATGGTCGGCCTCGTGAAGGATATTCGATGTATTCAGATGCACCCAGTTCAAGCGAACACCGTACCCTTCGCATTGGACGCCGAATTGCCGACAACGTCGACATGATGGTGCTTCTCTTTGCCATGTCAGATTCTCCTGCATCCAAAGCGCGGCAAAGAACCTACTCGTCGCATTTTACACGGCGTGCACGACAGGTCCAACACCCGGTGAAGCATTTGGTGCGAGTTCTGTCGGCTGATTTCATGATGATGTCCGCCTCGCCAGCATGGACTCTTGGTGAACAAGATCAAAATGGCAAGGTTGGAGCAATATCGCTCGCTGTCATTTTCCTCTCTCCTTTTCTTGTGACGAGATTGGAAGGAAAACAAGCGACGGCGCTAACCCCTTTTGACGGTCCTCGCAACATCACCTCGCTCATTTTGACTGATTTTAGGAACAGAAGATCTCAGCTGTCACGCTGGGGCGATGCAGACCATGCCGATTGGCTCGCTGTAAATTTCTTGGTCCACTTTGATAAGTCAAGTTGACCACTCGCTTGGATTTGCATTGTTTTGCTTTTTGTCCAACACTGTAATTTCTTTCCTCGAGATAACAGGCTGTGTTGGGCTGTTTTGTTTCACAGGTATTTATACCCAATCATGGAATGACTTGAATAACTGTAGTCGGTGGCCCCCTTGGTTTTTTTTTTTCAACTTGACATCGCCACCATTTCATCCCCATCCCGACGAAATGAGCCTCCGAGCCAGAGTCAACGGCCACTCCAACGGCGAAACCATCGATAAGCAAGAAAAGGAGACAACCACTTTCAACGATGGCCAATCTGAAGAATTCGAGTTTGGCGGCTCTCTTGGCGCCCTCGGACTCATGATTGGATTCCCCATCCTCATGTGGTACATGTGGATTGGTGCAACGTCTTACAATGGCAAACTGCCCTTGCCCAAGGAAAACGAGACCTGGGCCGAATTCGCTCGCCATCTCGTCAACCTCGTCTACGAGGGCGCCTTTCCTACCGCCAAAGCATGGGCCATCTACTGGGTATTCTTTGTCGTCGAAATGCTCATGTACTGCTATATGCCTGGTGTGTCCATGCAGGGACGGCCCTTGCCACACGAGAACTTCAAGCGTTTGCCGTACTTTTGCTCGGCGTATACCAGCTTCTACGCCACTATTGTCATTGTCGCCGTCCTGCATTTCACAGACGTCTTTCCCCTGTATACTGTTGTGGATGAGTTTGGTTCCATCATGACGGTAGCTATTCTGTCCGGGTTCATCAATAGCTTCATCGTGTACTTTCAGGCCATTATTCGCAATAACACGCACCGGCTTACAGGACACCCCATCTACGATTTCTTCATGGGCGCAGAGCTGAATCCTCGCATCGGCATCCTCGACTTTAAGATGTTTTATGAAGTTCGCATCCCGTGGTTTATTCTGTTTCTGATCTCGTGCGGCACGGCGGCGAAGCAATACGACACGTATGGATACGTCTCTGCAGAAGTGCTGTTTCTCGTCATGGCACACTATCTCTACGCCAACGCATGCGCCAAGGGAGAAGAGCTCATCACCTCGAGCTGGTACGACGCCCGTCCGACGCATTCATGAACACGCGTGCTAATCTGTGCTAGGGACATGTACTTTGAGAAGCTGGGCTTCATGCTCACGTTTTGGAACATGGCCGGCGTGCCGTTTAGCTACTGCCACTGCGCAATCTACTTTGCCAACCACCACCCCTCCGAGTACCGCTGGAACCGATACACTCTGGCGGCCCTCGTCGTTATCTACCTCTTCATGTACTGGATGTGGGACACGTCCAACAGTCAGAAGAACGCGTTCCGTCAGATGGAGCGTCAGGGCAAGCTGACCAAGCGCAATACCTTCCCCCAACTTCCTTGGCAAATTGTCAGGAACCCTCGAACTCTGGAAACGCAGGCCGGCGAGCGCATCTTGATTGACGGCTGGTTTGGTATAATTAGAAAGCCAAACTATGTGCCGGACATGTTCTTTTCATTCTCGTGGGGATTGATTACCGGCTTCAAGTAGGTTCTGTCGTGTGCGAGAACATGATGATGCAGCGGCTGACTCTTTGCGCAGGAGCCCATTCCCCTGGTTTTACTCGGTCTTCTTCATGGTCATGATTATCCACCGTGCTACGAGGGATATCGAGCGGTGCCGACGCAAGTATGGTGATGCCTGGAAGCAGTATGAGAAGGAAGTGCCTTACCTCTTCATCCCGGTAAGTCGTTGCTCTCCCTTTGTATAAAGTACCTGCTAACATGGCACAGTATGTCATCTAAGTAGAGATGCATGAACGCGGGATGGGCACCTGGTCACGTCGCCAGCCCACATGCGATCCTGAGAGACGTGCCCCAGAGTGAGGATGGCCAATTGGGCACAAGTAATGAGGTTACATGGAAATGAAAAGCCCATCAATTTGTTATAGCAACCACAAGGTCTTTCTACCAATCGCCAAGGTCCAAGTTCGTGTCCATCACCAGGAAGGAGTTGACTCGCGGCACTGTCTGCCAACTCTAAAAGATACGGAGCAGCACGTGTATTTATTAATAATTGAATCCTATCTGTTTCTGTCCCACTTGGCAAAGTCCCACATACTGAGAATGAGGTACAGGGCCCGCTTGCCGTCGACAATGCAAGGCGCGACGAAATGTGGTGCCGAATTCAATATATCTAGTCGACGACCATTGGTTGTAGTTGTAAGCAGATGATATGGCTAGTATATATGCTCACTTCAACTCGCTCCGTATTGCAAATATTATATTGAAACATGACTCATTGTTGTCTAGATATCTATAATTACCGTAAATTGCTGCTTTCTCCAAACCAGTTGTTGAACGCTCGACTCGAAATCTAGCCCATCAGACCCAAACCGCCGCAACATGTCGACTACGGTTGGGGAGGGAGAACACACTGGGACTCTCCAAGACTGGTGCCAAGGACATTGTTGAAAAAGCCTTCAATCTGCGAAGAGAAGTTAGTCATGACGTGCGCGTCGCCTCGCGATGCATCGCTTCATACCAAGTTCGACTTCTTTTCCGTACAGCACGACGGGAGTTTAAGAGAGGGCGCACAGCTCTGTATAAAGTATACGTAATTTGGTAAGGGGCCGGTGACTATGTAGCTCGTTAGTCGCGTCATACAGCTCTAGTTGCGACGAAACACGTACCAACACTGCATTCCGTGAACCTGGTGCTGCTGTTGGGGGGCGCCAGTCCCATCTTGCAGCAGTTATTTATTAGGGGGGCACATCCCGTGTAGGTACCAGGGACCTGGAGAGTTTGCGGCAGGGCGGCGACGCCGACGGCTGCGATGGTGAGAGTAATGGACTTCATTGGGGCTGGTTGTGCGAAGCGGCCGAGACGAAATGAGGAGCTACGAAATGACGAGTTGGGAAGGGGGGGCTGCAGAGGGAGACGTGAATCAGCCCAGGCTTTTATACTCGGGCCGGGGGGAGCAGGAGCATTCTGCTTGACGGCGGGCGCATCGGCCGTTGTGGCGGTTCATGTTGTCTCTTGGGGCCGATTGTCAAGACAACTCCTGCAGAGCCGGCATTCCATGGAGTGAGGCCGGGAAGCCATCGCCAGTCTCGGCCGTCCCTGGCAGATTGTTGAAATGTGGCTGGTCAAACTGAGCCAATGACTTGGCAAGAAAGCACTCCAGACAGAGTGTGAGACTTTCTCCGGCAGCACATCTGCCGTGTTTGTTTTCTATTCAATGTTGACTTCACAATAGGCCCGACAACCACGTTGGCACTTGCCTCATCGGCTTCATCCTGCAGACGCGGTACGCGAAGAGACTGCACAGATTCGCGCCGCCTGTCTTCGAGAAGAAGGAATCGAAGTTGGGCTCATTGTTGCTTCTCCTCCCGGTTCCAGAGCATGTTGCCCCCAAGTTTGTGTCTTATGCTGTACAAGGCTCGTGATTAGTAGTCGTTGTGCAGACGTATCGATACTGCTACCGAATGACTTCTCCGGTGGCGATGGCAACTCGTTACGAGTCGGGGGAAAAGTCGGGCGCTCCAAGTATGGCAATAACACGGGAACATCCCACGAGCTGCTTGTGATGAAATAGACGGGCGGGTGTGGCAAGTTTGTTAGGGCTGCATCTACATGCTTGTGGCATGTACATTCCAGCAGGCGCGTCGAATGTCGCGTTTCCGCCCCCATGGGGTATTCGAATGCATGATCCAGCCTTATTTACTTGTCCAACTGCGACAGTGTCCCCAACTTGCATGCCAAGTAAGCCACTTGAAGCTACTGGTCTAGATGCACGACCGGAAGCGGCTCGTATCAGACTGCTCCCTTGCATGGTCTGAGATCCGGAATGGGGCCAGTCCAGCGCTTTATGCGGCTTTCTGAAACCTATAGAGAATTTACAGCCCAAAATACTAAAAATAAAATATGACATGTACTGCGGAGTAATAGCATGAGTTTCACCTGGAGTTGGTTCTGTCAAGTTGGCTCCGGGGGCTGTAGAAGACTCCTCATCAAATTTAGACATGCAGATATCGAACTACATGCCAGTAGGAACAAAGACGTAGGGTTTTTAAAAGTTGACAAAGGACCCTTGACTGGGACCGCGGCGCAGAGAGCAACAGTGCATCTAACAATATGTTCTCTCCAAGGGAGACTCCGAGAGGACAGCGGAACTCGCAAACATCATTTCATCCGCCACCCTAATGACAATTGCATTTCGTATATTATGCTTGATTTGCAAATGCGTTCAACCCCTCAGCATGTGACCAAGAGCACGCTATATGCTACATCCAGCTCAGGGATGCACTCGGTCCGAATCAGCAAGACCTCAATGCTATTACTCAACGAGGTCACCAAATGACAATATGTATCCTTCATCAAAAATACACGCCATCCTTGTCCACGCCGAGCAAGAAATCCTCTAGTTCAAATGCGCCCGGGAATACAAAATCATCGAGAGGGTTACCCAACGGTACACCATCGTTACCAATGAGGCTACCAGGCGAGTTGTGCGCCGTTTCCGACGGAGTAATGGCCGAGGCAAACACCCCTCCATTTTGTCTCGTCTCTTGGGAAGGGCTGAAGGCAGCCTGGCTGCCGGTCATACTGCCAGGAGCATCATGGCATCTATTGCCGCACTCGTGGCCGTGTGAGGCTGGATCCGATGCAGCCTCCCTCCTCCCCTTGTTGAGCGTCAACTGGCCCTTCGAGTCGAATATGCGTAAAAGCCCCCTAGCAAAACTCCAGTTGCGCGCCAGCACCGTCAAGGTAGACGAGATGGATTTCAGCTTCTGTACGGCTTTGACCACGACAAGGGGGTTGCTGGTGCCGAGTTCGTTGTTGGCCGCGACAACGGCTGTGAAGATGGCCTGCACGTCAAACAGCGACAGGGCGTAGAGCCGACGCGTCAAATGCAGGCCTTCTAGGAGAGAAACGAGACCCATGCTGGCCTCTGCGCAAATGTCCGGGTTGCCAGCGGGCAGTGATGCCCGGTCATGACTTTTATGCTTTGGCGGCGGCCGGTGGAGCAGGAGAACAAAGTGATTATACGTGAGGTGGAGGACGGCATGCCACGTCCCAGAATTTGCAAGCGACATTTGCAAGGGGGCAGGCAGCTCCGTGATAAAACTCGCCAGGGCCTGGTCTGCCCGTTCCGCCGCCCTCGTCCTCTGCTCTGTCGTCGCTCGCAGTGCCCAGCGCTGTCTGAAGGTCCGCGATATAATGACGCAAAGACGGGTTTGGTGAATGGCAAAGTCTGCTTCGGGTTGGCTAATGCCCTGAAAATGGGCGTACTCAAGGTCCGGAACATCGCAGTCGTCGAGATTTCTGTGAGAGCATTAGACATGGCACTCGGACGGGGTGGCATGACGGCAACGTACAGAGATTGTGGGCGCCCGTACGACAGCGAAATCAGCGTGTCGAACTGGAACAGCACCCACCATACGCGGACCCAGGAGCGCTTGTGTACGTCGAGTAACCTGGATGTCGTTGTGTCGCGATGCATTCCCAACCCCGTGGCCGTACGGGCTGCCGTACCCAGCCAGTACCATGCATTGGCGACCACTTCTTCCAGCCCGTCCGAGTACCACGTCAGGAGCAAGGCGACTTGAACATAGGCGAATCTGTCTTGGTCAAACCGACAGTCTATCAGCGTTTTGGTGCGTCTAAACAGAACCGATTGAAGCTGTTTCATTTGTTCAAAGTCCTCCTGGAACGACAGCACGTGTGCGCCCACCAACAGCACAGCATTGAACAACGGCAGAGATAGAGGGTTCCTTGGGTCCTTTTCTTCGAGTTGGTCGAGAAAGTTTTCTTCGTCGACAATCGGCCAACCACGGTTGATGTGTACAAAATATGCTCGCACCAGCTTATCTATGAGGGGTTTTGTCGGCCGCTCCAGGGCCTCGTGTGGTATACGATCGATGTCGTGAGCGGTATACTTGAGATGGTATTGACGATTGCTAAAGTGGAAAATGCGATCCTGGCTTGTCTGAGATGATGTTTGGCGCACTAGATAGTTGAAGTTGGATGGCTCGGATCCAATGAAACACATTCGGCTTTGGTGGTTGATCTGTGCGGTTCGGATAGCCTCCCCGCTGACAAGATCTGCGAGGTTTCCCGAATCTGGTTCAAGCCGTTCGTCCTGCGGCGGTGTACGCCGTTGATGAGCATCGTTCCCACACATGGGGCTGGTTCTTGACGATGAGCGCGTTCCAGGGCTCCCAGCGCCTTGAGTGGTGGTGGAATTAGAAGCGCGCGCCCGGAGAGTTCGCAGAGGGCGATCTGAATCCAACCTTTTGGATTTTTTGTTTTTCTCATAGATTTGGCAATCTACCACTCTTTTGTTGCTGCAATTTGTGCAGGGGGTTCCAGTGCGGCCAACATCGCAGCGCACCTTTCGCCGATGGCAACTCACACAAGCCCGTCCTTCTGCAAATCAGGGTTAGGATCCTCCAGATAGGATAATGTGAAAATACGGCTCCTGGGTCTTCCATCAACTATATGAATACATGTACGTACTGTGCTGCGCCGGGCGCAAATGGGCCTCCTGCCGCTTCGGCTCCCCGGTGTCGGCGCAAGTTGGATCATGCTCCATCGAGCGGGAAAATGCCAAGAGAACACAGTTGCCTTTATCTCAACGAGTCGCGTAGCGGCGGGTTTGCAGGATTCAGGAATATGTGAAGTCGACCGATGCAGGAAGGATTCTCGGCAGTTGCGGCGAACCAGACGACATTTTTCAATTGCCGTCGGCAGAACCAACCAATCAGCATCACGTCACAATCGTCCAACTCCATCAGGAAATCGACGTCGGCGATTCTGACCAATGGCAGTTCCCAGTTTGAATGTCCAAATCGGATCACAGAAGAACGGTGTAAGTGACAACCCCCCGAGAGTCGGAAATGGCAAGTTTCCGCGACGACTATAAGAATCACGATTCCAGACTGGATAGATTCATCACGATGCCACTTTTATCTGTGTTACAGTGAAAGCTTCTGCTAAGAACATGTCCGACCCCGTCAGGATGCCAGAGCCAGGCGCACACTGCCAGACCAAAGAGCTCGCCGCGAGTAATGTTGCCGAGAACCTCACCTCGCTTGCCATTCCTGCCTCCGATGCAGATGACGTCGGCAAACCTACCAAATTCTCATGGGTCAGCACCAAGTTACAAACATCATTACCCAGAAACTAACATGAAATAGCCTCGCAAGATACACATCGTCCTCGCCGGAATCACATGCACCTTCAACACCAACCTGGGATCCTCAATGCCGTCAGGTGCCCTTGTGGCCATAGCCAAGCAGTTCTCCATCACAAACAGCCTCCATTTCGTGCTATTAAACTCCATTTACATGTCCGGCTATGTACTCGGGCCGCTCCTCTTCGGCCCAATGAGCGAGTACCTTGGCCGTCGGCCCGTCCTCATCAGCACATTTGTCGGATATCTCATCTTCATGGCTGCCTGATCGGTAGCTCCCTCGTACCCGGCGCTGGTCATCTTCCGACTTCTATGCGGCATCTGTGCCTCCGCCCCCCACAGCGTCATTGGCGGCCTCTACTCGGATATTTTCGACAACCCGTCCCATCGGGGCACCGCCATGTCGCTTTACATGTCGGCGACCAACGTGGGACCGCTCATGGGGCCTCTAATATCCGGGTTCTCGTCGCAGATATCGTGGCGCTGGCCGTTTTTGCTGGCCGTTTTTATCGCGCTGCCCGGGCTGCCGCTGGTGCTTTTGATGCCCGAGACATTTGCGCCGGTTCTGTATAGGAGAGCCGTTCGAAAGGACAAGCGAGAAGGGGGGGTGGCAAGTACTGCGGATGTCGCTTTGAATGACGGTGTTTTGGATCCTCGCAAGGTTTTCGTCCGTCCCGCCAAGCTCATCACCACGGAGCCGATTCTTCTCTTTACAGCCTTGTATATTGCCCTTGCGTATGCTATCATGTATCTCACATTTCAGGCGTATCCCATCATCTACCAAGGTTAGTCCTTGCATTACTGCGATTGATTGACCTGGCGTAACTTGAATGGAAATGTCCCGGCATTGAATAGTACTAACTGGACTTAGATCACTATGGCCTTTCTCCCGGTGTTGCTGGACTAGCATACCTGCCGAGTATGTGATTTTGGGAATTTTCACCCAACAAACTGACCGAAAACTGTGCTAACATATCTATATAGTCTTGGTTGGCGTCTTTATCGCATTCCTTCTTGGCTTGGCCTATACTTGGTGGCATGATAAGGCTTGTGCTGCTGGCAAACAGTGGACTCAACGAGAGGTATATCGGCGGCTTCCCATAGCGTGTTTTGCGGCACCATGGTATGTTTCTACCACTCGATAATCTTGATCCAGTCTCACGGAGCTGATAAAAAGAACAAGGCTTGTAATTTCCTCGTTTTGGGTCGGGTGGACTGCCTGGCCCGGCTCAATAGCCCCAATTGTCCCGATGATCGGCGGCCTTTTCTTTGGTCTAGGTTCCCAGTTGCTCTACATCGCCATGATCAACTACATTACAGACATTTACCGTGACAGATCCGCATCCGCACATGCCGCTGCCAGTGTGACTCGGTCAATTGGAGCTGTGCTTCTCCCCTTGGCTGCTAGGCCTATGTACAGAGACCTGGGGATTCATTGGGCCCCGTCGTTGTTGGGATTCTTTTCCTTGTTTATGGGCATTATTCCATTTGCTCTTATCCGCTACGGTGATAAGTTGGTTCAAAAAAGCAGAGCCAAGCAATAGCCAATAAGAATAAAACATTGATCACGATAGATTTGTTAGAAGGGTTGACACGGTGCGAATAGAGCATTATTAGATGTACTAAATGCAAGTGTGATTTATAATGCATCATATTATGTTGTGATACACCTTATAACAGGGCCAATTGGTGACTACGCGTTGGCTTTTTTCGTGATGATGGCGGTGGTATCTTGTTGCCACGATGCAGTAGAGTCTTCATGATGCAAAGGGGGTTTAGGGTTAGGGTTCCGTGTCTCGACTTTAGCCCAAGTTTCCTCTTTCAGGTGCCTTGGTTGATTGCTAGATCTCTTGCTTTGCTATCACTATGATTGCTGAATCTTTATTCACTACGCAGGTTTGATGAATAACTGCAACGGTTGTGCCAGCCGCGATTGCCTTTATGACCTTACTACCAAGGACTCTCCGTGATGGTATCACTCAGCATTGTTCAACTAGACAAATGGTTTGCTTTTTTTCCGTCCAGGCCTCCCTACAAAGAAGCGACGAGATCAAAGAGCAGATTTAACCAAATTATAGCCCAAATTAAAAGGCAACAGTCCCTTCAAATTCGCACGGCTCTACCACAAGACCGGCCTAGTCACTGAGCATGATCAGGAGAAGGCAAGTCGCGCCTTGCAGATGACAGCAGAATGGCAGCCGGCCACGCTTACTTGACCTTATAATTACATTCCTATTCTTATATATGCGCAAGACTAGAATAATATCGTGGATATGTTTGGATTTATACCTAGGATGCAATCGCGTCCGCGTCCGGCGCGTCACCGGAAATTCCCCAAGGGCAGCTTTACATTCAAGCCACGATGCCTTACACCCCGTTTCTTCCTAGTAACGGGGCGTTCTCCCGCCGCAAAGACCGCTTATGTACATTTCGAGTCTTGTGGATAGCAAACGCCGTAAATACAAGTGCCAGCGCCGTCCCTGCAGCAGCCATGGCAATATTCGCAGGAACAGGATCTCCATGAAACATATTATTTGTAATTGTATCAATCACAGGCTGCGTGAAGTTAATCACCCCAGAGAGACATATAATTGTGCCGTACACGCGGCCAAAGGTAGCGTATCCAAAGACATTGGCGGCAATGTGTCTAAACGCACATGCATTAGCCTCTTTTGGTAACTTTTCGTCAGGAAATACAAAACCTACGATATAGTAGAATAGTAGAACGGTCGAAATGTCACGAAAAGCAAGACTGTCGCGAATGCAGCCCACGGCTCTGAAACGCAGTTCAGCACCCCTATGCTGGCAACATACACGGTCAGCAAGACCAGAAGACCTGCAACGCTCAGTGTATGTAGAATCACTGCAATGGCAGGAGTGGCAGCAATGCCACCAATCGGAAGGGCCGCGTTGAAAAGGGCTGTTACTCGTTCCGCGTCTTGCGGACCCAACATGTATGTGTATTGACTTGTGACCGTGGCAATAAAATAGTTCACCCGCAACATCTGGAGAGCCGTGGTGAGAAGAAGAAGAATGAACCAAGGACTTCGCATTTGATCCTTGACAGATAGGCCGTGCAACATGCCCCATGCTTCATCATGGATCTGCAACGACGTTCTTCGCTCGATTCGTTCGTGGCGCTCTTCCGCATCACCCGTCACCCTCTCGATCTGCCCGATCCTGGCTCTGCGCTCATCGGCACGCTGGCTTCGTATTCTGGAAAGAGTCAAATCATCAGGCACCTCGTCATCGGAATTATGTACATCTCGATTGCAATCGTTTGCGTGCTCCAGTTTCTTTTCCAGTTCTGGCATGGTGTGATATCGCTGTTTGGGCATGACGGTCCATTCAGCGAGGAGGATAGCCACCGGTACGCAGAGATAGACTGTGAAGAACTTTTCTGGTGTGAATGCCCCGTTTGTGGCTTTCCAGATGATTTGGTAGAGCAGGAATACTGCAGATGAGGCGTCAAAAGCACATGTTACTAGTGCAACGATTACGCCAGAGTGCTTTGGAAACGCGTTGGATAACTGGAAAGTAGGGAGGAAGAGGAAAGTTCCACCGAGACTTAAGAAAAAGTTAGCGAATATGAGAGGGTCGACAAAGCGAATGTAGCGGTGCGATATAAAGAATAGGGAGCCGAGGGCGAGGAACGTTGCGGCAAAGGTGGTGCATATTCGCCGATCGTAGGTGTCGAGGACGTAGCCAGCAAAGAGGCTCGATACGTTGGTCGTTATGGAAGCCGTTATGAAGAGAAGGTTGATTCGTAGGTCTTGTTCGGGACATGTAGAGTGTTGCTTGGCGCAGAGCTCGTGGTATACCCCCCGGGCGATGAGTACGGGTTTGAGGGCTGCGAAGCCAAACACTATTCCGGATGCAAGGAAACAAAACGTCACTCCTAGACCTACTTGTACTGTATTACAGTTGGTATATTGCTAGCAAAATAAAATCCAGAGGCCATTCCGTACCGACTCTTTGAAACGTCGACGTTTCATACGCCGCAGATCGAGGGGGCTTCACTTCTACTGGTGGCTCCGCTGGTGCAAATGCGTCAAAGCTCATCTGTCGCCAGTACCGTGGACTGACGAGAGTCTCATCGGACTGCTGGCAGTCTGGGACGTCGAATCCATCTTCGGGCGCGAGATGCTGTGCGAGAGACATGCGCGGCGATGATATGAGGGACAGTAGGGAATTGGGGTTAGCCAGGACGTTATAGCCATCGCTCGTTGAGTTGGGAGTTTACTTATCGATGAATTTATAGTTTTCAGAAACCCTTGGACATAATAACATGGTAATCCTCTTACGTCACTGTTGCGTCAGGCGGGGGAGGCACTATGCCCGGGGGACCCGTGGCTTGCTTATATGGGTCCCCAGTGATGAATACATTATTGTCACCATGTTAAGACTCTAGAGTAATAGTGTTAGAATAAGAAAGCCACGACCATTGTTTTAGAATCGTTTGTACATGCACGATAGTTGTGACCCTAGCGGCTCAAGTGTCCGGAAAGAATAAGACTGTTAACGCTATAGAACGCTCTCTTATTATTTGAGAGCTGTAGGAACATTTTCTAGTTACCAGGAGTACCGGAAGTTAAGTTTAGGTGTTGTGGGCCGTATTTCTTAGATCTCGCCACTCATAGGGAGTTGGTGAACTGGGATGTAGAATCGGAGTTATATTATAGGAACTATCTAACAATACTGGTATACATAGCTACTAGTATATGAGCAAAAGGTTTTATTCTACAAGCGACACCAACTACATGTACTGCTTCTTCTTTGCGCGGCCGCACGGTGATAAATTATTTTTAAGATTCCTATCAAACCCCCCACAGAGGCTCTCTCAATGGTAAACCTATCCAAGATCTCTTTAAATCTTGCAAATCCTGATACCGAGTTATTACTGAGAATTTCATGGTTGGCATTAAATTCCTGGGACTTCCGGATCAGCGTCAGAGAGAAATCTTCCCTCCCCGCAGAACGACATTCACACAGCGACATCAGTGGCACAAACACGGCGTTGCTTTCATCTTGATCTTGCCGCATTCTGAGTACTACGGTCGATCAACTGAAGGCCTGAGAGCGACGGGCGACGCCGAACAAATCAAGAATACACAAAGGGGCCTAATTCCCCATAGCCATTACGTTTTATAGAACTTTAAGCATACACAAAATGAAGGCTGAAGTTGTTATTACACACGCGAGCGCCTTGGACCACGGAGACCATCTAGCTACTACTTCGAAGAACAGCTCGACTACTCGCGGCAGTCTGGACAAAATGAGAAATACTTCATGTTCCCATATACAGAGTGTAATAATACGAAAGCTAAATACGTATCAGAGTGCTGCTTCTTGCTAGATGGTAGTACTATAATAGCGACTGTCTTTAATAGGAAATTTCTTTTTCTTTCCAAGCAAATAGAATGCCCTTGAAGCTAAATGAGCTCTACTTCATGATGCCTACCGTCCATCATGTTCAGACCACTGGATGTAGGTACTCAGACTACAAGTGCGCGTTCCTCTTCTCCAATTGAGCCATCTTGTCGTGAGTTTTGACAAGTGCCTTGTAATTAGGAAACAGCACCTGAGGATCCCACTTCTCCCGAATCTTGAGGAACTTGGCGAGAGCCGTGTCGCTAAGGACCCTGCACTACAAGCAATAAACGGTTAGCCTTATTGCAGATTTCAGTCCGAATCCAAAACATACATTTGCTTCTTCCTTATTCACATCCAACTCTGTAATGTATTGGCCTATGGCGACCGGGAAAGCCCGTCTGTAGCGCTCAATCATGGGCTGGTATATGGCCGGCTCCAAGGCGGGATCGCTCCAGCCGGTTATGGTAGAGATGTAGAGGTCTTGCGGCAAACTCAAGGCGGCATCTTCTTCGTTGGGGATAATGTCGCAGTGGCAAAGAAAGACGGACGTGGTCCGCGTAGGCAGCTCAAGCATGCAGGGCTTTATAGCCGTGAGAAGCTGCACCGCGTGTTGTCAGCATCAGGGCAACAGGAATTTGGGGGGTGAATTTATCCTTACTTGATCAAGCGGTACCTTGGGATCGTTCATGATGCTGTTTATCTGCCACCTCTCTTGCTTGCCGTTGCCGAGAAAGCCTCGTTTGCGGTCGAACACAAACTCAAAAGTCCGCGGCTGTACAGGTTCGAGGCGAACTAGGGCGTCGCGCACCTCGGGGGTAAACTTCTCATACGCGCCAAGCAACGTTTGCGCTTCACGAAGCGTGTCGCAGTAGCAGAGAATGTTTAGAGTCATTTGCAGTTTGCCATGCTTGGGGGCTTCGTCGGTCGTGTATTTCGGGTCGTACTTCTCGGGATAGTCAATCGTCATGTTCAAGTCGGTGCCATACTTGGGAGTGTCGCGGCCACGCTCAATGGCCCACGTCATAAGTGGCAGGTAGTTGGCCGAATTGATCTCGAATTTGAGAATCGTCTCCCACATGTTGGAACGCTCGATGGTGCGGCCCCAGAACCGCGTCACCACGGCGAAGAAGGCCAGTCCGCTTCCGCGGGCGGCCCAGAACAGGTCCTGGTTCTCGGTTCGGCTGGCGATGACGGTGCGGCCGTCCGGGACAACCATCTCGATCTTGGTGATCCACGTTTGGCTAGTTGCGCCCCAGCCTCGCACGAACCAGCCTTGCCCGCCGGCGAGTAGAAATCCAGCCGAACCAACCGTGGGGGCGTGCCCGTGAGGGAAGAAGCGGTTGACTTCCTTGAGTTTGGCCGCGAGCTCCTCGACACGGCATGCTGGGCCGAAGCAAATCTCTTGGCTCACGGGATCGTACTCAATCCGGCGGTTGAGGTTCAGCGTGTCGATCAGAATACCGTCTTGGATAGCGCCGGGAAAGTTCATGATGTGACCCGAGGACCGGACGCCGACGGTTGTCTTGAGCTGTGCGGCGCGTTTAAGCGCTTGAGACACGTCGGACGGTGACTCGGGCAGGTGGATTTCACGAGGAAAGCGATCAGGGGTATCTGCACTAGGGTTCATGCGGCGGCATCGCTCGTAATCCTCGGTGCCCTGGACAAGGACCTTGCCGGAATATTTGGGTGTTGTGGTATAATGCCTGGCATCTTGCATTGGTCTCATGTTGAGAGGAAGATCGAACGAGGCTTGACTGTAAAGGTGATTTTGCAAAAGTAAACAAATTGTAGGGGTGTAGAGATAATCAGGCTGTTGATATTATTCACGACAATGTCTAAGCTGAAGGCGACCTCAAGCGGGCTATATAGAGCACAAGTATTATACCAGACCTGACTTGATTACTTATCTCTCTTTCCGCCGTGGAACAACGGTGACGTTGAAAGTTGGGGGTCGCATAAAACTTTCTGTGGAGTGGTGCGACGTTTGGATTTGTCCCGCCATCATTCATTCCATTACAGAGGAAGTTCCGAGGGGCTCCAGGGTCTTTGGAGCAAACACGGCGTTGAAACAAGATGGCAACCGTGCCGCGCCGGCGTTGTACGGACCGGAACTTCCGCCAGAACGGACCCACATCGCCGCTCGAGCCCCTCCGATGCTACCATTTCCATGATTGATCGTCTCAAGTGCTGAGATCGACTCTTAGGGCCCCTATCCTCGCTCGGAAATGGCGTCAGCTTCGAGGCTGTCCCTTTGGATAAGCCTGCCTCCATTGAACGTGCGAGCAGACTTGACCTAGTTGCTCACTAGCGCGAAATTATACAGAGAAGTTTACAACCCTAACCCTACAATACCCGAGTAACGGTTACAAAAAGAACGCGCTCTAATCGAAGAGCAGATATAAGCTCTTTCGGAACAAACCTAAGAGGAGGCGGATACTCAGACTGGTACCGTCAACCTAATCTCCGCGATAAATCAGTAAATAATCCGGCCATGGCCGAATTTCATCCACCGAAACCTGCCGTGCAGCCGGAGTGCGTCGAACCTTCGGAACATTCCGTTGGGGATTCTAGTGGCAAAGCATCACGCCTCATTACGTCTTCTACATACGCTATTTTCCATGGCCGTCAGGTACAATAAATACTCAATATACAATATGGAAGATGCTGAGTATTGCGAATCTCAACTCTCGACTTTCGGCTAAAAGAAAACTGCATAAACTCCCTGATTGAGTATATTCCTTGTAAAGAAAGCAAAGCTGCAGCAACAAGAAATGAGTCGTCCGTGAGTCATGATTCTCAGTGTACTTGGTCGGCGGCAGTTTGAGTAACCTCCTACAGGCAAAAATATTCGGCGTCTTTCGCCTTTTTCGAGGGTCTCTACGAGGTTAGTAGAATCGACATTCCAAGCTGATGAGACGAGCCGCTAATTGAGGTTCTCAAGGCCGGCGTTTCCCATGTATTCGTCAATCTCGGCTCGGACCACCCGGCCATCATGGAAGCACTAGCCTATGGTGAGAATTTGGAGGGCGTTCATTTCCCCAAGGTGATAACGTGCCCCCACGAGGTATGGGAAATCACTACTCGCAGCGTGCTTATTGAGCCCGCCTAACTGGTCTATTAGATGGTCGCCATGAGCATGGCAGATGGATTTGCTCGCCTTACTGGAAAGCCCCAATGTGTGCTGGTCCATGTTGATGTTGGCACACAGATGCTTGGATGTGCCATGCATAATGCGTCGGCGGCACGATGCCCCGTTATTGTGTTTGCCGGTCTATCGCCATATACCTTAGAAGGGGAGTTGCCTGGGTCGCGGACAGAATTCATCCACTGGCTCCAGGATGCGCCTGATCAGAAGCAGATCGTGTCGCAGTTCTGCCGGTATACAGGGGAATTCAAGACGGGCAAGAACATAAAGCAGGTGCTCAACAGGGCTTTTCAGTTCTCGACCAGCGATCCAAAAGGCCCCGTCTATCTCACCGGAGCGCGCGAGGTCATGGAGGAGGAGATTGACTCCTACTCCCTGGACCAGAGCGTTTGGGAAGCCGTCCGCCCAGCAGCGCTGCCACTACAAGCAGCGGAAGACATTGTTTCCTTGATGGCGAACGCCAACCGGCCTCTGATTATTGCGGGCTATTCCGGTCGCAATCATGCAACGGTATCACAGCTGGTGACGTTGGCTGAAAACATCCCGGGAGTGCGGGTTCTGGATGCTCTAGGAAGCGATGTTTGCTTCCCCTTCAGCCATCGAGCTTCCCTGGGCGTTGCTATTGGCCAACACGAGAGCATTCCAGAGGCCGATGTGATTCTTGTGCTCGACTGCGATGTCCCCTGGATCCCGACACAATGCAAACCCCAGAAAAGCGCCAGGATTATCCACATCGATGTAGATCCGCTCAAGACCAACACGCCATTGCATTACATCCCGGCCACGGACAGGTACAGGGCTGACTCGGAAACCGCCCTCCGTCAACTCAACGACTACATTGCTTCCGATCCTAGGTATTCGAATCTGCGAAAGGAGGAACCCTATCTGTCTCGCTGGGCAGCACTGGCCAACGTCCATCAGGAGCGGCTGGCCAAGTTGGCAGAGCTCGCAGCCTCACCTGCAGATGATTCCCTCTCACCAAGCACTTCTTACCTCTGCAGAAGACTGCGTGAATCATGCCCCAACGACACCATCTACTGTCTTGAAACCGTGACAAACGCTCCATTCGTCTACCAACAGCTGCAGGTTGACGAACCTGGCCGCATTATAAACGCTGGTGGCGGTGGACTCGGCTGGTCGGGCGGAGCAACACGAGGAGTCAAGCTGGCCGCTGACCATCTTGCAGGCGGCGAGAACAAGGGCAGCTTCGTCTGCGAGATTGTTGGCGATGGCACTTTCATGTTTGGTGTGCCTGCGACGGCATACTGGATTGGCGAGAGATACAAGCTGCCTACTTTGACGGTGGTTCTGAGCAACAAAGGTACGTTTTTCTGGTCTCCTGCTTGGAAAGCACGCTCGACGACACTTGCCTAACTAGAAAATTACCAGGATGGAATGCGCCTAGAAAGTCGATGACGCTGGTGCATCCCAATGGCTACGGCTCCAAGCTATCCAATGAGGGTCTCAATATTTCGTTTTCTCCGACGCCAGATTATTCGGGAATTGCCAAGGCAGCTACTGGCGGTAAGGCCTGGGCTGGTATGGCCTCTAGCGTCAAGGAGCTTGAAAGGATGCTACCCGAGGCTATTTGCGCCGTGGAAGCTGGTAATAGCGCTATTCTCGAAGTTCGCCTTGCGGGTTCTTGGTAGTGGGTTGATGGATAAAGTGAGAAAATTATACAGTGCGAGGCAAGGAGTATTCCAATAGATCCGGTAACAGGCTATCACAGTCTATACTATATTATACGATAGAATTTCGGTGCATACATTTCGGTGGGCAACAATATCTGCCACAGACTGCGTCTACGATAAAGGAAGTCCGGTGTACTCGCGGGCATTCTAGAGTCCTTGATAGCATCCTGGGTTTCAGTGCGCTAATATACTGTATTAATTTAGTAGTTGTTTCGCTCTCAACACAAATGATAATACAAGCACGATGCAAGATAATATACTGTATATAGTTGAATGTAGTGAACTCCCAGATTTTTCTACAGGCGTACAATCCCAGTAACGTGTTTGCGAAGGACCTTAGTATCTCAACGGAATATGCGTGGAACTGCTACAGCCGGACAATGATGTCTGCTGCCGCACTTGGGCAGGCATAAGAAATAGTTTGCATTAGACATAAAGGCACAGTTGACAAAAACGGAGAGATCAAGCACATGGAGATGGTGCGTGGTAGGCGTTTCTTGCCGGAAACTTGGAATTAGTTGGAATTTGGAAGCATGACAACATCAATGGACTTGGAGCCATGCCGGCTTCGGAATAACTGCTTCAGCATGCTGCAATGGACTCCTCTCTCCGGACCCTGCACTACCACCGGCTCGGAAACCAACTTGACAGCACCTCGGCGTGGATTCGTGCTTCGTTGACACATATGTACGGAACCGATTGACGGAATGTCCCTTAGCTCCCGCAGCCCAATGACCAATACCAAGCTGCGCCATGTCTGGTTGAGGGGCTGCCGTCACACTGCATGGAGCGGAGTTCCGAGGACACCGTCGACGTATTCGTCTACGGAGTTTAATGACCAGTTATTAATCCAGGGATGTGGGCGGCAGAGTGACCACGGGAACTGTGACGTACTGTTTGCTGCCCAAATAAAACCTAGAAAACAGTTCCAGCGCGACTCCTCAAACAGTCTTGAATACACGGGAATAATTTGCGCATACAATCCACCTGCAGTTCGCAGAAACAATCCCCAGATTCCGTCTGATACAAACAACCTTTTTGTTCTGACCACCATGAACCGAGCCAAAATAGCTAGAGGAACACAAGCCACGATCCGTCACTTATCTCGTGGCATTTCAACGCACAGGACAATACCTCTTATCATAAACGGCAAAGACGTCATTTCCAAAACCACCTTTGAAGCCATCAGCCCACTTACGTGTAAAAAGGCCTCGGACTGCTCATCCGCGTCGGAGGAACATGTCCAAAGCGCCGTTGCCGCAGCGCAGGCGGCATTTCCAGCATGGGCGACTACGAAGCCATCATACCGGCGGGACATATTCCTTGCAGCCGCAGAAATCATGACCAAGCGAAGGGAAGAGCTCGGGGAGTACTTGAACCAGGAAATCGGAGCGGACCAAGGCTACCAGGACTTCATTATCGGCCTGTCCATCGAGGGCCTCAAAGACACGGCAGGCAGGATCGCCGGCGCATGCCAGGGTTTTGTTCCCGAGTCGGTTCACGAGGGAATGAAGGCCATGGTTGTCAAACGACCATACGGCGTCAACTTGGGCATCGCCCCATGGTAAGCCTCATCTATGAAAACACACGGAGAAAGAAATTCACGACGTGCCTCTAACGATGCGCCGCTGCTTAGGAACTCCCCCTATCACCTTGGCCTTCGCTCCGTCACGTTCGCCCTGGCCACGGGAAACACGGCCATCCTCAAGGGAGCAGAGCTCTCCCCTCGCTGCTACTGGGCCATAGCGGACGTTTTCCGACAAGCCGGCCTCCCTGACGGGGTGCTCAACCTGCTGTTCCACCCGCCGGCTGATGCGGCGGCAGTCACAGAGTCCCTTATAGCCCATCCCGACGTCAAGAAGATCAACTTCACCGGCAGCACAAAGGTCGGCAGCATCCTGGCAGCATCTGCGGGGAGACACCTCAAGCCCTGCTTGATGGAGCTTGGCGGCAAGGCCAATGCCATTGTGCTCAAGGACGCGGACCTGGACAAGGCAGCGGTCCAATGCGCCATGGGGGCTTTTATGAATGTGAGCTTGTGCCTGCGAACAAGACGCGTTGCTTGTATGCTAATGGATGTAAAAAGGCCGGCCAAATTTGCATGTCCACCGAGCGCATCCTAGTAGACGCCTCTGTGGCGAGAGAGTTTGAGCCCATCTTGAAGCGCACCATTGATGATATTTTCGGGACGGCTGTGGCCACACCGACCTTGGTCACGTCCGCGTCGGCGGCGCGTAACCGGGCTCTTGTCGAGGACGCTGTCTCCAAGGGAGCCACGAGCCTGGACATTTACTCTGATCAGCTTGGAGAGATGGTCGAGACGAGGATGCGGCCCGTTGTTCTGACCAATGTCGACGAGTCGATGGAATTGTACGGCGGGGAGTCATTTGGGCCCAGCGTGTCCCTGTATTCCTTCGACTCGGAAGACGAGGCTATCCAGCTGGCCAACGATACCGAGTACGGTTTAACGGCTTCGGTGTTTACTGAGAATCTCGGATCTGGCTTCCGCATTGCTGAGAAGCTCGACTCGGGCGCGGTGCATATCAACTCCATGACGGTGCACGATGAGTATTCTTTGCCGCATGGTGGAGTTAAGAAGAGCGGCTGGGGTCGGTTTAATGGGCATCAGGGGCTGAATGAGTTCCTGTACTGCAAGACGGTGACTTGGATGGACTAGGCGGTGATTTATTTAGCGTCTTGTTTATCTGTTGGCATCGGTCATGGACCATGGGCGTGCGGCAGATAGTTCAATTATTGCATAAGATTGAGTGTAGCGGTGTGGATGATGTGGGTGGAATTGTATTTATCTGGCGCAACTTTTATGTACAAACGAAACACTGCAAGTTAGGGTAGCTCTTGCTGTTGGTAATATGGTCCGAGTAATTGACCAGGAGATGCAATGAAAATAAGTATTTAGAGTCCAAAGTCCAAAGTGTGAACTTGGGATCGTTGCAAAGATCGTGTTCAAAGCTGTCTAAACTCTATCTGTTAAAAAGAACAACAGCAGTTGGTGCCTGTATATTCGTCGATCTGGGATATATCAGGACAGTAAAAGTACGATTATCTTGATTGTATAGTTCCGAGTACTTGAGGCGCAAATGCTTGGTATGTGTTCAACTCATGTTATGCTGTGGTGCCTACGACCCTGGACTCGCTTTTGCAGTCTTTGCTCAGTGTACAAATGGAGTCTTAACTCTTGCAGATTGCAGCGAAACCAAATAGAAACAGCGCGTTCATTCTGCTATCTAGAGATGCAAATAATACAGGCCCTTTACAGAAGGTATAAGCAAGCTCTATGTATGTGATATTATATCACCATATCTCATTGCTAGACATGATAACATCATTAGCATTGGACAGGTAACGGATATCTGAGATGAATCCCCCTGGGAGAGAAGAGAGACAGACAATAATGAATTCATGAGAGAATATCGGTTAATAGTCCGTCACACTGTGTGAGACAGTTGCTGTCAACGGCCACCATCAACGGCTGTCCAGATTGCAAATACGAGCGCTCAATTCAACAGCAGTTATCAAAAGGTATTGTCGAGCCATGAAATATCCCGACGTATCAGACGGGTTCCAGAATGACAAATACTAGCTAGTTCATAAGTGTCAATGGTCCAACATGGGCAGGCGAAATAAAGTTTCTGCCATAGTATTGGTCAGTACGTTCCGAGATGTTACCCACGGCTGCGAATCCGTCTCCACCGAGACGAGGACCTTGCCTGCCAAAAGTGGAACTTTGGTTATGGATCCTGCCAGCCGTTCCGAGACTCACGGGTCCAATGGTTCATCTGGACAAGAGAGCGCGACTTACTGACTGGCTCCATGGCCTAGCAAACGAGAGGTTAGTTCCTGCTCGGCCGAAACCCCAGTTGTCAACTTGTGACCAGTCACACGGGAATGCCTGGAGAACCCGGCTCGGAATGCTAATGCCCTCTGAGAAAGGTGTTCCGGGCTTTCTTGAGGCAGTGCCTCCTTTGAAATCGGAAGCTGCTTGACTAATTCATCACCAAAATCTGCTGCAGGCGAAATGTGGGTGGGTTATTAAGAGTCGATTACACGGCCCTCTTGCCATGGCACGTCACCTCTTTTTGCAGACGGTTTTTGCTCCAGCTCCCTTTTTGGCCCGAATTCAAACTCCAAGACACGCATTTTCATATTCAAATATTCTTTCACGCTATGGCTACCCCTAAAGATATCCACACCGAGGCGCTAGTCGTCAGTAAGCCAGAGGGAGATTTCGTGATGCAGCCTATTATTCTTGACGAGGTTCGATCTGACGAAGTTCTCGTCGAGATGAAGTATTCTGGCATCTGTCACACGGTGAGAAATATTATGTCTTACATACTGTACTCAAACCTGAATCTAATTGAAAATAGGATATTTTATTTCAGACGGCGAAAATCCCCAATGTGGAATATCCAGCCATCTTTGGCCACGAGGGTGCCGGGGTCATTCGAGCCCTTGGCAGCCATGTCAAGGATAAATCTCTACGGGTTGGGGACAGCGTTTTATTATCCTTTAATTCCTGTGGAAAGTGTAAGCAGTGTCTTGCGAGCTCCCCTTCCTGTTGTCACGCCCACTTTCCCATCAATGCGGGCTTAGTCCGCGTCTCGGATGGGAGCACGCCCGCAAGATTTGCGGAGGGCGGGACACCTATACGGAGCCAGTGTTTTGGTCAATCTTCCTTTTCCCGACTATCGATTGTTACGGAGAACAGTGTGGTCAAGTGTCCCTATCCCGATTCGCTATCTTACTATGCTCCTCTGGGCTGCGGGTTCCAGACCGGAGCAGGGACAGTACTTAATGTACTAAAGCCAGATAAGACCAATTCTGTTGTTATTTTTGGTATGGGCAGTGTCGGGATCGCCGCGTTGATGGCTGCGGCGTACCTCCAAGTGAAGCAGCTTGTGGCGGTTGATATCGTCGATGAGAAGCTTGCACTTGCAAAGGAATTCGGCGCTACGGTTATCAACCCAACGAAAATTGGCGACGAAGGGATTGGAGCTGTGGTGAAGAGACTCACAGAAGGTGGCGCTGACTACGCTATCGATTGTACTGGACGTCTTGCCGTGATCGAGTCATTATTTACATGTCTAGGCCTAAAAGGCACCGCAGTATCTGTGGGCGTGCCACCCCCGAACAGCGAAATTCGCATCAACCCGCAGACATTCTTGATGCAAAACACGAGTTATATCGGCGTGCTGGAAGGGGAGTCCAACCCTCAAAAGGTTCGTACCTGGGGTTCACTGGTGTGCTAGGTACTCTGTTCTATGCTCTAACATTGAATCGTACTTGTCTGCCTAGTTTATCCCTCAGTTGATGGAGCTTCATCAACAGGGGCATTTCCCCATCGAAAAATTATGCAAGGTCTATTCTGTAAAAGACTTTGACACGGCAATACGCGACTTGCGCGAAGGAAAGGTCAGTATTATATTGGACAAGCTAAGGCGATGGTCGGTTTGCTCACCATAATCTGTTACAGGTGATCAAGCCGGTGATTCATTGGGATTAGGCTCGGTCTGTGGATGGAACGGCAAACAACATTCAGCCGAGCTCTGGGTGACAAGTATTTGTGGTGACGAGCCTGGTGGTAGAAATACAAGTGCCGTCGGATCAGTTGAATTGTCAGTGTCCAGCTCGATTGGTAAAGTCTCAGCTTCACTATGTATGATAGGCGAATAAAGATGATTGAAAGCAAATGGCACCAGCTTGGTGACCTAATCTGGGCAGACCGCGCCACGATCGGGACTCGGACCGGACAGGCCGGGGAGGCCACCCGAGTCGATAACCCTAACCCTAACCCTTCTGGAGAATCAAGGCGTAGTCACCAAATTCCAATACATTTTTGTGAGTACCCCACGGTCAACCGAATACAAGGGGGTATAGCTGCTGTTCAATTACGGCGCGCTCTTTTTTCACGCCCATCGACATGATAAGGCCAGCAATGTGTCGGTTCAATTGGACCATGACCAGACGCGGCTGGGGCTTTCTAACCTTGAAGCCCCGCCCCCGCGCGAGCGGATCGGCACTACCGGCATCCATGTATCCATGTATCGGGAATGGGGACATCTGGAGGGTCAAAGCTTCCCGGAGCTTGGCTATCCGGTGCTTGTCGGATGGACACATGCCAACATGTCCTCTATGCCCCGTGCGTCTACTCTTCAATGTTCCTTGCTGGGACGCCTGCAAACGGCCTCGGCTTCAGATCATCACGTTGGTCAGTCAAAGATAGGATAGGTTTCTTGCATTCAATATGACATGACCATCTACGACGGCAAGGCTTAGAGGAAAAGGAAAGAAGTTGATGCGAGTCGACATGTGATAGGTCACGCCAATACGTCAAGTACCATCCACTTCCTGGTCCCCATTTTCACAGCTCGCTCCGCGACTCCAACTTCCTCTCCGCATCCACACATGGTTATCCACAAACAGCTACACTTTCATCGACCACGAAACAGCGCAGATGCCGGAGGCTTCGGGAATCAAGCGACCGAGAAACCAAAGTGACGAGACCGAGACGGGCAAACGACGTGCGCCTTATGCCCTGCGCGCTTGCGATACCTGTCGACGGCGCAAGGTCAAGTGTGATGGAAGTCAGCCTTGCGCCGCCTGCACCGGCCGTCACGACGCGTGCTGCTATTCCGGAGACTTGGGTTTATTCATGCCCACGCCCGCCGCCCATGTCCAGTCCCGTCAGGCCGACGCGGCGGCATCAACGTACGTTGCCCATCTCTTCGCTAGTGACAGCCAGTAAGCTGGAAAGGCTCACCCGCTCTCTGCTCCAGGAACCCAGAACACGCCTCCATCGTCGAGATCATGTCGAGCTTCCAGAGCCAATTGGACGACCTGGCGTCCCGTCTGCAATCCGCAAGCCAAGGCCGGACAAGCCAGCCAGCGGCGGCCGACGCCAGAAGGAGGGAGAACGGCCATGCCGGCGTCTCGACGGCATCCGCGAGCCATGCTGTGCCCAGTTCCACTGCCCACGTACCGCCAGTCGCGACCCAGGGCTTTTACGGCCCAACCAGCCCAGACTACAGTCTGAACGTGGCCCAGATGAAATTGCGGCAGACGACCCTCCTCACAACGGAGCCGCATGGGCAGCAGCTTCAGCTTGCCAGCATCGACAATGATGTGGCGTCCCATCGCGAACATGGCGCCGACAATGCAGGCATGGGCGGCCGAGAACTAGGGGACCAATTTCGGCTGTTGCAGTTCCGCTCTCTGTTTGACTCGCAGGAAGCCATGCGACTCCTCTCGGTGTATCAAGAGGTGATTGGAGAGTTCCACCCCGTCATCGACATCAATGGACTCATGGCTCAGGCCCAGCGCTGGTATGCGGAAGACAACTCGCCCTGGAGTCTCTCCCCGGAAGGAGGAGGGACCTCGGTGGACCAAGACCTTGTCATCCTCAACCTCGCTTTGGCCATTGCGCTTCGTGCAGAGTCTACCTCGTCCGTCTCCGAGGTTGAACGGTACATCACCGAGAATTGCCAAGGTGCAGCCAACGCAAGGATAACAGCGCCCGTCTCCAGCGTAAAGCAGGTCACTATTGCACTACTCAGCGTTCGTTCGCCGCTTGGTTTGCTTCACTCATCGTCTTTGGCTAATGCGGCCGCAGGGCTGGCACTACTTGTTCCACGACGCGCCCCGATCAGCTTGGCGCATGTGCGGCATCGCCGGGCACATGTTGATGGAGCTTGGATATCACAACGGCCACGTTTTGAAGCAAGTGCTGGATAATGAAACGCAGACCGCCGAGGTGTACAGCATCATATGCAGCGTCATTATCCTCGATCGCCAATGGAGCGCGTCGACGGGGCTGCCAACGCATTTTAAAACATCTAGTTTCGACCCCTTGCCCAAGGACTTGGTAAGCAGAGGCTGCCGTCGCGAGCTTGGACGAGCAAGCTAACGCTGTTTACAGGTCAAGAACCCGTATCTGAAAGCCATGCTGGCCTTCATCATAATTAGCGACAAGTTTGGCGAGCCCATCTTCAAAGCCGCCAAAGGAGAAAGTTACCTGGACGAAGACGCGTTCGAGGTGATGAATATCCAAATCGACCAGTGGAGAAAAAAGGCTGTAGGTGACGTCTCTCTAGCCCAGCTGGGCTCGTCGTTGGCGAACCCGTCCATGAGGCCGCCTTCGTGGGTCATTCTCCTCAATCTGCGTGCCGAGTCTGCCCGGAGCCTGCTTCTCAAACCGTGCTTCTTTTTGAATACAGACATTGAGGATGGCAAGAAATACCTCCCCCCTGCCATAGAGCTAGTATATAACATGGTGAATACTCTATACCTGTTAGACAGCTCTACTAACATTTACCGCACGCAACATCCATTCTATCAGCACCTGCTGGCATCTGCTTGCGCCCTTGCCTTTCTCGTCGTGGCCTTCATCGAGCAAAACAAGACTCTACTGCTGGCGACGTTACCGGCCAATCTAACCGACTGGCTTAGTCGCAGCCTCCAGATGGCTGTGGCGCTGGCGACAAACTATGCTCATATATCGCGCGCCTCGGGTAGACTTCTTCAAAGACTCTCCGAGATGCGCGGCATTCTTGTCAATTTGGGTTTGCTAAAGGGACAAGATGGCCAGGACAAGGTATTCCCCAACGGTAATAAGGATGGGCCGTCTGCCGCGAATACCTCCAAGATGTCCCAGAGGAAGAGAATATCTACATCTGCCTTGCCGGACCAGTTCAGCCCGTCGTTTGCTAATTTCCCCGTGGCAGCAGCTTATGGGGCCGGATTGGGTTCCGTTCCCGGCACAGACATGCCGTCCGGATGGGCGGAGTCGATCTGGGCACATTGGCCATTTTGCGACGATGACAACTTGTTCTTGGAAAACCAAACGTGAAAGAAACGATACTAGAACGAAGCATCTATAAACTACTTTAATACACAAGCCCTGTACCCTTTGCACCGGGGTACAACAACAACGAATTCAGTCCCTCTCAAACCCGTCCCAGCGCTTGAATCCGTCCGTAAACAGCCCCATTGAGTCCAGCATCCTCCCAGCCGTCTGGTCCACCAGGTCATCCATGCTCTTGGGCCGCGTGTAAAAGGCAGGAACAGGCGGAAATATGACAGCCCCCGCGCGCCGCAGGAACAGCATATTGTCGAGGTGCACGTCGCTCAGGGGCGTCTCGCGCACGGCGAGGAGGAGCTTCCGGCCCTCCTTGAGGGTCACGTCGGCGGCGCGGGATATCAGGTCGTCGCAGAAGCCGGTCCGCACCGCGGCCAGCGTCTTCATGCTGCAGGGGACGATGATCATGCCGTCGTGCTGGAAGGAGCCTGATGCGATGGGCGCGGAGAGGTCCTTGACGACGTAGCTCCTGCTGGCGAGGGCGTGGATGTCTGCCTCGGACGCCGTCGTCTCGTACTTCATTGTTGCGAGGGCCCATTTGCTTATGACGAGGTGTGTCTCGACGCCTAGCCGTTGTAGTATGGACAGGATCCGGGTGGCGTATACGGTTCCCGTGGCGCCGGTGATGCCTACGACGATGCGGCGCGGCCTGGTTTGCCCGTCGTGGTGATGTGTCGCGGGACTCAGGGCTTGGTTCGCGTGTTGCTGTGGTTTCGTTGCGCTGTCGTTTGAACATGTGCTGTATGGGAGCTTGGTGTTGAAGCAGGCTGCTGGTCTGGTTGGGCGCAGTAGACTCAGACGGTGAATCAGGCTTCTGCAGGCATGGGTGGTCATGGTGGTGGTGCGGTGTCCTAATGCAACGCCTTCAGATGCTGTGAAGACTTGTTCAGTGTAATCTGTTTTAAGAAACGCCCTTTCAATAACTGCAAAATTTCACGGTGTTTCTAAATGCAAGTTGGTTATTCCAAGAGCTGCTTGCATGTATGCGACGGAAAGTTCCTGGCGGAGCACCCTCGGCTTCAGCCCCACTTCTCCCCGGGCGAGAAAGGTGGGAACAGGACGGTCCACGGATCATGGTCCGAATATCTGTCATTTCGCCCGGGCGCCCCGGAAAGGATACCATGGAATGCCGTCAAGATGATCTCATTTGGTCATTGAATTCCAGTCCAAAGTTTTGAGTTTGGTCCGGGTACGTGATGACAACCAAGAAACTCAGTCCGGCGCTAGGCGACACAAGGCTCGGAATGATTTTCGGAAGTTCCGCCTCACCTTTTCGTCGCCCGGCTCCCCTGGGATGAACGTCAATGACTTTCCCAGGGCGTCTCAAACCTTAAAATCGAGTTTTCGTACAGCTATGTAATGCAGCCAGCGAACCAGGGTCTTGGCATTGTGAATTTCGACCAATCCTTGCCATGGCGTTCGTCTTCACCGGCAGAGTCAGTCGCCCATCCGCGCACTTGCGCATCCCGCGACCATTCGCCAGGTCAGCATATCGCGCCCAAAGCACCACGTCTTCCCAGCCAGACCACGTCGCCGCACAGCTCGACTTTCGCACATTCGTCGATGTGCTCCGCGCCGACGGCGACCTCGCAGAGATCAATGACCAAGTCGACCCGCACCTCGAGGTCGGTGCCATCGTTCGGCGTGTGAGCGAAGTCAACGGCAAAGCACCTCTATTCAACAACGTAAAGGGGGCGAAAAATGGCCTGTGGAGGATATTTGGCAACGCCGCGAGCCTTCGAAGCCGCGAGGAGGAAAAGTATGGCCGCATAGCCCGGTCGTTTGGCTTGCCGCCGGATTCTAGCTGGAAGGCCATTCTGCAGAGAAGCCAGGAGGCAAAGCGTCGGCCGCCGATTCCGCCTCGCATCCTGCCCACGGGACCGTGTAAGCAGCACAAGATTTTCGGCGACGACATTGATCTGCACAAGCTGCCGGCTCCGAAGCTCCACCAGGGCGATGCGGGCAAGTACCTGCAGACGTACGGGGTGCATGTCCTCCAAAGCCCAGATGGCAAGTGGACGAATTGGTCCATCTTCAGAGGCATGATTCACGACAGCAGACGGCTCGTGTGCCTCGTAGGATCGGGACAGCACAACTCCGTCATTAGAGACATGTGGCTGAAGAAGGGCAAGACGGAAGTCTCGTGGGCGCTGGCGTTTGGCGTCCCGCCCGCGGCCAGCGTCGTGGCGGCGTGTCCTGTTCCCCAAGGCGTGTCGGAGGCCGAGTACGTCGGTGCCATGGTCGGCCAGCCGCTGGACGTGGTGAAATGTGAGCTGAGCGATCTGCTTGTTCCTGCGAATAGCGAAATCGTCATGGAGGGCACCTTTTCCTTCAAGGACAAGGCCCCGGAGGGTCCGTTTGAAGACTATCTCGGCCTGCACTTCAGCGACGACCAGCATATGCAGCCGCTTTTCACGGTCAATGCGATAACCTACCGGGACGGAGCTATCTTGCCGGTCTCTGTTCCTGGCAAAATCACTGATGAATCTGTAAGTTTGGCAATCGAGGCAATTTGTTATCGGTTCTTACGCAATCTAGCATGTGACGGCGTCCATGGCTTCGGAGGAGCTCTTGGAGTTGCTCCGGCAGCATGGGTATCCCGTGATCGACGCGTTCGCTCCGCTTGAAACCTATGCGACCTGGTGTGCTTTGAAGGTTGACGTCAAGAAGCTTGCGGAGATGCGCACAACGCCCGAAGAATTTTGCAACAAGATTGGCAATTTGGCGTTTAATGACAAGAGTTCCATGTTGATGAATCGCATCATGCTCTTTGGGCACGATGTAGATGTTGGAAATTTTAGGGATATCATGTGGGCGTTGGCGACGCGCTGTCGCCCCGGGCAAGATGAGTACGTATTTGACGATATTCCCGTCCTCCCTCTCACGCCGTACATGTCACATGGAAGGGGGGATCCGACCCGTGGTGGGAAGGTGGTGTCGGACTGTCTGTTCCCAATGGAGTACGAGGGCAAGATTAGCTTTAGGGGGTGTGACTTTGAGAGAAGCTATCCAGAAGAGATTAAGGAACGGGTGGGGTCAAACTGGACTGCGATGGGATTTGATGAGGTTGAATCGCTGTCCAGGTCGACATGAGGGGTGGCCAACTGCTGCGGGGAAATCGTGGAAAGATTGACAAACATCGTTTATATTATCTGCCTGCCTAGGAATTTCGGTGACGCCTCGTGACAGTCTTATTCAAGCACCCGTAGCCCGGTTTGGTTTCCTATCCATTATACTTCTCCGCCTTTGCTAGCCACTCTTGCAATTTAACTAGTCCTGCTGCACCCCCAGCTCTTGTGACTTTGCTGTAGATCCCTGTCTTGCGCGGTCTCTGAGATAGTCACGACTATGTCCCAGTTGCTCAACCTGTCCGTCGGGTTCGGGCCTCTTAGACCGCCGCAGCTGGTTTTTATTTGGCCCGACTGATGAAAGCTGCTCAGAGTTTGACTATAGCTATTCGTTTCCTCCGGCTTCTTTTGCTTTCTGGGTATCTGACTGGAGTTAGCTTGTGATGTAGTTTACTTGGCAATGCTATTATGGGACTATAAATATATCAGGCGAGGTGAGGTACAACGTGAAGCTGCAGCAAGGCGCTTACCCCCCTCGATGGTAGAAACAAGGGCCATGATAATTCACATGAAGATGTGTACTAACCTTAGTCCCGAAACCTTTTTGCACAATCCAATATTTTCCGCTTCATAGACTTTCTTTGGTCATGGTTGGGCCCCGAGCGACGGCGCAGTGAGTTCCTCTCTCCGACATCAACAGAGTGCGTGCTGCTAATAGACTGGCCGGTTATCTTGGAAATTTCAACGTTCCAGCCGTAGATGGACACCAGAGCCAATTCCTCTAGGTGGTCGATGAAGTGAGTATACAGTCGGTCAGACCGCTTTTTCGGCGTGCGACCCTTTTGCTCCATGTTGCACAGGGGACAGCAATATTTGTCTCTTGGGTTGGGCACCCTGCTCCTCCTTAGCATCGACGTGTCCCAGCCCGTTATGTCAGGATGATTTGTCACCTCATCTTCAATGAGGTGATTCTGCAAGTCGTGCAGGGTAATGAAGCATGTATTGCTGTCGTTACAAAATGGACACGGCCATTTGGTGCGATGGATTTCTCGAAACCAGTTGGTCTCGTTGCCTATCAAGTAGCGATTGTGCATCTCCATATGGTCCTTCCATTCGTCTGCAGTCGAGAAGAGCTTTGGGATGTGTCGGCAATACTCAGAAAGGCACGCATATGGCTTCAAATCAGCTTTCAGGTGGGACCTGGGAGAACATTAGCAGATAGTTGGCATGGCTCTGGGATGTAACGGTCGACTCACTCCCATTGGGCCCTTCTCTGCTTCCTACTTGCTGATTGTGGAATCACGATGTCACGGAAGCAATATCGGCAATTGGCTTTGCTTTCACCACGTGCCACCTCTGGTGGATCTGGATATGATGCTGGATATAAAAGGGTATCGTCAGCCATTTCCCGTTGTTGACTTCTTCGTGCACCAGGATTGGCGTTTTCCATTGCCTTCTCATATTTCAACAGATGATAGATAATCCGGTAGCGTCGATGCAATATGGACAGCACCAGCTGGGTTATCAATGTAGGTTCAGCACGCGGGAAGCGTCCATGTATTAATCTCCAGACGAGAGCCGCAGAGCCATCGCCCCATTTTGTTGCGACAAGACGACGGATTTCTCTCGCTTCCCTAGCGGCTGGGGATTCGTAATTCCGAATACACTGGTCAAGTCGTTCGAGTCGGCTGATGGCTCCGGTGATTCCATACAAGGCGCCATCAGTCTCTACCACTGTCCTGGCGAGTGGATGGGAAATACTGGCTGACATGATTCAGTCAAGTTAGAAAGTAATGGTCAATGCGAGATATGCGATGGTACTCACCTAGCCGAAGGGCTCGTTGAAGAACTGAAAGCATTGACATGACTAGTTCTTTCATGTCAGGGTAAAACTTGAGACGACGATCAAGACAACTGCTTGTATTAACCCAGAACAAGAACCAAACCTCATAGATTGCCATGTACAGTTGATATGGATTCTGGTCAACTGACATGTTGCGGTATTTGGAAAAGAGGCTCAGGCACCTGTTGGTCCGAGAGTAAATGTTTTTGGGGGCTTTTGAAATGGCGAGTTCGCCGTTTTGGGGTTGAGCATCAGCCATGGCTGCGCTCTGTAGTCGCTGAAAATCGTGGAAGGAAAGGAACGAAAGAAAGTTGACGAGGTCGGGCTTTGCCTTTTATCCTCGGATGCCGGGAGATTATTGCCGCCTGTAATTTGGGGCGGCAATTTTTTTCGCAACATTGAACCCATGAAGACACAAACATTGACGGACCGTACATACAAGCGGTGATTGTTCACAGCACCGGCTCAGCATTGTCAGCACCGCCCGCGACCAGCTCACCACATGCGGGCATGGACTGTGCTGCCCACCTACCTGGGTCCTCGGGGCTTTGTTGTTGGCATGTTCAATGTCGGGACATCGAGTACTACTACCGGACAATCACTGGGTCGGATAGCCAACCAGACTTTTGCGCCTCTGTGCATGCATGTTTCGGGTGCCTGGCTGGCTGCATGTTCGGCCAAGAGTCAGTCTAAGTGACGCACTGGCAACATTCAATGTTGGATATGTTGGCCCAACATCGAACACGACATGAACACTTGAACCAGACCAGACGCCTCGTACCAGAGCGTAATTCATTGAACAGCCCTGTGCAACAAACTGTTGGCTTCTCGTCTGTAGTGTAATAACTGAAAGCCCCGTGAATAGCTCCACGCCCGTTCGCTCACAGCTCATTTTCAGTACAAGTGGTTCGCGACAACGGTCCAGTTGGATACGGATCTAGACGGTCTGGTTGGTTCTGAACTGTCAGTGGCCGGGCATGGTAAGTCCCCTCACCGGACTCCGCCTCGTGCCGCTGGGCCTCGATGATCATGTTTTCTAACGAGTCACGAGCGGTTCTGCATGACCTCAGCAATCCCAGTGTTGTCACCAGCCCCGCAAACATTCTGAAGCCTTCTCTCGTCGCTGGCCACGGCGTTGCTTCGTTCAAGGCTTTGGAAGAGCACGCACCTTCATTATTCGCTTCGGATTGCGGGCCAAGGATATCGGCGAAGTTTCCGAGAAACAGGTCGGTCGAAGCGTCAAGGGCGTAGTCGAAAGACAAGGGGCTCAGATTTACGCTCAAGAATAGGTCCTGATCCGACAGAATGCGCCGGAGTGAATTTTGAAAATGGCCTTGTAAAACATTCAACGGTGGATAGCGTGGGCTTATGCAACTCGGAGGCCAGCAACTTCCTTGAAGCCCCTGCCTCCATTCTGATCCGTCTTCAGTGAAGATGGCTTCGCCGAGTAGAGGCACGAAGCAGATACTTCGCAATGGTCTATGACCAAATCTAGGGAATTGTTCGGATAACACCGAAGAAATGTTGTGCGAATCTCTCGTAAAAATGGTGTCCTTACGTATCACCGTATCGTTCGTGATCTTGGAGGGAGAGTACTGGGATCTTTCGTTTTTTTTTCGGCATCGAGTGTCTTGAGTAATTTGTCAATACCAAATGGGAGCTTCCAGGACAATGGCAGCATGTTGATCCGGCCACAATCTCTTCAATCGCCATGGTAATGCCGCGATGGCTGCGGTCATGGTTAGCGCATCCTCAAGATTTTCCGCTTTTAGGGAGGAGGATCCAAATAACCACACATTGCGGTCCAACCACCAGCTGCTCACCAGAAGATGGGCAGAACCGACAAGTTGAGATGCGACCACGAATGCCTGACTTTGACATGTGGTTTTGTTTCGTGGCGAATGACCTGGCGATGGGGCCTCGTTGGAGAGTTGGGGAGTTGGAGAGTGGGAAGGAGAAAATGAAGAATTCTGCGGAAACTGTGCCGCCGTGTTCATGACAGCGTCGTTATCCAAGGCGTCGAGAGCAAAGGGAACAGCGGGTTTGTCTCGAGTGAGCGGCTGCGTTGTAATCGAGCTGGTCAATGCACGTGGGCAATATTATCAAGACTGTGCACCGGGGAAGCCGGCAAGGCCTCCCCCTCTAGCGGAGCAGGGCGCCTGATTGACCGAAGTGCTGTTCGAAGTGCCTCCAGCACGGGACAGATGACTGCTGGTTCGAAGGAGCTTGTAGATAGTACAGTAGATCCTTTTCTTCAATGAGTTTACACACGGCCACAAGCGCCTGGCCGTGTCTCTCTACGAGACGAATGTTTCCAATGGCTGCATCTTTCCAGTGGTTCCGGCATCTAGTCCACTTCCCATTCTTCACCGTGATTCGTGTGAGCAGCAGGCGGGCCACGAGTTCGCTTGATGCCAAACCGCGCTCTCGGCTCTTGCAATGCTCATAAAATCGGCGGGGTCAGTTCAATGTTGTCCTGGTGTTTTTGTCGTGTGCACACAAAAGGCTGCTGTAGGCCCCACACCTTGACACCGGCTCGCAAGCTGTTACTGGTGATGATGACGTTGCCACATGTCTCATCACCCCCCCAATGATGATGGACATGTCAGTTGAAGATGCACGTCAAACCATGGCAATCTTCCGTACTTCCTGTCTCGTTGAAAGTAATAGGTGTGCTGTGAGCGGCAAGGGGCGAGGATGGTGTGCCAGTCCAGCAGTCGGACCAGGCGTGCAAGCATGTCATATCGTGCCCCAGCAATTGACACTACCATGTATATCCCCTGCCTGAAGCTTTCAGCAGTGAGCACAGATACAGTCATCGTCGCCTTCGTGAAGCTTGGCGCCGCACATGGCTAGCCAAGAATGGCATATTGCTTTCCAATACTCTTCATGAGCTGTTCGACCTTAGACTCTTTTCCATCCATCCAGATACGCTGCGAGTCCGCATCTTTGTTCCATTCGACTTTCTTGAAGAATATCACGGTCGGACTGCTCAGCTACCACCTAATGTGGATCGCAGAGCTTTACGCCATCATTACGAGATGTGTTGCATCGAGAACATGGCTGCTGAGATGCCCTTAAGGGAACAGATGCTACAATCTTACGCTGGGGCGAGGTCAATCGCTGCGTCGACCTTGGAATCTGACTCTTATATTGCCAGCATGTCTCCTGAGAGCACCAGAGGTATAAACGATGAGCTGACCTCGGCACAAACCGGAGACCCTTCGAAACGGCGGGCCCGGCAAGCGCAAGATAATGCTGACATGCCGGATTTAGCCAGCCTTCAATCTGCTTCATTCTCAGCAAACGAAATATCAGCGGTTACACCGGACTACGACAAATATGGTCCGGATGACCAAGTCATGCTGGAAAGAGGCAAACGATGCACCGTGGTAGGACCCAGCACTTATCCCCGAAAATGGCAACGAATTTCAGACTGTGAAGATGCTGCTTGGGCTGGTGTGGCAGATGATGAGGCACTGAATCATGCTCAGAGCCTGCACATATTTGCATCTATGCCGCTTAGCATTGAAAGATTTCTGGCCGAGAGGTCAAACTTGACAGACAACGAATACACTCACGACTAATGAGGTGCCTTATGCTTCGGAACCACTGCAGTGCATTCATTATTGACAAAATGGCTTGCTGTTGCAGTGAGGGAGAATTCATCGTCATATGTAGCGCTGTCAGTTTCTCAATGTCTTGTGTTGTTGCGAGGGAGAGAGAATTCGAGGTGTCTTGTTAGCAAATATAGCAAGCGACCGATTTCTATATCAACAGGCCTGCCAATACCAGGGTGTCCGCTGGAGATTTTGCGCTATCGACTGTTAGCCTTCGTTGCATTCAGTATTGAAAGCGAAGGTACTCCAGTCTGGTGCGTAGAGAATCTTGGCACGGCATGTGGTGGCCCTGGGATTCCATGTTCCTTCCGCATAGTAATTACTACGCTGCACACAGGAAAACCAAGCCTGGCGCCACAAACCAGTTGCCCGATTTCGCGCGAACAAGCATTCTTCGTTGTCTTGACCTCAGCCATACGGGTTTTGACAGTGCAAAACGTATTTGATGCTTTGGGCTTCGGTGCAGCCTCTGAGGAGGGTCAAGCTACTTCCATTCTACCACAAAAAAGTCATCAAGCTCGACTAAGGCCGAAGCAGATACAAACAACTTTCACCAGCATCCACGTTCCTCAAGTAGCTCTACCGAGCATGACCCCAAGATTGCGAGTCCTTTCGATTTCGACGATATCATGGACCCCTTCTCTATTGCAGTTGAAACCGCGGGCCTGGCAGATGTATCTTTCCGCCTTCTCTTATACTTGGCAGATATTAACAAAGCCTCTACCGAGATCCAGGATGCAATTGCCATTTTGAGTGAGGAAATTAAATCCTTCCTGGCCGTCAATGATTCGGTCGAGGACTTTCCCCATCCCAGACGTGACTTGGGCAATTTTGAAGCACCACTGGACCATGAATCTGATGTTGACAAAGTTTGGAAATTTTGGCATTGATCTTACAGCAGGTCAAGCGCACTATTGAGCAGCTCGAGACACTATTGCGTGAAATCGTCGGCAACAAAGGGAAACTCTGGCAATCTGTGGCACAAAAGACGGAACAATTACCAGCGGATGAGCTGTCCAAGGCTGGAGAACATCTCCCAGGAGATGATACATGGCAAGAAGCGGTAATCGGAGTTGCCAGCCTGAGTAAAGCCAAAAACAGAGAGCACTCTGCACAGGGGTGGCTCGAAGAGCTACTAGGCTCCAAGGGCTACCAGCATCTCAGTCTCACAAAAGTCAACATGCACAGTCTTCTAGCAGCCCGAACTGGTCAGGGCAATTTCGACTGGTATCACCAAAAATTTAAACACAAGGGCAACCCACGCTGATCCTACCAAAGGCTCCGTACCCGTGAACACATAGTGCTCTGCCCAAAGTCTAGGCGACTAGAAAACCAATGACCACATGTGCAGTGTTCAAGCCAAAAACACAAAGCATCAGGTACTACCGGCTACGCCTAATAACAAGTCCACCAAACGATAATGCCCACACAAGTAGCCGCGTGATTTATGCAACCTACGCAGTCCCCCCTGTTCCCTACATTTTCCTTTTCTTACGTTATAATATCATCATAAGATGCCTTAGCAGCTGATCCGCAGCGAGATGTACATCAACTCCACTGAGCACGAGCTCGAATGGAGGAGCCAACGGCAGCAGTTATGAAACTTACCTTGCCGTCAGGCCAGATACCTGGGATGTTCTACGATATCTTACCTGTAGCATAGATACTAGATAGTCTTCCGCGCGCCATATGCCCCATGGGAGGCGGCAGCGCGAGCGCTCCTATGGCGTTCATATTATCTTTCATTCATTCTCGCCTGTCTCCATCACTTGCACCCCCAGCTCTGCCGCCCAAGAACCTTGATGCGGGTCGTGATATCTCGAAAACTTTGCTCAAGCCGAGCAATATTGCTAGCATAGACCCAGAAGTCTCATGTTCCTAAAGATTACTCTCAGGTTCAGTATGCGTACTCGATGGCTAGCTGCGACTTGCTTCATGCAGACTTTCTTCCTATGAGTGACTAACGTGTTGGGTAATAGATCTATCCGACACCACTCAGGCCGAGAATCGAAGTCTGCAACCCTAGCCAGCCATAGCTTTCTTCCATCTGGTCGAGTATTTTCTCTCGTTTCACGATGTCTTTTGTAGCGTAGGAGCGGGATCACGATTAACGGGTTTCGCGGCGTCTCTGGTCGCTCCGTTCGTTGGTCAGCCATTGAGGCATGAAGTCAGTGCCTGTGATAGGCACAACGAGTGCTGCGTTGACGACTGCTTGCTTGCGTTCAAGCTCCCCTGGGCTGAGGTTGGCCCTGCTAATTGCAGTCCGTGGCGGGATTCCTCAAATCTAAGGTTCCGATGTTTGCTGGGTTATGTTGTCATCAGCAAAACGGTCGTTCAGTACAGCTAGAGATTGCAGTACCCAAGCCGCTGCGAGGCGAAAGATACGATTGAAAACAAGCAATGGCGGGCTAACAGGGCCATTCGAGGTTTTCTAGCGAGCATCGAGACGGGGTTTGGAGGGGAGAGGTTTGGTGGCCCCGGGTGCGAAGGAGGAGCCCAGCTGGGATTGGCTTCGCACGTGGGAGGGGGAGATAGGGGCCCCGCTTCTATTTGAAAGAAGCACAGTCTGGTCAATGAGGTCGCTGTGCCTGGGCGCGTGATGTACCAACGTACTCCGTAGTTCTCGCAATTTAAAATCTCGTGCCAACAAGCTATCTTCCATCAACTCCAAGGACGTCCCCCTTCAGTACATGCTAGCACCTTCTCAAATTCTAGCCATACTAAACGCGACAATACTTTCGTAGTTTTCTTTCTCGGTAGGCGACGATATTCTCAGCATGCGAGCTATATTCCACCGCTGCCTACAACAAATGAGATGGCGCCCCAAAATCCGGGCGACTCCTGCCGAAACCGCAGAACATGTCCAATGTAGCGAAAAGTTTCTCAGCGACCATTACACGCCCTCTCCCGAAGACTACCCCGTCTTTCCCCCGCCTCCTCCAAGGCTTATGATAAAGGACCGAGTTCAGTATTGGAATGCAATCGTAGCGAGGAAATTCGGAGCACCTCAAGGCTATTTCGAAGATTCGCCCCTCTTCGCTCTTTACAGGCTATACGAGTTCATTGTCCTAGATCGGGCTCTTGATTATCGCAATACCCTGGAATCTTTCTGGCGACAACGCGGTTGGGATGTTCAAGGCATTCCAGATCCACAAGACGATGATCTAGAGAGGTATGCCTTCCTCGCGGGCTGCACTTACCTTCTTGCACGATCCTTTAACCAAAGAGTCGAGCTGGGCCTCCAACGAGATAATCCCTCTTTGATCACACCAGAGGAAGCAGAGAAGGCCAGGAGTGTCCCTGACCACCTCCGCCAGTGGGAAAAAGTCCCGGAATGGGCAGAAAACGTGGCGCCGTTAGAGGACACTCTAATGCTTCCAACTCATGATGGAGTAACAATAAAGGATAAAGATGACCCTAGAGCCGACCCGGACTTTGTGGCTAAAAACATACTCCTTTGGACGCCTCACATTTTTTTCACATGAATTGCTACAGCAACTTGTGGTTTTACATTTTCACAAAGACTGGCAATAGAACTCAAGCAGCAAGCTTCACACTCTTTAACGAACACGTTCCTCCTCGCACGCAGACAAGGCACGCCGCTGCTTCAACACTGTAAAGACACTACACGCCCCGATTGCAAACCACGATTGCAGTCTTTTCTGGTCTGAGACTAACAAACAATTATTCTCACACATCGGGCCTGCCTCGTTAATCGAAAGCATTGCCTCCGTACCGCCTGCGGTAGGCCTGGTTGACCCGGGTACGGAGAAAATTTGCCGTACTCTCATGGTTAAATTGCCGCGCCCAATCCAAGGCTGTTGCTGTCGGCACAGGTTGATCGCCGTGAGCACGAATATACTCGTGGATGTACGAGACCGCGTCGTCCAGATCGTACGGCCGGGCTTGGTCGCCACCTGCGAGAATGCGATTCACCTTTGCCGAAAAGGCATACGCCCATGGAGCTGCATATATGGTCAGTCCCGCCATGTCAAAGACCCTGACATTCTGCCTCTCAGCAGCTTCGGTCAATCGGCTGTGTAGCGGCCCTGGCATCCACATCTGCGTTTCTGTATTGAGCCAATCGGTCCCGAGACCGCCCCTCGCGTATCTCAGTCGAGCAGGCACGGGACTGCTTAGTCATACGGCCTCTGTGCTGGAAACGGTCTCCAAGACTTGCAGCCACATCCCAAAACATGTCGATCGTGCTTGTCAACTTTGTTCTGGCACACACGAAGCACTCGAATATGCTCATGACCAAGCCCACAACGCCTCGCGACATCAATGTCTTCTGCAGCCCAGCCTCGTACTAGCATCATAACCCGTGGGCAACGAATGCGCAGAGTCGCCGATGCCCTCCTCAAAGCGCATCAAGCCAAGACCTCCTCAGCAAAACCAACGACAACGCCAAAGACATGTCCCATTCGCATAGTCTGCATTTCTGACACACACAACAAGCAGCCAACGGTGCCCTTGGGAGATGTTTTAATTCATGCCGGCGACCTAACAGAAAACGGATCATTTGAGGAGGTGCAGAATGGCCTGACGTGGCTTTCATCGCAGCCGCACAAGTACAAGATCTTTGTTGCGGGCAATCATGACGTCCTGTTAGACGACATGTTCCTTGACAAGTATCCCGAACGACGCTATGGGCAGAGTAAAACCAAGAAAGACCTGGACTGGGGAACTGTAATGTATCTGGAGGATTCCTTCATCACTCTCGAAATCCCCGCGAGCCAGCAAAAGCAAGAAACACGCACAGATCAAGTCGTTGAAGGGCAACCCAGGATGGGAAGCATCACAATTTTTGGCAGTCCGTGGACGCCTCGGTACGGAATATCGGCTTTCCAATACCACCCATACAATTCTCAACAGTGGAAGGATGCATTCGCCTCCCTAGATGAGAGGCCGCACATTGTCGTCACCCATGGTCCGCCGCACCTTCACCTCGATAGACGTGACTTCCACCGTGCCGGATGTCCATACCTAGCCGAGGAACTTCACCGCATGCGGCCTCGTCTTCATGTATTCGGCCATATCCACGCGTCGTATGGGCGTGAGGATGTGATGCTAGACAGCGTGCAGAGAACGTATGAAGAGGTGATGAGGGGGTGGGCGGGTTGGGGTGGCATCGCATGGATGGCTATCATTGTTTTATGCGCCAGAGTGAAGTATATTTTCAAAGAACCAAACGCGCATAAGAACGTAACTTTCGTCAACGCTGCGGTTGTAGGGGGGCCTCAGAATGAACTTCAAAATACACCAATTACTATAGATATTTAGTGTGTTGTATGAGCTAGTATATGAGTCCGAAGCCTGTTATTTCATGGATATAAATCTGCCCAAGACATATAATTCACGGCGCCTTACCAATACTCTGAGTGGAGTGGCTTTCACACTGTATAAAGCAGACAAGTTTACGGACTTGACAACCGTCCAGCTCGTCATTATGCCCTGTTGGCTGGGTGGGTGGTCGGCAGGAACAAGTCCAGCCGTTGTAAACATGCCGTGACAATCGGGGCATGTTAGTCATAGAGTCCGCTCGATGGAACGTACGGGTCTTATTGCTACAGAATCGGGGTGCTTCTTTCCACGTTTTATGATAACCCTAACCCTCCTATCTGGTCCCGACCGTAACAGATTACCTCCCATGGCTGAATACATTTTATTTTCTTACTTTCGCTTGCCGTCGTCTTATTTAAGACGTTTTCACTCTGTTGTCTATTTTTGCATACCCACTGTTTGTGGAATTAAGTATTCGACTATCCAGCGGCGTGGATTGAGTCCAGGCCCTCCAACGTGGGTTCAAGATTCGAGGACGATGCGCCTTGACACACCCCTAGCGGAGCGACACTTCAGATCGGCCCGTCCCTAGCGCTATTTCAAGATTGAGGGGTACTTTGGCATCTCGGCATCTTGTCTTGCGATGCTCGATTCCGAGAATCTGAAGCATCACCACCAATGCTAATCACGGACTGCCCTAGCGTATCAATGCTAACACTAGGCAACATTGAATTTACCAGCAACCACCGGCTATTGCCACAGGCATCTGTGACGGGGAGTGTTCCTGGCCAGGTGTACATATGTATCCTATTGATTGTGTCTGTCAGGTCGGGACCTTGTATCAGCTCTCCCTTCTTCAAACATGCTTTGATGTCCGATGCCTCTTCCGGCTCCATATCGTGATCCAATGTGAGAACAAGCTGGCTAGGAGGCCATGTATTATCTTGAGTCATGCATTTGTGAGGTTGCGACGAGAGGCGAGGTGAAATTGTTGTTGAGTATGAATTGATGCATCATGCAACTTTTTATTTCTTTACGGATGCCGACCTCCTATGCGGGTTTCCAATTGGCCGGGTGAATCTAGGTAGTGGGTCCAGGTGGTTGATGCTCAATTCTTGGCATGACCCGCCACCGATTGAGTCCAGACTTCAGAGATCAAACAACAATCGAGTCAGACGCCATCCAGCAGGCCAGACATTTGATGGCCCAGAATTCTGGCAAACTAAGCCTGTATGCTGAATCAGTCTTCAAACCCATCTGTGAGAAACTAGAGCGCTCCAACTGGCGGATGCGATTGCCGTCGTACATCTCAAAACGCGTCCGCCACCGATCCGTGTCATGAGAAGTTCCGCCATATCTTTGAGAAGAGGCCGCGCATAAGTTGAAAAGTATCGACTTGAGGACGTCGATGTCTGTGTGGAGAGGTACCTTATGTAAGTGAAGAAAAAGTCTTGATTTCGTGTATTACTGTATTTAACTTTATTTCTTCTCCAAGATAAGCTACCCTGTAGCTCTTTCCAGTCGTTCGTCTTTTATGCGAGTTGTTCAGTCTTGGCCAACCATCTTTCTTCCTCTTACACGCCCAAGTTTCGGAGAATTGAAAAAAGAAGACGTCCCTCGGAATTTCAACCCCGTTTAAGCCCAGCTGGAATGAAAACATGGCACTTTAGCCGCAGATTCTTGTATGTGACAAGGGTTCAATATGAAGGCTTGGAGCAGAAAAGGGCTCAATTCAATAATAATCTCGTAGGATGGCAAAGGTCCTGAGTTGCTACGAGAAAGGAAGAGAAGGGTGACCGCCTTATATACATGAAAGGAACGCCCGGGCCTAAGGTCCTTGCCCGGGCACGTGTTCTGGCCGTGTAACCAACAAGTCCTATATCGGCGTGAAGCCCCTTTGTTGGGCTTCACGATCTGTTGGGCCTTTTCCGTGTAACATTGTACGACGGTATGTAAATCTTAGCGAACGCTAGGTAAGATCGGCACGCTCGCCTACGCAGCAGTCAGCGCTTGTGCAAATCTAAAGAGGGGTCAAGATGCAGGCAATCACTAAAGCTTGGCAATCGCTTATGCATGTAGATGTGCCGTGGGCGCCGAAACTGTCGTTGGGCCCAATCAAGCTCGTCCATCAGGTCACGCAGCATCACAAGAAGACATGCTGAGCTGAAGATTGTTTGATGCTCGACGTCAACTCAAGGGCCCCCTTGCTGGGCTTCTCGCGCGAGATGCGACGGTCGTGGATCCTTTATTCCCGATGCGCAGTACACCCGGGCCTTGTGCTCTACTCTTGACATTGCTACTCCGTACCTAGGTACGTATACGGTGCTTGGCATACGGGCATTCTTTGTAGGCTTTGATCGTTTTTTGCCCCCATCTGTAGATGACTCCATCTAGTACTGTGCTAATGCAATGTTACATGCAGCCACATGGCTCGCCCAGCAAACACCAACCCCGGCTGTTTTCGGGTTTGTCCGTCCATGTCTTGTGGAGCAAAACCGTTGCGGCTTACCCGATCACCCGCCAGATCTGCACTTGAGCTGTCATCGGTGTCAATCTAACGACTTGCATATGTAATGCCGGGATTGAGACTGTGGTCGTATGAGGACGCGGCAATCGCTGCGGCCGCATCTACAACACCGGCGTTAGCAGGTCAGGTGTTGGTGAGCCTGAAGGCCCGATGGTTGGCGCAATAGTTCCGAGTGGCTTGGTGGCAAAAGCAAACTTTCCTCATTTCTACTCTGCGTGCAGCTATGCATCGCGCCGTCTGGAATATTTCGCGACTTTGAAACCAACATTACTGTTGTAGCAGCGGCATCTCCGTGAAATTCACATACAATAACATCAATGCGATATTTCACTAGTCTTGTGATGGAGACTACATGTACCCATGGGCAGGGCTTAGGTATGCCGATGCCAGAAGGGTTCATCTACTCACGGTTTGTTTTGAGTTTCCATTTGCGATAGTTACCATTGTCTTCAACCTGAGGAGAGCTATACGCCTTATTATTATGTAGGCTCAAGTAGCTGTTAATATCACACTTGAACTATAGACGATGGCTGCTACACTGGCAGCTGGGCTTGTTACATTCCCAACTCGGATGACTGGGCCGTGGGTGCAACTTGGTCGCTGCTAACTCTATTAGGAAACTAGTGAACTAACTTGTCTTTATTTTGTGCATTTACATCTGCCAGATAAATTAACCGGGGTTCCTAGGTAGCCTACATATCTCCGAACCTCCACATTCTCCACCGGCATGTCGGTTTTCTTTCAACGAGTAAACCGTTTAAATGCAGGGCTGGTATCAAGTTCAGGAGAGCATCTGTGAGTAAACCATGACAGTCATGTATATTATTAACGTCAGAAACACGAAATCTAGGGCGGAGAAGAAACCCTTGGTTATCAGAGATAGTACTGTTGTGTCAGTGAAAAAGGTGAGACCATATCGACATGAGGAAACTAATGAAATGCGTCAATGCGCACGTGCTGCTCTTGAGTACTGAATTGAAAAAGGAGGCAACATGGCATTGCTTTTGTAGCTCGGGCGGCTCCGCCAGTGAATTTGATGACCACGTCACGCCGCGTCCTCATGTTACTTCCTTGCCGCTGTGGAGTCGGTTCGTGTACTCCGGGCCGACGAATACCAAAAAGTCATGATTGCATTTAAGAATACTATTCCCGTAAAAGGGTCTTGCATAATATCGGCCGTTTTTGTCCCTTGCCCTCCGTTTCGGCATTTCGTCATCTTGTCATTAGCCGCACAGAGTCCGTCATCAATGTCTCCGTATTTAAGGTTCTCGCAAGCCGAGGTTTTCTACATTTTCAAATCTATTACGGCATGAGATAATTCGGGTTTGCAATCGTGCGTAATTCTTGCTTCTGGAGCGTGCTCTTTGTTTCTATCCATGATGGACTCGTCCGTGGAGCAGTTGCTAACTCCTTGCACCCCGAACCTAGACAATTTATGTCTCTTTATCGACGCCATAAAGTCCTTGCTTGACGAACGCGATGTCACGGTTATTTCTACCCTCGCTAGCCGATTGAGGCCCTTTCGAATTGACCTAAGGGGAGAGGCCATTGAGGACACTTCGTCGGCTAAACCAATACTCGTTCTTGATTCCGACCAATCAACATGGTGAGCTTCAGTATTTCGACATGGCGTAGGCTAGAGGGCTACAAACTAAATCATGGTTCCTAAAAGTAGTGAGACAGCATCGGAACATTCCGTTCAGCGGTATTTGAGTCCGGAATTGTCCATACTATCCCAGAATCAGCAGGCCGCCGGATTGACGGAGACACCCAATGCGCCAATCATCTTCCCAACAGACTCGACACAACTCACAGGCGTTGAGTCCCTGACAATCCCGGACGAAGAACTGTCTAAATACATGGAGATTTCAAAGTGGAATAACGTCAGTCATGCTCAGGACATGGACTGTACCGAAGAAAACGGCTTTTCGGGAGATGGCTTCAACACAGTCGGGGTGGACCCATTTCTGGTGTGAATCAAGGCCCAAGATTGCATTTTACACAAACAAAGCTAACCCAGTATCTTAAAAGGTGGGCGTTCATGGCCTTGAATCAACCGGTTCTCTACAACTGGGTAGTACTGGCATGTTCTTCGACAACTCTAGTATGTCTTATGATAGTATGTACATGATCCGAGAACTTTATCGTGGATGAGACGTGGCTAATATCGATTATAGCCGCAGTTAGCACGAGCTCTTCGAATGCTTCCATGGTATTTCCAAACGTGGAGACGATACCCCATGAAAATAATGAGCGATGGACAGGCAGCGATGTGAATGAATATGCTGGCGAATATTATGTCGAGTCGCCGAATACTTTGCCTACCTGCCCGCCTGTCAGCTATACAGAGAACACAACTCCCAGGGACCTGACTCAACTGAGTGAATCCTCATCTGCTTCATTGAATGGAAGCTGGCAGGCGACGGAAGAGATGGAGTCGCGCAGCTCACGGAACACTTCACCGGCCCAGTCTGTTTCACAGACGACCTGGCCTTTTGGTACCGCAAACCCTGACAGCAATGATGGACAAGCCGTCGTCGATTGCACGGAAGGCACCCTGTCCGACCCAGCTATGCAAAAGGTCATCTCGGCAGGTCGTACGTCCATTCGATCGGACTACCTTTCTCTCCTAGAAATGAACCTCCAGCGCTGGGCGACAGATGGTTTGTGGCACAAAACAGTGCCGCCTCCATACCAAAGAGCCAGTCGCTGCGAATATGAAAAGCTACAAAAAGCGTACTCGTGTCTCTGTCGCCTCGATATGCGGATGAAGGATGACGCCATCCGGAGCAGGATGGCCATGGTGCTGCTCCACTTGGAGTATGAAAATACCTATGTCAAATGGAAAAGAGGAGCCGCCGGCGGCATCAAGCCGATGACAGTGGGCAGGGGCACAATCAGCTCCATGATTGATGATATTCTGGAAAACACACATCCGCAATGGAAGACGGCCGGCCCCCGGGAGAAGTCGCAGCTGCGGGCCGATTTCCACGAACGTAAACGATTTGGAAAGAGGTGGTGGATACTCATCAACGCAATGGGACCGAGCATCTTGATGCTTTGTTCGTCAAAGTTTGCCGCGATCATGTAAGGCTGCCGCATTCCATCCCATTTCTTGCCCGTGGAGCACTAACATGGTTGGGAAGCAAAAACACCACCGTCACGAGTAGAATGCTCGAGGCAATAGGTGCTGTTACTCGAGAAACGGTGCCGCATGTCATTGATATTCTGGAGCTACTGAATCCGATTGCTGAGAGCCTGATTCGTGATCGCGGTTATAAGCGCCACGACGTGACGAAGCTTCTGAAGGAGGCACGGGCTTTCGACAAGCGTTTCGGGAATTTTATTAAGGGGGATAAAAGTAATTGATACCAAAATGTGTCCGTTTAATGAAACAATGTTAGGAAATACCATAGATGGAGTAATGTCTCGGTACTGAACTTGGTACTATACCATGGCAATTTTGGAGTAAGGACTTGTAGTTAACGATGTACGAGTATAAGGAAAAGACGGATAACCCATCGGATTGTGAATAATTTTTGTTTCAAAGATCGCTAGCAAGAACGAGATTCCTAGATGCTTTTATTGTAGCAAGGCTATAACTATGTAGCGGCAAGCGTAGATTTTGGCTGCAGCAATACGCCGCCGATCGGAGCCTGGAAGTAAACATAAACCCAGATGATCTGTACGATATTAAGGCTAATGTGTTAGAGTATGTGGTATCATGAATTTTGTGATGCGTAGCTAGAGTGTTACCCACTCGTCTATCAATTATTCGGTTGCAATACGACTTGGTAGGTAGTGGTTGTGTTGACTGCATATCCAACCCGGCTTTGCCGTGCATGCTTGCTACGCGTCACCAAACCGTCACACGAGGAATCTAAAATAAACTCAACATTTTCTAATGACTGCCTATGCACATCAAGTAAACCGGCAAGGCTGGCAGTATATATGTACGTATGAATTCACCCGGAGGGGAAAGGGGGGGGGGGATGTGTCCAGCACATGCCCATCATGCACCAGTTGACCTTATAAGCAGTGTGGTGTACACCATTAAACAAGCAGTTCCCCCAAGAAGGGAAAGAGATTAAATTTGAGAAGCCTTGGGTTACAGTATAAGTCCACTATATTAGACTCTTAAATAGTCCAAAAAACACTCAAAAGTTTAGGGAAAAGTGTATTAATCAGCTTGTTAGTTTCTACAAGTAACTCAAACTTAGCTGATATATGTTTTTTAGTTTAGGTTGTAGGCCAACCGAAACGTCCAGATATTGAAAAGTGGCCTGATGAAGAAATGCCTAACCTGAATAGCATGTGACCAGCCCCAGATAGAATGCTATACTTTAAGTTTTGGAAGATGAGAAGAGGGTGAGGCAGCCAAAGCTTGTCCAGACCTTACGAGAGTAACTATTGTCTGATATTGTGGTAATCTACTAGCATTATATATGCTGAATTTCTTATTACTTTGATACAATGTCTGCCGGATCCTCAGGGGTTGAAGCTGTTCCGTTGCACAAAGCAACCCCCGAACAACTCGAAAATGAATTCTTTCCTCTACGTCCGGATACAGAACTGGCGTCAGAGCAGTGTAAGCTGTGGCAGGAGATCCTGCGTCGGAACCCAAAGCGGCTCCCCCCGAAATACCCTCCAGAACTCGGAAAAGGCCTAGACGAGACCAGAAATTGGTCTAACGCTATCCTGTCTGCCCGTGATCAGAATACTCAGAGCCTTATGAATGCATACACAACACCATCTCCGTTCAATCTGATCAGGAAATCGTGGGTAATTCCAAACCCCCAAACCTTGATAAAAGACTTGACGGGGGACCGGCCTTACGTGGACGGCAATTACCGGCTTTATTCTTATATTAGGCTCGACGGATAGCAGAATAATATCTCTCTCAAGGTTAGAGTGGAGTCTGAGTTTGAGGTTTACTAAGGCAAGATCAAAGACGAATCCAAATTCTATCACGCTGCAATTCTGTTCCGCGGCCCAAACGAACAACCCATGTATAACTTCAACAAAGACTTTGTCGAGCCCGGTGTCCTTATTACTGCCTACGTATAGTGTACGCTGGACGGGAAAGTTGGAATGGCCGCCCTTTTCAACGAAGCAAAGAACATTTACGACGATGGCGAGGTAAAGGCCCCCGAGCCTGGTGTTGTTGTAGAGGGACAAAGCGGCGAGTGGATAATTTCTGGCAAGAATCCTGACACTCCGCAACATTATCGTATGCCACATTACGGGGCGACTGCCTTCTTCAATGGGTTTGTCACTCGCAATGATAAAAGGGAGCAAAGCATGAGTGAAGCGATGCTGGCCGATGCTGAGGACGTTAATTCGTCCGCACAACGCAAAAGTGAGGTTATTATGTACTCGGACTGGATGCCCGGGATTAAGAACCCTTGAAGTACACAAGTTTCTTGATTGTGGCTGGTAACTCTACAGATTGGGCTGGAAATAATAGTTAGGGACGTGTCAAGATGAAGTCGCCCTTTCAAGGCGAAAGCAATCATTATGCTACTGCCTGCCTTGGGCAGGATTATACGAGTATTTAGTATTTGAATAATTCCACTCCTTTGGTTCAAAAACCAAGAGCCTTATTTTTGTCCAAAAAAAATCGAGATGTGTGATAGCGAGACTGTCTTCTTGATCGTGCGACCCTCGGGCGAAGTGTGAGAGAAGCAAAGAATCCTTGGACCATTCCACGTCCCCAAGATGCCAAGTTCTCGGCCCAAAATCTTAAGCCACGCCAAAAATGTATTTGGCTATAGCCAGTCGTCATTACTGCGTTGCAGATACTAGGCGAAAAGTTTAGGAAGGAAAAAACACTCACTATCTACGCTGTTGCCAATAAAGCAGATGAACAAGGCATTTTGCCTTTTTACTCGGCGAATCGCAAAATGACGGCGCCTAGGAATTAGACAGACTGCGGTCTCTATATAGCTAGCATTATCATGGACTTTCTGTCATACCGTCAGCTATCCAATGTCTCGTTGGTGTCAATACTTTCCAGACCTCCTTGTCACTTTTAAAGTTTGAGACAAAGTATCTGCCACATCATCTCATCATTGAAGTGTAGCATGGGCAAACCTTGTATGACCAACACTGCTGCTGCTGTCACGAGACACCGATTAGATTTACAAGGCATCCACGGAGATGTGTGTGTATGGAAGGGGTTGGTCAGAGTATTCAACTGACACAAAGTTGGATGACAAGATTTTACCAGTAGGTTCAGGGGGCACCGGAGTGCGATGATTAGGGGATAATCTCAGTAAATTTGAATATGTTGGATGAGCGTTTGATGAGACTCTTGTGATGGTGTGTAGGCCCCTAGCCATGATGACAGTGTCAAGTTTCCGATGCTGCTACCAAGTTTAGTGACAGACAGAGGAGTGTCGGTCCATCTGCTCTGACAGAGAAACATTGAACATTTGAACATCAGCCTGTCTGCTTAACCCAATTATAGTCTTGCTTCATAATAACGCTAGTTCCATGGCGACTCATAGCTTAGACCTGGTCTAGCAACAATGACAACGTTGACCGAAGTTATCAATTAAGAGATGGAATAGAGTAGTCTCTGCCCACAAAATCGGACAGTCTAAACCGAAGGCGGACAGTTGCAATCGAAATCACCCACCAACTTTGTACTTCACCTGCTACAAAGGCACAGACTACTAGACCAGACTCTATTAGGTGCCTGGTGTGCGGAACGGATTGACAAATTAAAACCACCAGTATTAAGATGTACTAGATTTCCCGTTCCATTTTCGCTACTTTCTAGGCCCATGTCATAGCATTTCTAGTAATATCAGCTATAAAGTGGCCAACAAGCTTATAGTAACTACTACTCCCATCTCAATCTCACAAAACACAAGTATATTACACTTGTATAGTGAGTACTATACATGCACATGTCGTGTATGCCTAGGTAAAAGTAATAACATACATGAAGCTAGACAAAGCTTTATATAGGTTACTCGTAGAAGATTTACTTTTAAAAAAGGTATTCCTATAATAAGGTCCAGGTTTAGTATTCTTCAACGGGTACTTAAAATTGCTTAGATTTAGTAGGTTCTTACCTTATGCGCTGAAATAATATCCCAGCCCTTTTTTATTAGTGCTGTATAGTGCGTTTCTAGAGTAAATTCACGCGGCGTGTGAATTTCATGGGAACCACAGTTTCACAACATGAACCGAAAACAGCCGTGCCGCCACCACTCCTCCCGCGATCGCATGCAACGATTATATGTAAACAATTCAACGCGCATTATCGCATGGCGTGATGCGCCGGACACGGAAATCGGCTGTATGCCTACGTCCGGCCACATCTGTTTGACCCGGGCCATTATCTCGGCTGCTCGCTTACCATCTCGCCTGCGTATGACGTCGAGACCCCGAATGTCACGTATGGAACCATCAAAGGCCGAAGCTAACAGAACATTGAAATACCTATGTAATCAACGAAAAGGAACCCCTGCTAGTGGAATACATATATATAAAGTCAGGGACTGCCTGCCCTCGTCTTGTTGCCTCATCCACTGCAAATACTTTCAAACACGGCCAAATTTTCGTTCAAAATGGACAAAATAGTCCCACAGACAGATGAAATCTTTAATGATTTCAAAATTATTGACGAACCGTATGATGCCACCCATTATTCCGAAACTCTTGATGCTGACCAGTCCACAGATTCGTAACACGAGACAATCACCCAATTTTGGCGCACATACTGCTTCCCAAAGAGGCTCCTCCGAAGCCTAGTCCAGTAATAATAAATTGGCATGGCGGGTATCTAGTCGCAGGGCATGGCTTGTTCGCCCTCTTTTTCCCACCCCTGCTCCTCCAGCTTGCAAAGAAACATTCAGCCATCATCGTGTCCCCGGACCACACTCTACTCCCTCACAAGGATGGCCTTGTAGCTGTTCAAGAAGACGCCGAGGCTTTCCATGAGTGGCTGCACTCCTCATTCCCCAAGGTACTGGCCGAGAGGACGCCAGGCTTCCAGGTCGATTTGTCGCGGATTCTGCTCCATGGAGGCTCCTCGGGTGCTTACCTCGCCCTGTCTTCTGCTCTGGCGCACCCAGACTCTTACCGGTCCCTCAGTCTTATGTATCCGATGATCGATTTCGACACCGACTGGTGGCGCCGAGGCAGCCGAGCTGTCGGTGCGCCAAACCCAGGCTGCTTGCCGGATGCCGCGTTCCCTGCAAATGACAATACTGTCAAGGACCAGCTTGAGAAATTTATGAAGGAACCGATCGTGACGATGCCTGGAGCGGAGCGTGATGGCTTCGGGGCATGGGTTGCGCGTGCCGGCTTGTTCCCGGAGCTGTTCAATCCCGGAGGCAAGCTGGATGATGATGCGGCTGTGTGGTTGAACCGTCGTGTTAAGCAAGGCGCCAAGCTTCCAGAGCGCATTTGGGTGCTGCACGCCGATGAAGATACTGTCGTGCCTATTGAAACTTCGCTCACTTTTCAGGAGACAATGAAACAGCAACAGCGGCCGGTGCGGCTAGATATTGTCAAGGGCCTGGATCATTGCTGCGATATGGCCATTACAGAGGACTGGAAGGGCTCGCAGGATCCTGTTATACTTGAGGCTGCAGACTGGTTGGTCGAGAAATGGCTGGAATAATTTAAGAACCCAAACACAATGCTTCCTGAGATGGTATCTAGAGACAGTTATCCAATTACACAAAACATTCTCATCAAAGGATATTCAGAAATATCCCCCAAAAAGAACTATTGCATAATCTGTAACCAACTCGTCAGCTTTTTCGAACCCGGTCAAAGCTGAAGTGTCTATTTTCCCATGTAGTCATGTCAGCTACAAGACCCTACCAGGGAGGGAGTTTCCGACCTTTGAACGGATGTCAGGAAACTCAAGACGGGGTAAATGAGTATAGGAAGAAAGTTGCTGTTGCCATATCTTAATATTTCGATGTATCCTAACAAAGCAGCATCCATATCTCACCAATCTATCAGAATCATACCTCGATGTCTCAACTTAGCAGCGCAATTTGCGCTGGAGTGTATGTCAGATTCTGCTAACATAATGATGCATCACAGCGAGCTTGATGGCGTTTTTGGAGCGGGATGGACAAGATCCCAGCACCAAGTGCGTGCTACTTACCATGACTTCTGCTTGATTTACAGAATCTCTGGCCGAGTGAGGCAATTCACTTGAAGGCCAATCCGTGTCTTCTTTCCAAGTGAGCGCGGGACTAGCAGCTGTATGTCATATGATTATAACTATGATCTAGAAAACGCACCTCTATGTATTTTATGTACTTGCTCTTGGACCTTGAGACCAGACTTTGGGATGAAACCAATCTCACCCAGGAACTGAATGCTGTGTTTTACAGCCCCCTTTAACCTCACGGATGCAGCTTGGTTTCCGCACCAACTCGCTGCCCACATGGGCTCTTTGTTGTCGATGCTCCCTTCAATCATTTGCGCCAGCGTCCAAAGAGGGTGATGCTCTCTCTCAACTTCAATGTCCTGACGAATAGCCCTCATCCAATCCATGGCAGGCCTACTTTCGATAGTATAACCCATTTCCGTGACAATATCCCAAATCTCCCGCCACGTAATTCCACCAGTGACTTGTTTCACAGGAGCAGATGTTGTCACAGGCTCCAACACCGTATCAACTATGATACTCGCCGTACGTGCCACATCGGAGACCGGAAACCACTTATCGAGTTCATCGGCATTGCACACACCCGCCTTGATACACGCCGCAACCAGTCGCCAGATGTAATCATCCGAGTTAACAACGCCCTCGGTCGGCGTGCCAATCACAAGCCCCAAGCTAGCAACTGCGAGATTCGAAAGTCTAGACGGAATGCGTGCTGCCGCGCGCCTGACAAGAGACTCGGCGACAAACTTGGTCTGGCTGTAGGGGATGCCCCCTGCAGCAAACTGCATCGCCACTTGTTCCTCAACTTCCTCCACGGGGTCCTGGTACCTGCCGCTCGAGACATATGTAAATCTCACATGGGGCGTCTTTACCGCAATACGCAGCAATTCTGCCGTCGACCGGACGTTGGTTCCTTCCAAAGCCGCGTAGCTCTTCAGCCAGTGCACCGAAGCTCCGTTGTGAATAACCGCGTCGACTGTCGTGCCGTCTTCAAGAATGCTCCAGTGCTCAGAATCAAGCCCCAAGTGCGGCAGTGATAGGTCGCCAGGCCACACATCAAGCTTTTCACCATGGCCGTCCGTCCACCATAGTGCCTTTTTTGCAGAATCGATTGTGCGGCTTCTCGCTTCCTGCGCTGAGCTACCGCGCACCAGGGCAATGACGCGGCGAATATTGTGATTCTCAAGAAGTTGGCGAAGAACCTCTGTTCCGATAAAGCCGTTGGAGCCGGTTAGAAATACCGTAATTGACATGCCGGCATGCGGCTTGAAATACAGGTCGTCGGCTCGTGAGCTTCTTTTGGCACTAGCAAGTTCTTCCTGCTGCGCAATTGCTATGGTGCCATCGTATCGATCTATCTCAGCCACAAGGTTTACTGCTTCTGATGCCTGAGCAAGCTGCTGGCTTTCCAATCTTGTGCCGGTCCGACACGACGAGTTTTGAGCTTGAGCTACTTCTTCTAGAGCATGTTCAACCATACTTGGGCTATGATTAATTTCGCTCTTGGGCGAGTTGCATAAGAAAATATCTCTGTTATGCAGCTGATTGGCTGTTGTGTAGTCACTGCCAACGTTTTTCACAAACAGGCTCGAATGTTGAATACCGTCGAAATTTTGCGGGGTTTCCGTGTCAATATCCATTATGGTAGAGTCCGGGGCGTCAGACGTATGAATTTGCTGGAAAATGTGTTGGAATCGCAGCAAGATGTCTTGCTTCTGGGCGTCAGGCAAGATTGACTGGTGGAAAATTGCCGTCACATCTACGAATCTGGGCTTGACTAGGCATTTCAACGTCAATGAATGATGCCTAGGCTCGATAGAATCGTAGATGATCTCATGGTCGCAAAACCATGTCCCTTGAATCTCCGACTCATTGGGCTCAACGACGAGCAACGTCTGGAACCGGCAAGCTGCTGCAGCCGTTTGTCCGAGTTGACTGATTCGGTGTAAACCGAGGTGAGTGTACGCTGCCTGTTCCTCTGACCGGTACTGCAGCTCTTCTATGGCTTCTGCCACCTCCTCAGCTGGATCGATGGGAACTCGAAGTGGCGTGATGCCAAAGATGGGACCGAGCATCTTGTCTACGCCCTCGAGGGGTATATTTCTGCCAGAGGAAACAATTCCGAATATTACGTCTTCATTCTTGGTGTAACTGTAGCAAGTTATTGCCCATGCTAACTGTAGCTCGTATTCCACGTTGCTCCTGCGTTCTGAATCGATGGGCATGGTAGTGCCGATCGATTTCGTCGGTGTTGATATTGTTTCCAGATTGGCTTTGTTCGAGGGCAGCTCAGGAAAATGTGCGGGATGAGCATCTTCCAACTCTGCTTTCCAAAATGAAGCCACAGAGTCTAACGATTCTGCTACATGCTTCACATAGCGATTCAGCGGAGGCAGCTGCCGGACTGAGAGCTGACAATAGGCCTCATCAACTTCATTTAGCAGCCGTGACAATGACCAAGCATCGTAAAGTGCATGGTGGATAGCGACGTATAGCCGCCCTTTCATAAAACAGAGCTGGACTGACGGGCTTCCCAAGGCAAAAGATGGGCGGAATCGGGAATTCGAATCATCGCCATCTGTATAATCTGACCAGCAGATATCTTCTCTTACAACGACTTGAAAAAAGGCTCCAGTCTTGCTCTGGATGATGCGCGTTCGAAGGATTGAATGGCCTTGACTGGTAATACTCCATGCTTGTTTGACGAGGGCTTTATCAATATTATGTTGCAACTTGAATGATCGAATTGACACGCACGGATCTCCATCTGGAGCGGCTGAGGCCATGATATTCGCCTGGGTAGAGGTGCAGGGATATATATCCTCAATGTTTCCTTTATTTATACCACACTGATCACTCGCGATATCGATCAGTGTGTTCGCGTCTTTGACAAGACAAAACGGAGTAAGGCCGGAGTCGGTAGAAACTGTTTCGTCATCGCTGTCTATGAAACTAGATCTTGATCTAGATGCGTTGAGCATATCTCTCAGTCTGGGATGTTGGAAAATGTCGCTGTATGTAAGACCAAAGAGCTCTTCCTGGGAAACCAGCGCCAAGAGCTTCATCGCCTGCACGGAATCGCCGCCCAAGCGAAAGAAGTCGCTATCTGCAGTGATATTGCTAGGCGATATGCCCAATACCTGTGCAAAGAGGGCTTGCAAGCGACGCTCGTCGTCTGTCTCTGGTAAATTCCCACTTGTCGACTCACCCTTGGAGCGAAATAGGACCTCCGGAGATAATGAAGACGCCAAAGCTCTCAACTGCTTGCGATCGACCTTTCCGCTTTTCGAAACCGGTATGTGAGTAACAGGCAAGAAAGCAGCTGGAATCATAGAAGCAGGCAGAATACCCCGTAGTTTGGTTGCTACGCCTCCGACGTAGATTTCTAATTCCTGTGTTATATCTTGCAAGCGTACAGTTGGCGCAGCATCCCGATTTGTGACAGAATCCGATGAATTCATGGATATGAATGCGACGAGAGTGGTCCAGCCGGAAAGTTTCACCGCTTCAACGGCCACGCAATGATTTCCAGCAGAGAAAGCTGTGCGTAGTTGAGATTCAATTTCTCCCAGCTCTACCCTCTGTCCCCTAATTTTTATCTGGAAGTCTTTGCGTCCAATGTAGTGCACGGCGCCATTGAAACCATAACGTACTAAATCTCCCGTTCGATACAGGCGGGCATCTGGCGATGCCTCGCCGCGGAAACGAGTCAACCACCGCGGAGGGGAAATGATAAACGGCGAATCGGGCAGAGCATTTTGCTTGTCGTGTAGATAGCAGCGTGCCACAGCCGGTCCCTCGATAATAAGCTCGCCGATGGCACCCACGGGCACCAGCTTTTGAAAATCTCGAGTATCCACGACCCAAGCCGCATGCGAAACAAATGGCCAGCCTAGGAAGTTAGCCTCGGAGAGGTTAGCTGGGCCGGAAATACCGAGAGGACAGCACTCGGCAGGGTTATAGCCGGTAATGAGATTCTTTGATGCCCAAAATTCGATATCCGATGTCTGAACCAGCTCGCCACCGAGCGATATTGTTCTCAAGGTAGGGAAATCGCTAGGCCGGTACATACGCGCTACCGTGGGTGTGAGAAATGTCCATGTAGCCTCAAGCTCTGTTGCGGCTCGAGGTAAAAACTCCATGCGCGCCTTTTCTGACGGAATAGCTACCGATGCCCCGGCGGTGAGGGCTGTGAGGACTTCAAAAACGCTAAGATCGAATGCGTAGGAGGCGAAATGGAGTATACGGTCCTCTGGTCGAATATTGAGAGGCTTCAACGATGCTAGTGCAGTCGAAGCGAATGAGCGATGTTCGATGACAACTCCCTTTGGGTTTCCTGAAGAGCCTGATGTAAACACAGAGTAAAGTGCATGGCTCGGCCGCGTTTTGGACGATGATGGTCGTTCTAGGCTGAACTTTGTGCCATTCGGCTCTGTCATCGAATCATCCCCGAGGACGATGGTAGTTAACGCCAGTTCATCGGCCTTCTGGGCATCATCCGCAGTTGTTATTACCATACTCGACCCCAAGGCCTTGCACATCTCCTTCAAACGGCTGGGGGGGTGTGATGGGTCAAGAGCACAAAAAGCACCGCCAGCTTTGATGATTCCTAGCATAGCAACCGGAATCCACTTGCATCGATCGGCGCATATGGCAACGAAAACGTCTGGTCCTATGCCTTCAAGAAAAAGTCTTTGCGCAAGAGTATTCGAAAGACGGTCGAGCTCCCCGTATGTGAAGGAACCATCCCAGGCAACAACGGCAAGCGAATCCGGATGTAAATCACATTGCTGGTTGATGAGATCATGGAGGCAAGATTCTGATGCCACGGGTGCCGTTTCATTCCATTGCGATATTTTATTTTCATCGACTGGGCTGAAAATTTCGACTTTTTCCGTAACCAAATGCGGCGAATCGATAATGGATGTGAGTGCAACTCTCAGTGCGCCCGCAATATGGACAGCTTGATCATTTGACAAATAATGGCTCTGATACAACAAAACGCATTGTTTTGAAGACGATACGTGAATAATGATATCATACTACAGATGTTAGCGCATCTGGCATAAATCTTACATCTTTGTGGTCTCACCTGCGGGCAGCCTTCCATCAAGGTGACTTCTTGGGAAGATATGTCAGGTGCTGCGTCCGGCGGAGTTTGTTCATCCGAAGAAAAGAGCATACATGTGTTGAACAATGCATTAGTTTCCATGCCCATGTGGCTGCAAATCTCGGCCAAAGAAACGTCTTGATTTGACTGCGCATCGGCCAAGTCCAACTGCGATTTTCGGACAGTCTCTAGTAAGGTTGCTTCTCCTTCAAACTCAAGAAAGAAAGGCAATATATTAACCTGAGGCCCGTTGAGGGCGTCATGACCATTAACCGGTTTCTGTCGTGTTGTGAATGTATGACCAAAGCAAACCTCATCCGAGTCCGTATATGTGTGTAGGACCATACCCCATGCTGTCATGAGAATGGCTGACGTTGAGACATTGCAGACATTGAAATATTCGCTCCAAGAATTCCCTATCTCTTCCAAGTCGATCGTCACCGCCTCGATCGTCGACGAGCTTGGTGCAGCCGTAGATCGGTTTGACAATGTTAGGATGCATGGTTCAGCTGCTTGTAGCTTTGAGCTCCAAAACTCGAGCGCTGCTTTTTCATTTGCCATTTTAGGGTACATTTACCATCTTCCATATAAAATTTGTCTCCTTGTTTGGAAGTGTGCCGGGAGCTATGAGGATGGTGACCGTTCGAATGAAGAAACGAATTCTTGTTGCTAAAAGAATTCCTGTCGCGAGAGAATGACAAAGAATTTTTGGGTTATCGCGACAATGCAATTTTCTTGTCGAAGGCTTGACGCATGGATTTTGATTTGTAGAGGTTGAATAACTACTTCGCTACGAAAAAAAGATCATAAGTGGATCATCGAAGAGATCGTGATAGGAAGGCCGATTCTATTATTTATGAGGCAGAGTTTGAAGCTGGATCCTAGCATTCCCCAAATGGCAATTGAGACAAAGGCTTCAGTTCATACTATATGAATTCCGAACAATTCATATTGTATGTGGACTTCGCGATTCCGACACCTGTTGGGAAAGAGAAGCATGCGTTGATCAGGATTCGCACTGACCGGTGAGAATGGGTGGCTGGCCAAAATCTCTTCGATCAATGGTTCATATAACGGGCATAGCTCGCAGCCACTTATGGAGCGAAGAAGAATTGAGCACACAAGACTTCAACAGGCACCTCATGGCTATTACCACAAAGGGATGTCCGCGCAGTGGCAGACTTCACACATACCCAGGGCTGTCTCCGTTCAAGATCATATTCCGGGCACCGAATGAGGTCAATGACAATTTGGACCAGACACCAGTTTTTACCAAGTTGCCGAAAAAAGTAAGTACACCTACCAGATTCAACGTTTGGAAATGGTGTTTGAAGGGGCCAGTGAGAGAGCCGCTGAATGTTACACAGCGCAGTGGATACATGTAATACGACATCGGATATACATAGGCGTCACATAACGGAGTACGCCGTAACCGCATTTGGTTGATATTTATCAACAAGGTGGGGGGCAGTATGAAGTGAAGAATCATTGATGTCTTCTATCCATCTTCCATAACAGTCCGCAAAACCCCATAAACACAGCCCACCGGTCACCATCAGCTCAGGGCTTCTTCAGATATATATAAATAATTCCCTATTACACCTAGCAACCTTTCAAGTAGCACGCGTTCAAAAGTTCACGGAAAGTATTGATGAAGCTGATGAAATAGTATAATACCCCCGAGTGACTTGGGTCTGTCGTGGCTTTCAGCATCTACAGAAAACGTGGAAAGAGAAGTGGGTTAATTAAGATAATGATTTGTCTCTAGCTACTCTTCAGTGTCCAAACAGCGGCTTGATTAAATTTCCAGAGATATGATAAAAGTCTTCGTGTGAGAAGCCACAAGAAAGCCTATCGAAAGGCTATCACCTAGAAATTGCTCTACATAGAGGCACCGGAACAATGTATTTTTGTTCACATCATCCTGCCTCTTCAGCTGATGATACATTCAAGACTAATGGGGCCACATATCTGCCACAGGTAGTTGAACGCGTACATGGGCCATCATTAATCGCAATGGCTGCTACGCATAGAAGCTTAATTCTACCAAATTGAGGCATCTTTCACTGGGATCGGTTTTAATTAACTAGCCACAAGTTTCAATAATCGAGGTAGGCCATTCTTCTATGTACATTATTATGCTGCTACCCCCTGTTCTTGAGCCAAATACTCCTCACTGTATGGGTAGTCTAGGTATCCCTCGTCCGAGAACGGAATATAAAACGTGTCCCGATTATACTTCTCCAGATCGAGGCCCATCTTCAACCGGAATGGGAGATCGGGATTTGAGATATAATGTCTTCCAAAAACTACCATGACATTGTTCTGTTTGGCGTACGTCTCATCCACAACGCGCTGAGCCGAATCGGCGTCGTAGCCGCCCGCCAGCAAGATTGGCTTCTTGTCCCCCCACATGCGCACGAAAGTCTCATTATGAATGTCCGGGTGCGTTTTGATGGTAGGGTCTTCTTCTTCTACCCAGCGCGAGTTGGCGAGGTGGACATACGCAATGTCCATCTCGGCAAGGTGTGTGAGGAAATGCTGGAACTGAGGCACCAGATCTTCCATTGTGCCCATTCCCTGGAATGTGCTCCAGGTGGACAGCTTCATACCGACACGGTCCTTTCCAACCGCATCAATGACTTGCTTCGTGATTTCGAGTCCAAATCTCGAGCGGTTCTCGATGCTGCCGCCCCAACCATCCGTGCGCTGGTTACAAGAAGACTGGAGGAACTGGTCGATGAGGAATCCATTGGCGCCGTGGATCTCAACCCCATCGAATCCTGCGCCAAATACTGCATTCTTGGCTCCTTGTACATAATCAGCGATGTATGATGTGATCTCGTCCTCGGTGAGAGCCCGTGGCGTCGGCTCGTCTGGACCAACTGGCGTGGCGCTGCTAGACACAAGTTCGAGCCCATTGGCTTTCAGGGTGTCCATATCAGCAGCTCGTCCAGTTGCCCAGAGTTGTAGCCAGATGTAAGAGCCTTTGGAGTGCACCGCATCAACAACCTCTTTCCAACTTGCTATTTGTTCGGGGCTCCAAATACCCGGAACATTAGGAAATCCTTTGGCTCGCGGAGAGATGGCCACGGCTTCTGTAATTAGCAAGGTTCCTGGAAGACATGCTCGCTGAGAGTAGTAGGTCTTGACGTAAGGAAGCGGTACACCATTATCGTCCGCACGGAAGCGCGTCATAGGCGAGAGTACTATTTTGTGTTGAAGCACTCCTTTTCCGAAGGCAATAGGCCTGAAAAGATTCGAATTGGACATTGTGAGATAGTATCGAGTTAGCTTAGTTGGGTTCTGGCAAGGCGACTAGCTGACTTATGAATAAACATTGTCTTACTTTCTCGGAGGAAGATTCTGTGTGGATGACCTAGCCCACGGGCATTTATACCCCATAGATTGCCTCACATTACAGACAAAACCCGTGTTCTATTAGTTTTGCACACCCTGGTCTACAGATAAAATGACGATGTAAAAAAACGGGGGTTATTTCGTAGATTGGTTTCAATGTTCGGCTTTGCCGTCAACTCAACGCGCTTCCCCACCTAGTCATGCTTGGTACAAAGGTTCGATATTTTACTTATACTAATGAGAATAGGAAAACTCCTTGGTTTCAATAGGGGTGCAGTGGATAAAAAAGCCTCAGAAGTTGGCTTTGCTGCTAAACTTGTTATTCATTGTACCAACTCCCTACTACTATCAACTGTGTCTCACTCAGACGAGAACTGAAATGGCGAGTTTTACCGCCTGGAAAACCTATCTTGAAGGCTACAGTCCATGTAACTTCCCAGAGTTAGTCGCTCCCGAAACTAGCAAGCCAGGCTTGGCGTCGGTTTCAACCTCTCTGAATGAGAGCTATGACAGACTGGAATCTTTCGCAAACGAGCATTGCAATAATGATGTCGCCGCAGTATTCTGCGCAGCTTGGACTCTTGTTCTCCGGGCATATACTGGACAAGATACAGTTTGTTTTGGGAGAGCAACAAGGAGCGTCAATGCCTGCCGTGTTGATTTCACTACGGACAAATCGACTTTGAGGATCCTTAAGACACTTGAAACAGCTTGTTTGGAAAGGCTACAGGCTCCAGGTGTCCCTGTCTCCCAGTTATCGCAGGAGACAGGGGATTTTATCACATCTTTTTTTAACACGTGTGTTTTGTCTCCCAATCAGCAGAGAGCCGGACAGGAAATAGACTCGGCTGGCCTTGACATGGTAAGAAGACCCCGTTCAAATACACAAGATAATAATATTCGGAATCTGATAGAAATTCTGTAGTTCGGCATTGTTATCATTTTCGAATTCAAGGAAAATATCGCTAGTGTAACTATTAGGTATCAGACATCACTTCTACAGGAGAACCAAGCGATAAGTGTCATGAATGCTCTTGGCCAAGCGATAAGCGAAATCATCAACCAGAAACACCAAATTGACGACATTTCTCTCTTAAGTGCCACGGAAAAATCCCAAATTTATTCGTGGAATGCAAATCTAGCTCATCATCCGGGCTATCGCGTTGATGAGCTGATTAGTGAGCGCTGCCAACTTAATCCATCGGCGTTGGCAGTGTCCGCGTGGGACGGCGAACTTAGCTATAAAGAGTTGGATGAGGCATCCTCCCGCCTAGCTCAACGTCTGACAGCACTCGGTATTTGCCCAGAGATATTTGTACCTGTTTGTTTCGAGAAGTCCCGATGGACTATTGTCGCCATGCTTGGGGTGATGAAAGCTGGCGGCGCGTTTGTACTACTCGATCCATCACATCCTCATAAGAGACTCCTCGACATCTGCAACAAAGTGTCGGCCAAGCTCATCGTTTGTTCAACTCATCATGCCAAATTAGCGGCGAGTCTGGCGCCTTTCATTGTCGAACTGGGAGACAACGATGCAGAAAGGAACTGGCATACGGAAGACATCCAGAGACCGGACGCTTTGGTGACTCCCGGAACGGCTCTGTATTCTGTATTTACGTCAGGTTCGACTGGGACGCCAAAAGGCGTGGTCAGCGAGCACTCATCGTTCCTTGCAGCTATGCCGACATACATCAAATCTCTCGGACTTAATCAGGAATCACGGGTTTTTCAATTCGCGTCCTATGCATTCGACGTCACAATCTTTGACACTCTTATGACTCTGACTGTTGGTGGGTGTGTATGCGTGCCCTCGGATACTGAGAGATCCAACGATTTGGCAAATGCAATCCAGCACTTTCGAGCCACCCATCTGAGTCTGACTCCAACGGTTGCACGGATATTAGATCCTCAAGATTTTCCAACACTGCAAACTCTAACTCTCGGGGGTGAGAAATTGGTGACAAGCGAATTTTCTAAGTGGGTAAACCATGTTCGTGTGGTTCATCTTTATGGAGCGACTGAGTGTTCTATGATGTCAATCCACTGCATCACAGGAACTTCGTCCAATCTCCAGACGATAAATCACGACACCGGAAGTGCTTGCTGGGTGGTTGACCCGAGAAGCCATGAAAGACTACAGGCCATCGGCGCGATTGGAGAATTGGTGATTGAAGGAGAAATCGTGGGACGCGGCTATCTAGATGATGCCGCACAAACAGCAGAGACGTTCATTCAGCCTCCAGATTGGCTGCGGGAGCTGCGCGGAAACAACTGCAACAAGAGCGTCAAAATATACAAAAGCGGTGATCTGGTTCGTTACGCTGCCAATGGATCGCTTGAATTCATCTGCCGTAAAAACACGCAGGTCAAGCTTCGTGGTCAGCGCATCGAACTTGGCGAGGTCGAGCACCATCTCAAGTTGGCCTTTCCAAGGGCGAGATTTGTTGTTGCAGAGCTTGTCACGATGCCCGACTCGTCGCGCCCTCCTATGTTGATGGCATTTGTGCGACCTGAAGATGATTCCAGTTCAGATAGCATAACCGGAGGCCGTGGATCAACCTCGACTGCCATATTTGCCGAACCGACTGACGAGTTTCGTTCTCTAGTTCCAGCCACACTATCAAAATTGCAGAACTGTCTACCCTCTTACATGGTCCCTTCGGCAATCATTCCTTTGGCCGTCATTCCACTAACCGGCACAGACAAAGTTAACCGCAGGCTCTTGCGACAACTCGCCGCCGAACTACCACGAGAACAACTGGAAAGATATCAACCCACTGTGCGATCCTATCGCGCTCCGACTACCAACGCCGAAAAGACTTTGCGAAAATACTTTGGCGAGGTATTAAGCCTTCCGCTGGAGCAAGTCTGGGCTGATGATAATTTCTTCTCACTTGGCGGGGATTCTCTCACGGCCATGAAACTAGTTTCAATGGCTCGAAAGGACAATTACAAACTCATAGTTCAGAACGTTTTTAAAAGTCCTCAGCTGTCTGACCTGGCGGGTTTGATCCAAGACAAGAAGAGTGAGGATGACGAAAAGCCGGGACCGTTTGTGCTGGTCGACAAGAAACAGGACGTCATCAGGGCAGCAGCTCAGCAGTGCCATCTTCCCAGGAGGGCCATTGAAGACATTTATCCGTGCACATCTCTCCAAAAAGGCCTCATCTCGGAGACTATGCGTGATCCCAGTGCGTTCATCGCCAGGCTCGAACTGCCGTTACGTTCTCACATCGATATTAGCCGGTTGGAGCAAGCATGGACTGCTGTGGCCAAAGCCAATCCTATCCTACGCACGCGGATGATCCTATCTGCCTCCCATGGCTTGTTACAAGCTGTGGTACGGGACAATATTCCGTGGACAGTATCGGACAATGCTGAGTGCGAAGACTTGGTTGTCGACATTGGCAAACCCCTGGTGCAACTGGTGCTTTGTCGTCCTGCGCCAAAGGGGCAAAGCCAAACAAAGCTAATCCTTATGATGCATCATTCCATCTACGACGGGTACACCTTGCCCCTGATCATCAAGCAACTGAGGACAGCTTACGAAGGTGGTTTGCTCGACCCTCGACCAGTCAGTCCATTCATTCGCTATCTGGCATCACTTCCAAATTGTGCCGACTACTGGATTCCAATACTGAAGGATCTCGAAACCCCTGCATTCCCAGCTTTGCCTTCCAACGCTTATCATCCCTTGCCAAACTCAACGGCGGTATACGCCACGCCCGTCTCTAGGCCCAGCGCAAACCAGTACACATCAAATACGTACGTGAGACTTGCATGGGCCATGACACAATCTCACCATCAAAAAATTTCCGATGTCTTCTTCGGGACCGTGGTATCCGGCAGAAATGCACCAGTTGATAACATTGACCTGATGACAATTCCAACGGTGGCAACAATTCCGTGCAGGGTAACCCTGGACACTGACAGCGTTGTGGAAGATATGCTTCACAGAATCCAGAACGACGCCACTGAGGGCATCCCATATGAGCAGTTTGGACTTTCGAATATTAGCAGATTGGGAGAATGCCCAGCCCATGCTTGTTCTTTTCAAACATTGCTGGTCATGCAGCCCGCTGCAGAGTGGGATACCGACGACTTTTTACAAATACCCAAGTCGGATGCCAATTACAGAGCTGACGCAACTTATGCCATCAACTTGTTTTGTGAACTAGAGGCGGAGAGGCTCGAGGTCACGGTGCTTTATGATGAGAAGGTGGTGCACAACCTCGAGATGCAGCAGATTTTGGACGATTTTGGGGAGGCCCTGCGCTTCATACGCCAAACCCCTGCCGGCGTCGTCAGAGACGTCCTCAATGTACTCAGAAAGAGTCGCAAGGAATGATCAAACAAGGTATTTGGTATTGATGTATTGGCCGAAGGCGCTGAATCTGTGCCTCGTGAGGAACTGAGGCCTGAACTGGACCGAGTTACTGCCTTCCATCAGCTAGCATTAGAACAATTGTGTCACACGGAAATGGGCTAATATCACACGGTTACACAAGGGCTACGGTCACGGGATTAGGGCAGAAGGTCCTCACCGACTTCTTGTATAAATAGACGGCTTTGGTCCCTCAAGGCCTTGAGGAAAACCAAGGACCTTTGATACCAAAGACTGTTATTAGATGAATTGAGTAAATTGCTCCAAGCCCTCTACTGAGCCCTTGTCACAAATTGTGCCAACAAACAGAGTGCCTGGCTTACTAGTAATTTGCTATATTGATTATTTACAGAACAATGACATGATGCCGGATGATTGTAGTTTACTTTGACTGGTTTAGTCCTGCCAGTTGAATTGATAGTACATAAATAGCCAAACTTCCTATCGTTTTTCACAGATCACTAGCTCTCTGCTCGGCGTCGTTACATGTTTTGGGTATCATGTACGACAATTTGTTGGAGATTTTTGTCAAGGATGGATTGATTCACACGATTTCACTGATCTAAGTCGTCTCTGCTTAGTATTTGGTTGCTCGTGCAAGTATTCTGTCGGCTGCCTATTCTGGTGCTTATGTACTTGTTTGGTATGTCCATGGATGGCTACAGGTCTTGTAACGACAAACTTGGTGTAATTCCATCTGATTCTCATTTAGCATATGTGAGCCTTATCAAGAGAAAATTTCATAGCTGGGCAGCCATAGAATACTCTACGTAATAAATACTCTAGAAGCATTGATGGGTCGGTTTGCAGCCGGAAGCTATTATGAAATGCGCATAAAGAAGCATTTAACAACCAAAATAATAATCTCAAAATTACAGGTGTCTCCTGTATAACAAATGAAATCTTCTATCTTAGGATTCCATCGATCCCCACATCGAATAGAAATTTCTCTGCTATATCTTAGCCCGAGCATCACCCAAGTCAATTGCTCTATGCCAGAGCCTCACCATCCTCCACAGCGACAGTCATTGACATGATTTCCAACGCTTCTGTTAGATCTGGATTAGTTCCACCGATCCCGAAGCAACTTGATCTCCACATCGTCAAGGTTCACGGCGACGAAGCGATCAACCCAGCGAAGACGATCGCCGCAGTTGCCCGTCAGCGCCATTTCGAAGCGAGAAAGGAAGTAAGCGAGAACACAGCGCAGCTCGAGATATGCCAGACTACAAATCCAGACGACGTCAGATAAACCTCTCTTTTGTGTAACAACACCAAATGCCAGATACAATGACTTACCTTGTACCGATGCATTGGCGGGGACCTCTGCTAAAGGCAACATTCCACTTATCCAGTCGCTGTGCTTCATTTCCGAGCCATCGTTCGGGGATAAACTTTTCTGGGGAGGGAAAAATTTTCTCGTGAAAGCTGATGGATTGCTGAGATATTGAAACAGCTGTCTGATTGCAAGTCATGATTAGCGCACTGTTGGCGTCTAGGGAAGGGTTGAATCCAATAAAACCAAGTATGGGATCAATGAAAACTCACTCCAGCAGGAAGGTAAACGGAACCCAAGGTCGTCCCACCCTCCGGCACAATTCGGGGCAAACAACCTGGAACTGGAACAGAAATACGAAGAGTCTCCTTAATGACAGCGTTCTGGAATATGCAGTTAGAAAGGTTCAAATTGTTTAATTCTGACTTGCTCAACACGTGGAGTAGGGTTTAAAAAGCCAATATGACCATGGTTTTCCATACGTACCAGATACGAAAGATTTTGAATCCTGATGTAATCAAACATGTCCCTTATAAATGGGGCATTTTCATCCAACTCCTTCACGAGCTTGGCGTAAATCTCCGGCGACGAGAGGATGTAGAAGAACGCACAAGCGAGCGTATACGAAGTCGTGTCGCTACCGCCTGCAACAAAATTAAAAATGTCCTCCAAAGGATTCGGTACAACCTTGTCCTTTGCCGAATCATTGCCATCCATGGCAAGATAGCGCTTCATGTGAGAATCGCGCAATTCCTGGTCTTCTGCCAACTTTTGTATGCGCATGTCTTCGTCGTTCCAGTCTTTACAATACTATACGCAGAGACGTTAGTGATTCTTGTCATCTTGTCAGGTCCTTATCGGGTGCTGGGCACACCTTCATAAAAGTCGTGAATGAGGCATTGAACTTTGCAAAACTTGTCCCGGGGATGAGACCCAATAACATGGCTGGCAGAGGATAGCTGACAACTGAAGAATGAGAGAGAAAGCGATGGATTTTTGTCAGCTACAACTCTGAATGATGGAGGGTTGAACAAGTCTTACACAGCCAGCTTTGCGTCATGAGCTGCTCGAATGCTTCCAAAAACGGATGGTATCCGTCATATTCGATGAGTGAGATGTCATGTGAATAGAGATTGTGGAGAATCATGGAAGTCTAGCAAGCTCCTGTCAGATGGCCTGTAGACATTGTATTTGGGGCGATCACTTGGCCTTGGAACTAACGCTCAATGTTCGCAAGACTTTTACCATGTTTACTGCCTCGCCAGTTTTGATGTGTCCCTCCATTTTGGCAGCAGAAGACAGCAGGTCTTTGTGAAGCTTTGGTGCCAAGTCGTTAATTGCTCGTTGTGCATATAATGGCGCCAGATGCGAGCGATAGGTGCGATACTGTGCTGGATCAATCATGGCGTCCAAACCATTGAAGTACTTGTAAAATGAGTCACTCTTTCTCCATTTTGACCCAACTTTAAATATTCTAATAGAATCAACGTTAGATCCTGTCAATAGATTAAAATCTCGGCTGCTTCCTTACGCATCGAAATTCTCTGGCTGGTTCGTGTGCACAGAGTTTGGACCAATACGAATAATGGGAGAATCTGATGCGTTAAGTATGCGTGGAACGGGCAGTTGGCTGGAATAGCGAATCTTACTGTAATATTTGTGTAAAGCGCCAAAGCGCTTGGAGTATCCTTCATCTCGTATCCAGTTCCAGTAGAAGGCATAAAAGTTCGTCAAGGCTGCGAGTTTGGGCCCGGGAATATTTCGAAGAGGGTGGAAATATAATCTATAGACGCCGGTGGTAACGGCAGGGAGGAGCACAGCGGCAAATGCTGTGAATATGATCAAAGTCCATGAGGCTTGTAGAGGCTGAGGCAACCACTGCCATATCTGGCCTCTCTCGCTGATGGAGAGGGTAAATGATGTCGTATCGTTGTTCTCCATGAGTGACTCGTTAGACAATTAGGCAGTGTAAACTCTGTCAAAGTGTGAGCTAGCTGTTATTTTAGGAGTGAAAAGGAGAGGGAAGAGGCAGTTGAAAGAGAAGAAGATATGGCAAGTTCTGTGGGTCTTACAAGTTGGTCATCAGATAACCCCAGCTTCTTCAATAATATTCCTCGAAGCACGTACTATTCTGTCTACGACCACAAGACCTGATGTCAACGAAATGTTGACCCCGGGGCAGGGAAAGCGACGAGGACCGAGCGGGCGAGGGAATTAACCGAGTCGATTTCTGCTTCTATCAGGTCTGTTGTAGCTATCGAATTTGAAGCTCGTTTGACCGAATCGATTGAAGATGCTGGACGGTCGGCGGCAGCTATCACGATATATTTACACGTCAGCAACTCAAACCATAGTCTTATTAACTTGTTGATGAGAGGTTTGGGGAGGGTCTCGTTTATCATTTAAAATAAGCAGAGGCAAAAGCCGGGCCAATGACGCAACTTTATTGCCAGGAGTGCTTCTGGGTAATGCATAAGGCAGGCAAAGCTCTGATTCCTCCGACCAACGCTTTCCGTGTTTTCCTTTACCGGAAGAAGTCCAAGTGGTAACAGCTCAAAGAATGATTTCGTCATACTTTAAATTTCTGGATTGCCTGACCCTGAGAGACTTGAGGCTTCCCACGAAGCAGGCGGACGGCAGAAGAGCTGAAACCTCGTTATACGCGTCACAGTGAGAACCTGAAACGGAAGGCCTACTTTTTAACGCATTAACGGAACGGAAAGGGCCTGCTTTTCAACTAGAACGGAAAAAGCGTCGTAGATGCTTCCCGATGTTGACTACAGTTAAGGCTGTTAATTGATGAGATTTTTAGATATTTATAAACAGCGTCTAATTTCCCTCATGGATAGCTTCTATCCACGGACTCATCCGCTTTTAAATTCAATCCATAGCTTTCTTCCGTGACACGAGTGTTGCGCCAAGTCTGTAGATCCAGCTCTGCCCGGCCCAGAGCTTCGACGCCGGGCCAGTCCGATGTTTGCAAACCTCTATTCGCCCGGCTGTAGTTGCCACGGAGAAAACAAATACATGGGCCTGTTGTTATTTTCTCTTCTTTGATTTCGATAAATGATTTTGTGATACCCATGTTCAATAAATAACGGTTGAACCCCTCATAGCGCACTTGAAACTGGCTAAACGTGGCCTTTCTACAACGTCACAAACAATGTACGAAATAACAGCGCAAGTTGTATATGCTATGCTATCTAGATCGTCTTGTAATCGTAATGGTATGAATTTTAAGAAACAAATGGAAGGAGACAATATTGAAAATGCTGTCCACAAGTCTCGCCACAAACAAGTTATATCCCGTACTTGCTCGTTGACATGTGGTTGGTAAACTACCAAGGGCAGAAAAGTTGCCAAGAATACAACTACAATTTCGCCTTCTTTTCAGCTTCCATCACCAACTCTTCCGTCATTTTTTCCACCCTATCCGCCAGGTCCGAGGCAACTAAGCCCAGGGTACGGTATACTTTCCGTCGCAGAGCACTAGGAGTCCGCGACACAGACTCAGCAATGTTCACAACCACATTATTCTGGAACTCGTCGTCTCGCAAGACGGGCAGGGACTTCCAGAATTCTCTGGGAAACTTATAGTCTAGCTCATTTGGCTGCGACCATTCGCTCGAGGTCGTTTCAGAAACCCATGCCGAGTGTTCCTGGCTCTTCGGTTCCGGACGCACCGAGTCCTTGGCCTTGTTATCCTCGACATTTTGTCTGGGCTGATTCGCTGGTATCTCGAGGTTATGCGGACCCAGTCGATGTCTCTGCGCGTCCGGGTAGGCGAAAAGACGTGCCTGCAGCATGGGATCCTCTGAGGGCTCGACGCCAGGAACGAGGTGTGAGGGTGAAAACGCTAGCTGCTCAATCTCCTGGAAGTAGTCCTTTGGACCCTTCTTCAACGTCAACTTGCCGAAACGCCTTGACGGAATGACAGGGATGTCGGGCGGGTAGTTGCCCAGGTTCCAGTGCTTTGTCACATCAAGAATGTTGAAACCCAACTTGTGGGCATCTTCGGGGTCAATGACCTGTACGTTGGCCGTCCAGCTAGGACATTCGCCCCGTTCAAGGCTCTCATTCAGATCTCTTGTCGCGCTTTCTTGGTCGTTGGGAGCCAGTTCTTTGGTCTGGCTGCCCTGCTCGAAATTGGGACCCTGGTCGGATGACAGGAACCAGTGGACGTATTTCCATGAACCGTCTGGTTTGACCCATTTGTATGCGTGGCCCACGTAGCCGCTCATGCTGCGGTAGTCGAACATGGTTCCAAAGTCGCTGAACTGGAACATGACCATGTGCAGAGTCTCATGATTGTTGCATACGAATTCCCACCAGTTGCTCGGGTTTGTGAGGTTCGTCTTGGGGTCAGGTCGTTGCGCGTGGACGAGGTCGGGAAACTTGATTGGGTCGCGAATAAAAAACATGGGGATGTTCAAGCAAACCCAATCCCAGTTTCCTTGCTGCGTGAAGAACTTGACGGCCAGTCCTTTGACGTCTCTCACTGCCTCTGCAGAGCCGCGTTCCAGAGCCGTTGTTGAGAAGCGAACAACACACGGCGTCTTCTTGCCGACCCCAAGCAGCATGTCGATGTCGCAAATGTCGGAAATGTCATCTGTGACCTAGATGGTTGGGAAAAAAGCGTCAGAAAGCCAGTCAAATCATGGAACGTCGCATGTGGCCATGTGATGGTTACCTCAAACTCTCCATACGCGCCCGCGCCTCGCGCATGGACTGCTCTTTCGGGAATCTTTTCGCGATTGAATTGCGCCAGCTTATCGAGTACATCATAATTCAGACCCGGGCTACTTTGAGGACCTCGATTGTCCTTGAGAGTCGCGTCGTGAGACCCTTTGGTCTCAGTAGAAGAGTTGTGAGCCATTGGCGACCTTTGCAGCCACGATCAGAAAAACTGTGAGAAAGAATGGTGAGTTGAGATCAAAGCCGACGTTCATCAAAAGCACAGAAGCTACCTCAATACTCTGTTGCCAAGGTTTCTGGGGGGTGGATGAGATATATTTCGAAGCAGCGCAGAATTGGAGGCGGGTTGCGTCATAAGCCTTGATTTGGAAAACCATGGGTTTCTCGATCGACCAGTTTATGCAAGGAACGTCGCACAACATAAAAAAGACATGTACAAACGGGGGTTCAATAATCCATTGGTGAACGTCTCTCTGCCTGTCTGCCGACAGACATTGATGTCACGGTGATGGAGAGAATGTGCAATCTTTTCAATGACTTTATGAAAGACTCTGTGTATTTAGGCTTTACACTGTTATCTAGACTCAAAGTGTCATGCACTACGGGACGCCTGCCCCGACATTGATGTTGGCTCCATAGACCGGGTGAGAGTCTTCGCTGAGCAACCACACAATCGTACGCGCCACTTCATCAGCTCCACACATTGTAAGGCCTTGGCTGGCGTACAAGGCCTGGATCTCATCCAGGGACTTTGCATTAGGCTCGAACTGGGGCAATAGCGGCGTGTTTGTGATTCCTGCTGCCCGTTAGATGTGGGCGACAAGGTCAAAAGTGACAAGGGGCTTCAGCTTTACCTGGCGAGACACAATTCACCCGAATGCCCAGCGGAAACACATCAGCAGCGACGCATGCAGTGAAATGCACACATGCCTGCTTGGATGTGCTGTAGGCATAGACGTCGGGCATGTGAGAAAAGGCCGCGATACTGGCCACGTTGACGATGCTGCGGTTCCCTTTCGGCAAGTCCGTCATTGCCCGGACTTGGGCGCGCGTGCAGTAAAAGACGCCGTCGAGGTTTACTTTGAGAATGCGACTCCAATCTGCATCTGTCTCTGCGAGGATGGTTGGCGTCGTGCGCAAGCCCGCCCCCTGTGCGACACCAGCAATATTCGCAGCGCCATGCAGGTTTCCATGGGACGAGACAATGTCTCTCAGCCACTGGTTGACAGCTTCCGAAGAGGTGACATCCAGTACTGTGCATTGGACCAAAGTGAGTGAGTTGATTTCTGTAATGGACTTCTGCAGAGAGCCAAAGTTGGCGCTGGACACATCGGCGACGCAGATAACGCCAGCTCCGCGTTCGGCCAGCAATCGACAGGTCGCGGCACCAATGCCGGAGGCGCCACCTGTGACGGCAAATATCTTGGCAGTGAGGGATGCCATGGTGTAGAAAACGGGATATAGGGGGCTGTACAGGTTCGAAACTAAGAGGGCTCGGGCTATATTTTCTACGGGTTCGTAGCCACTGATAAAGGACTATTTTGGAAAATATTTGCCCATTTTCCGCAACTACGGCTCACAGTCATGACCGGAAGTTGTTGCCGACCGCAATTGGTTTTCAGCGAGTTTCAACGTCACAACTGCTCGCAACTACTATTCAGTCCACCCGATGTCGCTGTGGCGAGTGTCGGCCCCATCTCGTTGATAAAAATCAACGAATGTGGCACACAGAACAGCAACGTTGCCTGTCAGCAATTACCAGACATCTTTTATAACTGCGCTTACTCGGTGCGAAGCGCGTAAGCATGAAATTATCAGATAGAGTTCAGTGCTGAGAGGGAGGGGGTATAAGAACTTTGCCGACTTTTGGAGCATCAGGCAGGAGGGAGTGTATGTACATGGAGCCAGAGCTATGTATCCATTCCGAAACTTGAAAAAAAAAATAAGCTTAAACAGAGCGAGTGAATTTGCCGCGCACTTCAAACTCAAATGCCCGGTACTCAATTCTTCGACAAGTATCAGTGCCATCATTTTGTGTCAACACCGGTCATTTCTCATTAACACCTTCATTAGTCATCGGACGATATGAGTATTGACTTGATTATATCCACCAGTGTAGACGCAGCCAGGAATCACAACGGATATCCAAAAAAACGCAGGGGTAAGTGGCGCTGTCCTTAGCATTCCGAATTTATGAACCAGAAGGTTATATAGCAATTTGTCACAATTGACACACTACGTATAGTTTTCTGGCAGAAAATCGCCATTTTTAGCCATTTTGGGATCACGGAAAATGACAAGGTTGTGTTAGACATACCAGTACATTCTCACAACTTTTCTTCCTTGTCTTCACGGCTACTATTTGGCTACATGGCTACGTTACAACTGCGACATCTATTTTCCCTCCCGCATCTCTCTTTCATGACGTGTTCAACAACGTTTTCAAAAGCGCGTCCAGACCATAGGACGGCGAAATACCCTGCCCTCGTCGCACATCAACCAACACTTCATGATTGCATGTTGCTTACTACAGTTCACACACTGATTAAACGTTGAATGTATCAGCTACTCGCGCCCGCAGCCGCCTTGGCTCTAGGCGTTGCAGTCTTTCGCTCGCAGCCGAACCAGCACCAATGCCGTTGCCGACCCTCGGAACCCTGCTGGCCGAGTGCGGATCAATGGGACATCTTCAACAAGTCGATAGGGGGAAACCTGGCCAGGATTCGACCCGTTGCCTCTGTATGTCATGGCCCAGAGTACGATGCCGCTGCTTGTACGGATTTGTCGAGCCTGGCACGCGACAGCGGATGGCGAGCCTCTAACCCCGGTGAGTCTCTCCCGCTTCCTCGTAAAGTGATGCAGTGTAAGAAGACTAATGAGCTCATTCCCTCCATGAAGCAACCCTGCAAGACTGGGTATGGGAGGGCAATGGTCTCGCTGAGGAAATTTGCCATGTTGTCACGTCCCCGGAGAAATCTCAACAATCCGCCTGTCACCAAGGCAGGGTTCCTCTGTATTCGGCAACGGTTCAATCTACCACTCAGATTCAATCGTCGGTCAGATTTGCCAAGAAGCACAATCTTCGTCTTGTAGTGAAGAATAGTGGCCATGACTGCGCTGGACGGTCGAGTTCTCCCGACTCATTCCAAATACATACCAATCTGCTGAAAGGAATCACCTATCATGACAATTTTGTTGCTCAGGGTTCCGCTGCCAGAGGCTCCGGACCTGCGGTCACGATGGGTGCTGGAATCATGCATTGGGAAGTGTACAGCGACGGCGCGAAGAACGGCTACACCATTGTTGGAGGCGAGTGTCCAACTGTGGGCGCGGTGGGCGGATTCCTGCAAGGCGGCGGCGTCTCGAGCTTCCACAGCTTCACAAAAGGCCTTGCAGTAGACAACGTCTTGGAATATCAAGTGGTGACTGCCAATGTATGTGTCCCCCCATGTCTCACGCTTCAGGTTCTCCCTCCCTTTGGTCACTATGATGCTAACGAGAATTCTCAGGGTGAACTCATCGCAGCAAACGAAAATCAGAATCGAGACTTATTCTGGGCTTTGAAAGGAGGAGGAGGTGGTACCTTTGGGGTTGTTGCTCAAGCCACAGTTCGCGTGTATCCTGATGATCCTATCACAGTCGCCGCCATAAGCATATCGACGTCTCTCACAAACAGCCTATTTTGGACTGAAGGAGTCAGTGAGCTTCTACGTCTCTTGAGCATTTTCAATCAGCAGGGATTTCCGGGTCAGATCGTCGTCATGGGTCCAAACCAAGGTTCTCTGCAGGCCACGTTGGAATTCCACTTTCCGAACACGACCGACGAATCATACGTAAATGGATTGCTCAATTCACAAATGAGGCCTCTGTGGGATCATAAAATTTCGACAAACTTGTCTATCAGGGTGCAGAAAAAGGCAAGTTCCGAGGTTCGACTTGGTCCAGATACTTATCCACCGCAGTACGGGATTGTACAAGGATCTGTCCTGATCTCTGCCGCACTTTTCAATTCTGCGGATGGTTCCCCTCTGATTGCAAGGAACTTTTCCAACTTAAACCTGGGACCGAATGATATTCTTTTCACTAGTAATCTTGGTGGTCGTGTCATGGATAACAGCGATATTGATATCCCCCTCCATCCATCTTGGCGCTCTGCAGCCCAGTTGGTCACTTTGGTACGCGCAGTCGAACCGTCAAATAAGGGGAGGCTGTCCGCTTTAGAAACACTTCACTCACATGATATGCCAATTTTGTACTCACTAGAGCCGAAAAATAAGGTATCGTATCGTAATTTGGGTGATCCCTCCGAGAACGAGTTTCAGAGTAGATACTGGGGGTCAAACTACAAGCGTCTCGCCTCCATTAAAGAAAGATGGGACCCGGACGAATTATTCACCACTAGACTCGGGGTAGGAAGCGAAGAGTGGGATACTGAAGGGATATGCAGAAAGTCTATTGGCCTTGTGGCTCGAGTTAGTGAGCTGCTCCGACTCTCGAGTAGATAGATATTAGGGGGATTTTCGCCTTTGATACAGCAGGTAGATATAATAGGTTCATATCGATAATATAGAATGTCATTGAAATAAACCTGGAATTTCGTCTATAAAGAGCACTAGTTTGGGATATGATGTCTGAGTCCACAATGTGCGGGTATGACGAGCGGAATATTGGAGAAGATGTTTTATAACCAAAATATCTAGGCTATATATATACAACCTGTCACAGACCAGAACGTTTGAATTCGTCAACTTCATCTACTATATCGAAATCCTCCTCACACTCCCACCATGGCCTCTCCTCGAGTCATCGATATTCGTTCCTCTCATTTTGAAGACTTGCTTACAGACCAGGTATTGAGTGGCTTCAGCAATGACCCAAAAACTCTCCCTGCTCAACTCTTCTATACGAACGAAGGACTGGAGCACTGGAATCACCATTCTCGCCAGCCTGATTTCTATCCCCGGCAACAAGAAATTAAAATTTTAAAGCAGAGAGGAGATGACATGGCAAGGTCTATTGCGGAAAATAGTGTCATTTTGGATCTCGGTAGCGCGTAAGTGAATTTATCATCTTCTCTCGAGTATATAACAACACTGATGGACAATAAATGTCAAGAAACCTTGAAAAGGTGACGTACCTTCTCGAAGCGCTGGAAGCTCAAGAGAAAAACGTGGCCTATTTCGCTCTCGATCTCAGCGCATCGCAGCTGGCCTCCACGCTCGATTCTATTCCCACCGACAAATTCCGCCATGTCCGCTTCACTGGACTGCATGGCACATTCGAAGACGGGCTGCGTTGGATCAATGAGACGCCTGAAATTTGCGACTTGCCACACTGCGTGCTGCTGCTCGGGCTCACGATTGGTAATTTCTCACGGCAAAATGCCGCAGCGTTCTTGCACAATATTGCCAAGAATGCTTTGCAGGGCAAATCAAGAGCGCAAAGCTCCATCGTCATGAGCCTGGACAGCTGCAAGGTGCCAACCCAGGTTTTGAGGGCTTACACAAGCGACGGGGTCGTACCGTTTGCATTGCAGGCTCTCACCTACGCGAACACGCTTTTCCACGAAAAGACTAGGAATGGAGTCAACGGCTGGCAGTCCTCTTGCAATCTGGACCCAGAGGACTGGTACTACCTCAGTCAATGGAACTTTGCCATGGGGAGACATGAGGCTTCACTGATTCCACGATCAAAAGACATTAACCTGGGACCCTTGCTGAATGACATAGTTGTCAGGAAGGACGAGCAAGTTCGTTTTGGATGTAGCTACAAGTACGATGCTTCGGAGCGTACGGAGTTGTTCACGGCGGCTGGACTGAAAGATGAGACGGCTTGGACAGGAGAGAAGTGTGATGTTGCAATTTATGACTTGAAACTAAGCTAATTCTTCATGTATTCAATTAATTCTTCAATAGCCAGATGTCCTTCTCACTTGAAGCAAATTCTTGAAAAGTACGAGGCGTTGTACCAGTCAATTCAAGCACGGTCTTATTGAGTCTTTCTTCCCCTCCTGCTCTGACTATCAAGTCCATCGAAGCGTGCATCTGTGCATCCTCGAGCGGCATACCGTACTCGTGCATTTTCTCGGCGAGCTCTGATTCTTGGAGTCGGACATGATTGATCTTTCTATTCAGCTGCTTCGAAAGAGCCTCGGCAACCTTGACTCGCTTGTCAGTATCTGGGGATGCATCTCTCAGTCCTTTGCATGAACTTACATCATCGTAAGTGAGCAGTTCCGGTCCGAGCAGAATAGGGTCAATATTTTCTTCCACATCTCCCTTCAGCGCACGAAACGCGACTCGGGCGATGTCAACCACGGAGATGAACGGGACTTTGCCATTTTCCGCTGCCGAGTAAATCTTGTCTTCTTTCCTAATTGCCTTGCACTGGAACTCGTGTGGAGAAGAGAAATTTTCTGACATTCAAATAAGATGACTTAGTACGGCGTGTTTGCAAAAACAAAATACATCGCGTGGGCTAGATCCTCATACCCATGAACCATGTTGGTCTTAATACCGTGTAATGGATTCCCTCCATGGAAGCCAGGTGCTCATGAATTTGCCCCATAGCAGGAGCGCCTCGTTCCAACATGCTTGCGCTTAGCAGCACAAATCTCTTGACGTCTTTGAGCCGGGCATGATTGATGAAGGCGTTTACAGGCGGAGCCAAGTCGGCTATCGGCGGAGGAACAAGCCAGACAGCTGAGATTGGCTGCATCCCATCTTTGGGAGATAGGACATTTTCATAGGTTGTATCATCTAGCCAATCAAAGCGCAATTGGCGGTACTTCGAGTCGGGACTGCAGGAGCGAGACGCTATGGCGAAAGGCAGGTTGGCCGCATCGAGGAGAGCAGCAATGTGACTGGCCGTCTTGCCACGTCCTCCAGTTAGTAGAATAGTCATTTTTCTTTTCCGAGATGGAAAACAAATAAAGCGATTCTGGGCTTAGCGTAGGTCAACTTGTGAAGATGGTAAAAGGCAGTAGATGTCTTGAATCATTTTGGCATGATATTACGACGAAATTGTACTATTATATGTAGATATCAGCTCACAAAGTTGACATTTGAGTCATGTCTAGAATATTTCCAACTTCTGCGACTTGGAGAGCTTGTTGGTCTCGTAGATTCTCTAAAAGGAAGTATACCTTCTTCGCGTTGCGTTGGTTCTATCGCCAGCAATTCGACACTGATGCGCAAGGTCTCAGACAGAATTTTCCTTAAGACGCAGCTGATGCCGCAGAAGAATTCTTTCCAAGGCCCTGGCTGCTTTTTGCCAAGTTCCACCTTGGTTACAACAGCACCGCATCTACCGTTGGAATTGGTGGATATTTATCTACGAAATCACTCCGGGGCAGGTGTTATTTGCCGCACCTAAGGCGCGGCCAGCCCGACCCAAATGGCTCTAGAAACATGCACCTTACAGGCCTGTAACATTTTGCTTACATGGGTTTCTCACATTTTCAGGCGTCATTAGGATAAGGGCATCTACACGCTTGCAATATCATGTCCAACTGTATGATTCCCTCTGGGACAAACGGCTAATCCGACGAAACAAACCATTTGAGGCGAGCTCATTTTGAGGACGGCTAAGCTTGAAATTGCATCCGCCATCTGACATTACGCTTGAGGTTTTGAGCTGGAGTTATCAATTCTTTATGTCAGACTCCCGGACGTACTGTTCGAAAGCGGCAACCTCCTGCCATATCGGAAAGGTCGAAATCTGTGTACGTTGTCAGGAAAATGACTTCCGTGCAAAGATCCACCCCCCGAATCTACGCCGAGAGAATGTATCCAACAGATGGCCTCTGTTTGCAACAACTCCGAAGGTAGCTGCGGCAATCATTGAAGGTATACTGCATTCTCGGGAGCTCCGTGGCCAGCCCGATCGCTGCTGGAGTTCCCCCTAAAGACTGGGAAGACTTACTCAATCGCACCAGCTTTATTTCTTTTTATCCAATATAACCCGAGTCGGCTCCCCGATCCGCATAATTGTTGTCACTATGAGCAATCTGACCTCATCATGAAACACTCCAAATACCTCCTTATTTAACACGAGAGTATACGATCATATTCATTATCATAGGAACGAATCTTAACCTTGCAAATATTATTTTTGTTTTGTTTCTCTGAGCATTGCAATCAGTGTTGAATTTCATCTCTTCGCCTCGAATAAGCGCATTCCCTTCTCACATAATACTCTGGTTTACGATGCAAATTGACGAACGAATCGGCCACAGTGTTTATGAGACACTCAGTCTCATCTTGGATTTCCCGAATGACGACCAGAAGCTTTGGTGGCATAGCACGGCGCCCATGTTTGAAGCTATGCTTCAGACCGCCGGCCATACCATCAACACACAATACCGACATTTGGGGATATACAAGAAGCACGTCATCCCATTTCTGGGCGTTTATCCCACGAATGACAAGGAACGATGGCTAAGCATCTTGACGAGATACGGAATCCCATTCGAACTGAGCTTAAACTGTTCCAACTCTGTTGTTCGATATACATATGAGCCCATCAACGCTGCAAGTGGGACACAGAAGGATCCGTACAACACACTAGCCATTTGGGAGAGTTTACAGAAACTCGTACAGATCCAAGCAGGAATTGATGTCGAGTGGTTCAAGTACTTCAAGCGAGAGCTCACTCTTAATACGGCCGAGTCTGCATATTTATTCGACAACGGTCTGGCAAAAGATGAGATTAAGACGCAAAACAAGCTAGCCTTGGATCTCAAAGGCAGTCAATTTGCACTAAAAGTATACATATACCCTGCGTTAAAGTCTCTTGCTACGGGTAAATCCATGCACGAGCTCATTTTCGGCTCTGTGCACAAGTTGTCTCTGCAATATAGCAGTATCCGCGCAGCTTTTGAAAGGTTGGAAGGATTTGTTATATCACGAAATAGTCGTGCACAAACTGGTGACTGTGGCGCTCTACATCCACGGCTTTTGTCGTGCGACCTGGTCGATCCCGCCAAGTCTCGCATCAAGATTTACCTCCTGGAGCAGATGGTGTCATTGTCCGCCATGGAAGACTTGTGGACACTAGGTGGACAACTTACCGATCAATCGACAATGGATGGACTCGATCTCATCCGCGAGCTTTGGGATCTGCTTCGGATTCCCCCAGGTTTGCGGAGTTATCCAGAGCCGTACCTGGCCTTGGGGAAAGTCCCAGACGAGCGACTCCCATCCATGGTCAATTATACGCTGCACCATGATGATCCCACACCCGAACCCCAAGTGTATTTCACCGTGTTTGGCATGAGTGACTTGGATGTGACCAATGCGTTGACAGTCTTTTTTGAAAGACGCGGATGGAGCGAAATGGCTATAAAGTACAGAGCCTTTCTTCAGAAATCATTGTGAGTATTGTCAGCATTAAAGATCGAAACCAACAATCCGTACTCATATAATTCTTGCACAGCCCACATGACGACCATGAATCACTGAATTATATTCATACGTACATTTCGTTTTCATACCGTAACAACAAGCCATATTTGAGTGTATACTTGCACTCGTTTGAAAGTGGGAATTGGCCGGTTTGTAAGTACTTGTTTGGATATCCGTTGTGAGGAGTCACCGTGAACTGACTTGAGCCACTTGCTTGCAGTGCCAGATGTTCCTGTGGCTTTCGATGCATTCCGTCGTGAACCCTCTCCGTACAAGAAAATACAGCTTGGTCTTGATTAGGTTGCTACGGGGGAGTCATTTTAGTGATGAATTACAAATATACATCATGCCTTGGTTTTAGGTGGCATGGTCAATAAGATCATTTGATTCGTAAATACGATTTAGCATTGTTTGGATATATTAAACTCAAGATAAGATGTATAAACAATAAATACCGAGCCCTGAAATTTGATAGTAGAATGCGAATATGCCAAAGCGAGAAAACAATAGAAATAAGTCTGCAGCATTTGCGTCCATCGATTCACCAAAAACTCACAGTGCTACAGAATTCATTAGTGTCACAAAAAGAACGCGGTCTAGTTGAACAGAAATTATACCCCCTTTTATTTCGTTGACAATTAGTCTAGGGTAGTTGCCTGCATCAATCATGTCATGTTCCAGTACAGTACCAAGTCATCATACTATCTAAAAACAGTATTCTGGCCAATTAGTCTTCCTTTCGCACTTTCCGTCACCGCAAAGTATTTCGGAAAATGTTTAGAAATAATGGATTGGAAATGAATATTTGATGCCTTGATGTGCGGGCAACCTCTAATTCACGTGAGAATGCTGAGTCGCATCACGTCATGAAACTACCTATAGAAGACCTCAAGGAACAGTGACCGCTATCCAAAACTAGTCAGAGGCCTTTGGGCTTTGAATATGCACTCGCCTTCTTTGGGAAAGTGGCTCCAGGCACGGGACATAAATGAGGTACGCATCCAGAATCTCAAGTTGAACTCCGTGAATTAATACGAGAATCGAAAAAAAAAAAAACGTTTAAGTACCGTAATTCTTTGGCGATAACAATCAAAGATCTCCACTCTCCTACACGCGTGCCTGTTCATATATATACTTTCGTTTGTAGTATCAAGAACAAGCACCAACTACATTTCCTCGCAACGCACGATGCCTTCAGATCAGAAAACACGCTGTATAGTAATAGGAGCCGGGTGAGCATATAGACTTAACAAAGCAGAAGAATTATCTCACTAACAATTGTGATAGAGTATCCGGCATCCTCATGGGTAAGATGGCTAAATTTCGAAAAGTTAGAGACCCTGGGCGATCTTGAGGACCTGACTGGAATAAAACTAGCCTATAAGCTACAGCATTACTTGAATGATTTTGTCGAGTTTCAGATTCTGGAAAAGAATCCCGACCTTGGTGGCACTTGGTACGAGAACAAATATCCGGGTTCGTTCAAGTTGTTCTAGTTCTTGATATGATTCGGAAATCTTACCAGATATAGGCTGCGCCTGCGATGTTCCTAGTCACTGCTACCAATATGCCTTTGCGCCAAACCCTTCGTGGTCGAAATTGTATGTCACCATTCATCCTGATGTAGGTATAACCCTAACTCTTCTAGATACTCCTCATCAGAAGAGATTCACGACTATCTCAAAAAAGTAGTCAAGCACTTTAACTTGGAACGATACATTCGCTACAACACCAAAGTCACCTCGGCCAAATGGACTGAATCAACTGGCACTTGGTCTGTGGGCATTAGTGATGGGACGACGATTGATTGCGAAATACTAATCAACGCTGGGGGCATCCTCCACCATCCTCAATTGCCTGACCTCAAAGGGCTCAAAAGCTTCGCCGGTAAGGTGGTACATACGGCTGCATGGGACTCTGGACTAGATCTAGGTGGCAAAAAGGTGGCACTCATCGGATCAGGATCCAGCGCAGTCCAGATTCTACCGCAGCTTCAGCCTGTATGCAGTTCGGTACGGGTATATATTCGCACTCCTCCATGGATTGCGCCCCCCATGGTTGATACTGAGTCGGAATCACCGAATCGCGACTACACGAACGACGAACAGGCATTTTTCAGACAAGACCCGGCAAAGTATGCCCAGATGCGAAAGGAGATCAACTCGAATTTAAATGGCATGTTCAAAGCCCTGTTTAAGAATTCTCCGGAACAGCAGAATTTTCGACAAATGCTGGAAACACGAATGCGGTCTCTAATAAGAGACGAAAGCCTGCAGGATCACCTTGTTCCCAAGTTTGAAGTAGGCTGCCGCCGCGTGAATCCCTGTGAACAGTTTCTTTATAGTATTCAGGAGAAGAATGTTACGGCCGTGTTTAACGCGATTGAAGAAGTCAAGCCACATGGGATCGTGTCTGAAGGCGTCGAGCACCCAGTGGACATTATTGTCGCAGCGACTGGATTCAATAATAGTTTCAGGCCACAGTTCCCCCTATTAGGCCGTGATGGAGTCAACCTTCAAGACATCTGGGCAGATGAACCAACTTCATATTTCGGAACCGGTGTTTCTGGGTTTCCCAATTATCTCACGTTTCTTGGGCCAAACACACCTATTTCCAACGGCGCTTTCATGGGTATGTTGGAATCTTTCTGGTAGAGTTTACTAATCCAACACACTTTGCAGGACCCTTGGAAGGGACGAGCGATTATTTCATCAGGCTACTTCAGCGGGCCATCAGATACGGAGCATCTTCATTCGATGTAAAACCCGAAGCGCAGGCCGACTTTGACAGTCGCGTCTGTGAGTTTATGAAGAAGACGGTGTGGACGGGGTCATGCCTCAGTTGGTGTAGGTTTTTTTTTGATACCCCAAAAATTTTGCATAATCTACTAACGCTTCAAAAGATAAGAAAACTAGGGATGGTAAGATTACGGCGCTATGGCCGGGCAGCTCGTTGCAGTACATGCAGGTCCTGGCTGAGGATAGATGGGAGGACTATAACTGGGCGTACAGAGGACGAAGATATGATTACTGGGGAAATGGGTTTTCGTGGATTGAGCAGCCAAAGAGCGACAAGTTGGGAATCCAAGAGCGTAAATCGAAAAACGAGATGGTGACAATTCCCAACATTGACGCCGATTTAGGCTTCTATATCACGCAACAGACACCCTTGCCGGAAGCAGACACTGAGGACTAGAGCGGAATCGGTCTTCTGCATTGCAGGGTACGCATACTTAACGGGGATTATTTTGTAGACTATGGCGTTATTTCGAAATATACAATGTTGCAGTCCGTGCTGATTTAAGTAATGACATGAGGAGATCGTTTCAATATAGAACGGTGGCATGCTTAATTTTCAATTCATGCTAAAGACATGTAACTCAACACTGTGAATCACTTTTAATCTTCACCATAGTTTTCCCTTTTTTACATGTCACACGGGTATCACGATGTCACGATGTCACGGCGCGTGCAGACCCTCGACCACGACGACAGTTATACAAGGGCTCGAAGAAATAGTGAGAGGCCTTGGGCGTCTGTCGCCCCAGGCCGAGACTCACCGCTGCTTTGTATACGTAACATATTTCTGTCCACAAGGACCCTTGATAGTAAAGGAAGTTATTAGCATGAATAGAATTCTTGTTCCCAGCCCTTGTCAAAGTCAAAGTGCTGTCTATAACGGCGGCTACTCATCAGGAGTTCACCCCCACATCAATTCATATGATTTAGCCAAGAAGCATAGTATCTATGCCAATGACAGTAATGGCGGTGCTGGTCAGGTTCAGATGTTTTAGCTATGCAGACATCCTTGACACACAAACCCGAGGAGGAATATAATGAACGCACCTGGGTTCCTATTTTGGTCCACAATAGAAATAAATGATACAAAGAAGCTCAACCCATGGTCAAGCCCTGTAAATCTTTAGTTTCCGATTGATTCTGGCCGCCCGATGCTTCATGGGCTTTGTATGCAGCATTACCTTTTTTAAGATGCGACAGGATCAATGCAATCCACCGGCGAAGTTTCATCTTCATCATCTCAACAAAGAATTTTATCAATAGTTTAATGTTATGGATACAAAGTACGTTGGCTCGTTTGTCCATATCGGCTCAAGGGGGAAGCAATCCTGAAGTTCTTGCCTACTCGTGTGATACGTCTCCTGCCCAACTAGCACCATCATTCCCCTACTCCTCTGCCAACTCTTTCAATATCTCAATTGCCTCGTTTTCCCTCCCAAGAGGAACAAATAGATGATCATGATAAAATCCACTGACGGGGTTCACTCCCATATTCTTGGTTGCCAGCCTGGTCGCAATCACCGCCATAAACCCTACCGCCTCCAAACTGGACGTCACATCCAGCGTAATCATCTTGCAAGGAAAGAAGTACTCCAGGCCGTGAGATTTGGCGTAATCAAGGCTCGTTATTACGGTGAGACCCTCCGCCTCCCGGAAGAAGAGCTGAATCGCCGACACGGGTGGTAACTTTGCTTCGTCTTTGACGGTCGCGAAAACGTAGGTTGTAGGGTGAAGGATGGTGCTCAGTGTGGCCAAGAGCTTTGAAAGTGACTTTTCTCCAGGATCTTGCATTGGCGCCGACATTTTGCGGGTGGATTTGAATGGGTGACGATGTATTTGGCTGCCGTTGCCCCCTTGGTGCCCGTATTTGGCAGAAGAATAGTGCAGAACGGGTGAAATAAATGGCTCATTGAGTTAGCTGCCCATCAGATCCATATCGACCTGTCAAGTCAAATTCTGCAGTATCTGACTGGCCAGGATGGTGGTGCCAGACTTGTCTGTGGCGTCCAAGGCACGCGCGAGGGTTCCAGTCGAGGGAGTAACTTACCAATCATCGTTGAACCTTGACTCTTGCCGACTTTTCATTCGATTAGTCCGGTATTTCCATATTGCAGGTTAGATATGAGGATAAAATCTGCCGCTTTTGCTACCCAGTTCAAATGAGACGATTCGACTTCTGAGCATCTGTAAAACAATTGGGGTATCAAGATGAACGAATGCAAATTTTTCCAAGCCAGATTCGCTCATTAAGCCTAGGTAGTTTTATGTAGCTTGACCAACTGCCTAGGTACTTGGTAGTCATAGGATGGCATACCGCTACTTACAGCTTCTGCATGTTACCACCACGACCTCTTACCCGTACGGTTCTTCCATGAATACCCAATTCGTAGAATGAATACCCGTGAGTGTCCGCGGCTTCTCAATTCTATACCCCAACGATAACGAGGCCCACGGTGAACGGACGGTTGGGCGCGCTCCAAAGTGGACTTTTTGGCCCCAACAAAACAAGAGAAGAATGAGGCGTTGGGGAGGTGGACTGTGCTTTGATCGATAAGAAAACATGGCTCAAAAATTAGGGATCAGGTGAATACATACTTTGCTTACGTATCAGATTGGCCATGTCAATATGATCTAACTTTGTCGTACATAGTCCTAGCATGAGTAATTATGATATAGACACTTTGGATTTCGACCACACAGGTTACGCAAATCAAGAGCCAACGATAAAGTCTGTTCAAGCAGGTGATGGAAATCAAGATTTCTAGATTTTCATTGCCGGGTTCGCAAGTAAATCATCTGCTAAACATCTGCGAATAACCCTAGTGTAAGGAATATAAAGTCAGAGCGTAAAGAATAAACCTGACCAACGAATTTATAATGATTAACTCAGCTTAGCTATCGTTGTAGGAAAACATTCTTGTTCACATTAATTTGCCACACTCATAACTTCAAAGGAAAAAGCCAACATACAGGCATCACCAACTCTGGACTCGGATAACTACCTTGCCATTTGCCTTTTTGTTCTCAACCTTATCAAACGCTTCCTGGAAATCGGCAAGATCAACCAAACTATCCACCTTGGTGACACACTTGCCTTCCCCTTGCAGCTTAGAAATTGCCCCCAGCTGCTTACCGTTGGGTTCAACCAGGAACCACTTCGCCTCGGCAAGCTTCTTCGTAATCGACTCTGGCTTCGACTGCTGCGGGTCGCCGGTGATGCTGTGCAATACACCCCCTTCTTTCACGGCAGACCAGCAAGACGCAAGCGTTGATCCCCCAACGCAGTCGAAAGCGGCATCTACCTCGCGCTCCGATGGATTCACGGCCACCCAGTCGGAAATACTCTTCTTCTTGTAGTCCACCACGTCTGTCGCGCCTAGCCCTCGAACATATTCGCCGGCGTGACCGCCGGCGACGGCGATTATCTGGCCTGCTCCGGCGAGAGATGCAAACTGAACGGCCCAGCTGCCCACGACACCAGAAGCTCCTGTAATAAGCACCTTGAGAGCCCTATTTTTCTCTCGGGCTGCTTCATCTCCAAACACTGCCTTTTCATCCAGGACCCCATGTTGGAAGACGCCCTGCCAGGCCGTGAGTGCACTTAGTGGCGTCGCCCCAGCATCTGTCCATCCCACGTTCTTGGACTTGTGTGCCATTTGAGAGAGTCGAGCCACTGTGTATTGACGCAGGTTGCCGGTTTGAGATGGCTCGAGGCGGAAAAACACCTCGTCTCCGATTTTGAAGCCAGAGGCCCGGGCATCGTCGCTGTCTGCGAGTTTGGCGACTACGCCTGCAGCCTCAGTGCAGGGGACTCTCTCTCGGCCGGGCGCAAAGAGGGAAGGAAACAATTTCTCCCAGTGTAGTTCACCCGCGCACGGCGTAGTGGTGTAAACACGGACAAGACACTCGTCCGGGCGGGAAATGGTAGGCAGTGGCGCGTCTTCGAGGACGAGGCGCGTCGAGTTTGGGTCGGGTTGGTGCACCACTTTCATGGTGCTGGGAAGGGAAAGGGACGCCATTTGAGGCAATTGTAATGTTTTGTTCAAGTATGACGGTGACGGTATTTAGAATAGGTCTGTACAGATGAATGGAGATTTGAGCATGGCCCGCGTGCGCCAGTGGTGTTTCGATGGCTCATGGGGATGACACGGCCTTATATTGTTTGCAAAGAGGCGCATTTGGTATGGATTTTGGTCGGCTGCAATATACGGCATCGAAGCCTTTTTCGCCATTCCGGCTTGCTCGGAGCGACTTGAGAAGTCGGGAATCGCCAAAGATTCGTCACATAGGCATCACCATGTCTGGGGGCAAAACGCCACGGCTCTTGGCTGGGCTGACGGCTCATCGACAACGGAAAATAGCCCGACATCGACTCTCCACCCACGCCACGCTTACCCGGATAGCCTATGGCCGGGGATCAGGGAATCCGTGGGAAGGCTAAAGTGTGGGTTGCTGTCAATGGCCATGCGGGGCCCAACGCGAAGGGTGAGGCCATATATACTTATATATAACTCTATAGACCAACGGCTTTTTCATCAAGGAGCGCATCAGAAGTCATTGACACGCAAAACTTGGACTTGGATCAGCTAGTTCAGACTTTATTTTAAACTCGAACAAACACTCGTCAAAATGGAACAAGGTCGAATCGTACCCGATCCCCCCAAATACGACAGAAGGTATACACTGCATCCATGGAATTGACCCTGACCAAACGCAGCTGTTGAATAGCTGACTCATTATTTTCCGAATAGCCGACCGCTTCCCCAGGTGGAGCTCGCCTATCAATATAAGCTTCCCAACATCCCTGGAAAGTCTAGCATCGGCCTCATGGTGACATTCCCTCCCAATTCGTCGACTCCGCCGCACACACACGCCGGAGCCGCTGTTTCTGCTGTTGTCCTCGAGGGCACTTTGCTCAACAAGATGAACAGCGAGCCAACTCGGGTTTTTAGCCAGGGCGGAAGCTGGTTCGAGGCTCCCGGCTGCCATCATGTGGTCAGCGACAACTACAGCAAGGACGAGCCGGCAAAATTGTTGGCGACATTGATTGTCGACACCGAGGTGGTGGATAAGGGAGGTGTGCAAGCCCTCGTTGTGTTTGACGACGAGTACAAGGACGTTGCACTTCATTAACAAAACATCCGTTCTTGGCGTTGAGGCACCTGTGGCATTTGACGACGAGTATAGGAAATACGGTTAGGAGCAGCAGTATCAAGCACATCCTTTTTAGGAGTAATATTAGCACACCAACCTTTTAATTTGGCCCCGAGATGGTGCTTTCACGTGAAGGATGAAATGTAGACGGCGGTTGACGAGCATGGGGGAACCATGGTAGCAGCGTGAAGGGTGGCTCGTCGACCCATGAATGGTTACATCCGGCCGATCGATATGTTGTCGATTTTGATTCGACCCTGTCCTTGAGACAAACTGACCAAACGTGGCACGGCTCACTTGCACCCAGCTGGCCCAAGGGTACTCCGATGGACGAGAGTATGCATCTTAGTCTTGCCAAGTCACTACCCACACGCACTTCACAATGCACAATGCGGAGATGCTTGCCGCGAGCAAGAAAGCCACTAACCTGTTGATATAGTACAAGACTGCTCATCAATATCATCCACGAGAGGACAAGTTCGACGTACTACTAGGCAAAGTTGCGACGTGGACGCTAGATCCAAAGTACACAGGCTACCAAGCACTGGTCCGTCGGAACTATTTTCAGCAAAGCTTAGTATCTGGGCGGGCATAGTTTTCGATAAAGAACTCGACAGACTGGCCATGGAACGAGGTTGGCTATATCACCCACCGCAGCGTACAGCTCGCGAAAAAGAAGCGACACGGGAGGGCGCTGTCGTGCCACGCCACCTCCAAATACCGGCTATAACACGAGCGCGAGCAGGCGATATGCTCTGCGAAACAACTTGTGCGTCGAAAACGTAGTCTCGGTCTCAGAACCGGATGGGCGCGACGAGATGTGGCTTGGGCATACTGGCGATGGCTTCAAGATTCGACTACTCATTGACGCCATGTCATAGACACCAGGCACCGCCTAATGATGCATGCCGTTCAACATCGAAACAATTTGGCATTTTAGGCTTCCCTCTGCGGGTCACACAACATCTATCCTGGCCTGATAAACTCGTCGCTGGCCTCAGACCGTCCCACAGAGGCCGCAGTTGGGCTTCGCAGCATTGCGGCCAGCATACTCCGTGCCCAAAGCTGATTTGTTACGCTGCAATTAGTCAAATCTTTCCGAGAAAGTTGCCTGACATTAATAGGTAGCAACAACGTGGCCCTGGCCGCCTCGGTTGCCAAAGAAGCCATACGTCGTGGGCAGTTGGGCAGCAATAGAGTGAGCGGTGAAGCATACCGACAAGATGCAGATGCCCCATTCATGCAGCAGGCAAGCGACATACGTGGTCCATGGTTGGGGACAATACGGAGTAGTTAGATATATACTTCAGACAGTGCTGCTGTCGGGGCATTTGGACAAGCTGCTTCCTCTTCCCCATCACGGCTGCCCATTCCATCAACACCACACATCAGTCCGTCACAATGGCCTTCATTGAACTCCAATCCGAAGACCACCGCGACCTCCTAGACACATTTGACAGGCTTCGATCGGGAGGCGTCTGCAAACATGTCCATCTTCCGGAAATCATCGTCTGCGGAGGCCGGTCCGCGGGCAAGAGCTCCGTGCTGGAAGCCATCTCGGGCATTTCCTTTCTCACAGAAGACAACGCTTGCACTCGATTCACGACGGAGCTAGTTCTTCGTCGGCAGGACACTCCGGCCGCCAAGATCTCCATCAATCCCGGCCTAGAACGAGGCGCCAACGAAAAACGCCGATCGGGCATCTTTACTGTCCCCGTGAGCTTCGACAAGCCGGATATCGAGACCATCATTGGGGAGGCGAAAGAAGCCATGGGCCTGTCCGACGCCAAGATGTTCAGCTCTGACATCCTGCGCGTCGAGCTTTGCGGACCTACGCAGCCGCACCTCACCGTGGTAGATCTGCCAGGCATATTTCGCGCCGACGGCCAAGACGAGATGGCCCAAGATGCCGAAACTGTTCGCGCACTAGTCCGGCACTATATCAAGAGATCTCACAGTATCATACTGGCAGTTGTGTCTGCCGAGAACTACTCCTACCTTGGCGACATCACCGAGATAGTTCGTGAACTAGACCCGAACGGCAGCCGCACGTTGGGTCTCATCACTAAGCCGGACGTTCTAGAGCCCGGCTCCGACAGAGAATCCGTGTATGCCCACCTCGCCAAGAATACGGAGCTATCTTCCCAGCTTGGCTGGCATGTTTTGAAGAATCGGGATCATAAAGTGAGGGATAGTCCGTCCCTTGGGCGCAACGAAGACGAAGAGAGCTTCTTCTCCAAGGGCATCTGGTCATCAGTCGACCAGAGCTACCTCGGCATAAAGTCCCTCATGCCAAGGCTGAGCAACATCCTCCGGAACCAAATTCTGCAACAAGTGCCGAGCATCATCGAGGTCGTCGACAGGGACATTGACAGGCGCAAGGCCCAGTTGGAGAGACTGGGCAAGCCGCGCTGTACCATCTCAGAGCAGCGCAAATACCTGATGCAAGTAAGCCGCGAGTTCACAACCCTCATGAAAGCCGCCGTCGATGGCGAGTACAACGACGCATTCTTCGGCAGTGCCAAATCCGACGAGGGCTACCGGCGGCGCCTGCGCGCCCGCATCCAAAACACCCTGACCAGCTTCGAGAAGGAGATGCGGGAAAAGGGGCAGAGCCGCGTGATTGTCGACGACTCGGGCACCCGGGACCGCAAGCTCCCCAATGACCACCAGTGGCGATCTACCTTTGTCAACGAGGTCATGGCCATTGTGAGACGCAGCCGCACGCGCGGCCTGCCGGGCACCTTCAACTCCCAAATCATCCGAGAGCTGTTTGTGGACCAGTGCCAGCCCTGGCAGACCATTGCCATGAATGTCAAGCACGAGATTCTCGGCATCGTCGACGACATCGCACAGGCGATCGTGGACCATGTTGCCGCCGACGAAACCACGCGCGGCGTGTACCATCTCGTCAGCAACGAAACCGACAGCCTCAAGGCCGATCTCGGCGCCAAGTTTCACGAAATCCTCAAGCAGTACGTGTGCAGCCACCCCATCACATACAACAGCTACCTGCTCGACATGGTGCAAAAGGAACAAGAAAGACGGACCCACGAACAAATCGAGGAAACGGTAAAGAAGCTCGTAGGCAACGAAAACTTTAAAGAAGAGCACCGCGTCAAGATTCACCCGCTCAATTTATGCGATTCGCTCAAGCGCAGCATCAACGTCGACATGGAGCGGTCCGGGGCCGAAATGGCGACCGACTACATGCTCGCCTATTACAAGGTAAGCGAGGCACTCGAAGCGCCGAGGACGCAACACTGACTGGTTCGCAGCTCGCCCTAGAGAAGTTTGTCGACGACATCAGCGTCCTAGCCGTCGAGCAGTGTCTCCTGGAGAAGCTGCCGACGCTGTTCCTGCCCGAGGCCGTGATGGACCTGCCGGACCACGACGTGCGCTACTTCATCAGGGAGAGGGACACTGCGCACGCCGAGCGGGCCCGGTGCGCGGACAAGCTCGCGGTTCTGGAGACGGAGCGGCGCGTGCTCGCTCGCCTCGACACGCGTCGCTCGCCGGGCGTCGCGCAGGCATGTGCGGGGGAGAACCTCCCCGTGCCCGGGATCCCGCGGAGCTACACGACCGACACGGTGACGGTGGACGAGGCGCGGCCGTATTTCCCCCGCTCGCCGTCCCCGGGGAATCCTGGCCACTCGGGCGAGTTGCTCGTCGAGCCGGAGGGCGCTGAGCCCGCTGGTGCTGAGCCCTGCGCGCCGGAGCCGGAGCCAGTGCCGGAGCTGGAGCCCGAGACGGAGGCGGCGGAGGCGGTGGAGGAGCCCGAGGAGCCTGCTGCGGACGAACCTATGTCGACGGAGACTCCCACGGACGAGACGCAGCCGGCGGCCGAAGAAGCAGAGGAGGACCTGTGGGGGTTCAGGGCGAAGAAGGAGAAATGGCGCCGGTCGTGGGGAGATGCTCAGGAAGAGGTTCCCGCCGTGCCGCTGGAGACGGAGGATGCCAAGTCTGACTTGGCCGGCGGCAAAAAGTCAAAGAGGACCAAGAGAAAGAAGAGTCGGGAAGACGCACCTGCTCTGTCGGAGGTGACTCTTGAAATTGAGCCCGTCATTGTGCCCGAGGAGCAGCTTGCGTATCCGTGGGGCTGGGCACGGTGACAATCGGTGACGGACAGAATGCGAGGGAGAAGACGAAGGCGTCGCGGGGGTGGGCTCACCGTGTACGGGATGTTGTTTCTCTTCTGTCTGCTCTTTTACAGTCGCACCCCTCTCTTTGTAAGTGCCGTTTACGACGGAGCCGGCACGGAATAATGATTAGTTTGAGATTGAAATAATGACTAGCGTGTTACTATTACAGCGGCTGTTATTCTGGTGATGAAGGCGCCATGTAACAGCGAGACAATTTAGTAATTGTCCCTCTGTAGCCACGGCTCACAGGCCTCCACGAGCTTGACATGGACACCTTGGTCGCCTGTCCTCTGTAGAACTTGTCTGTAAATGTCCTCGTCTACCCTCTTGAAGAAAACTAGAGCAGACACCCATACGAAATCGGCATACGACACGGTGCTTCCCATGAAGAACGGCCCGGCATCGTTGTCGCGCAGCAAGGCTGTTATTTTCTGGAGGAATGGCTCTGCTCTGGAATAAGCCGCCTCGCCGCCGTACTTTTTCTCAAACTCCCCCACTGGCATGCCGACTGCCTCGCCGCGCGTGGTGTACCAGTAGTCGGCGCTGTGGCTGTTGAGCAGGTTGACGGGGATGCGGGCAACGCAGACGGCGAGAAGGTGGTGAAACACGTCGGAAGTCAGTTGTTCCACTTTGGGGAGGACGGGCGAGTCGAGATGCACACTGGGCTGAGGGTGGGATTCCTCCATGTGGTTCGCAATTTTGCGCGAGTCCATGATCCAGGTGTTGTCGGGCAGGATGACGGTGGGGATGGTGTACGGGGTTCCGGACTCATTCGGAGGCAGACTACGGGGTTAGTCATGTTTTTTTGTTGGTCGTTTACAGCTCGTTTTTACAAAAGGACCGATCTTGGGGAGCTTACTGCGGTTGAACCTTGGGTTTGATATCCTCGTATTCGGTCTGTTGTCATTAGTGTCGATGCTACAGCACACGGGACGTTGTACACACCCATTCCGTCTTGTAATCGAGGCCCTTGAAGTTCAGGAGCATCCGAGCTGAAATAAATGGTCAGTCACTGTTTTCTGTCTCGGGCTAAGGTCTTGACATACTCTTCCACGGGTTCAGGGACCAAGAGGAGCAAGGTTCCTTGCTGGGAAGGTCGAGCAGAGTGATCTGGCCGGTAGACATTGCGGATTGATGATACTGCTTGTGAATTAATTTGAAATACGGCAGCAAGGCTATGTGCGTGAGACTTGCGCTGCTTAAAAGGGATGCAGATTGGGTTAAAGAGGTCGACGGATCGAGTAAGCTCATCCGGCGGCCCGGCCCATGGTCGGGGTTTACTTGGACGGCAAACTCCCGAAATGCCCGAAGTATTTCCCGGCTATTCGATCAATCAACTTGTACGGCTATTTAGGTGATGGAACCAGTTGTCTTGATGATTCCAAATAAGTGCCTCACTACCCATGTCTCTTTTGACACCCAAAGAGGCGATGACTATTGATGCCTTACCTATCAAGTTACCTCGAGGCTCGTTTACACAACCGGGCGCGCCGTGGCCAGGACATCGACTTGTCTTTATGATAACGCGCGCCCTACCATGACAAGCAAGGCAATTGGTGTTAAAAAATGAAGCAATGAGCAATACTACGCGAGCTAGGTTCCAGGCAGAGCCAATCAAGCAATCAAGCCAGCGAATACGCAATCGATGCAGGGCCTCCAAGACGCAGTCACCGCGGCTTTTGGCATGCAGGAAGACGCCGTGGGGAAAAGCCATGCCATAGACATTGCAGGCTGCGGTTCAACTCGAAATCAATTGCAAACAAATCAGCCCCCCACAGCAAGCCAGGAGAACAGTAGAGCTATTTGGAATCATGCCTCCGTCCCAGACGGCACCGACTGCCCTCCCACACCCATGACAACCCACGCCACGGCCTCCCTTCCAACAAACCCCAATGTACTCGTATGTGGCCCCAGAGAAATACTCCCCTTGCTCCAGTCCTGGATCAACCTGCGTGCATGCCACACGGCCAAATGCTTGTTGTAGCGATGAATCTTGGACACGAGCTTGCCCTCGATGGTCTGGCGGAGGGCGTCCTTCCAGCCCGCCTCCGCCCAGCGAATATCCTTCCTCCACAGGGGGCAAAAGGCCTCGGGCTGTCCGGAAAACGGATCAACGGCGGTATATTCCATCTTGAGCATGGCAGGGTTGCAGCTGTACGACACGACGGCAGAAACCACGGCGTTGCACGTGTCGGACGCTCGGCAACTACCTACATCGCCATGACAATCGGGAGTGACTACATGTATGTGCCCGTGTCAGCACAGTGGAAATCAAAAAGTCAGGGATCGACGGGAAAAGAGCGCACCGCATATCGTCCCCGCGACGACCTCGGCCTCGACCAGAAACTCCAGCTCGGGCTTCACCAAGTCGTCTGCCTTGTCGCTCCGCCAGTCGTTGAAGACGGCGTCGACGAAGCCGTCGACGCTCGCCCGCGTGGTCAACAGGGTGGCCTGGTGGTCTGTCGCGGCGCCGCAGGCGTGGAGCATGTCGAAGAGGCGGGCGAGCTGGACTTCGGTGAGCTGGTCGGCGGTCGAGATGGCTCTTCGCATGCCGGGGTGCGGGTCGGCGCAGCCGAGGGCGTCGAAGAAGCGCTCGCGGGCCTGCCTCGCCTCCTCGGGCGTGACGACGGCAATGGACGAGAGGTAGACGGGGGATTCGGATCCCCGGTTGCGCTTGACGGCGCGCGCTTGCGAGGGTTGCGTCGACCTGGCCGAGCTGCCTGCTCTGGAGGCGGTGTTCGGGGGCATGGCATGCGAGCGGCAGAGCTGCATCGACGCCTTGGAGCTCTTTGCCCGGCGGGGGATGAGAAGGAACAGGCTCGTCTTGCGCAACTCGAAACTGACGAGGGCCGCGCGCGCCCGTGTGTGCAGAGAAGGGGACGGCCAGCGGCGAAGCAGGTGGTGGCAAGTGCTCGTCACGAGAGCATCGTTGGAGGCCACGAGCAGAGAGACCATTGAATGTTGCATGTCAACGCGGAGACGGCTGTAAAGGCAGCTATTGAGGAGGCATTGTCCCGGTATGGTGAATACATTGTCCTTTGTCCGCAGGAGACGCGAGTCTGCGATGCCCGTTTGCCGTTGCCTTTGACTCGCCGTCACTTTTGGCTCACCTTTCGATCGGACTCAACAGGTGGACTTGAGAACCCAGCACACGCAGCAAGTGGTGGAGTTTGCCCATGACGGACAGACTCTCGGAGAGCTTGCTCGCATTGGAGGCAAAATCTGGCATTGCCGGTGCGTATCAACTCTCGTCTCCGGACAAGACTCAGTCTCGGTGTGGGAGGAGGAAATGGAAAACCGTCTCGAGCCACTTTGCGAGTGCGCAACACGGGCATGGTCCCTGGCAGAAACGAATACATATACTTTTTCTTCTTTCAGACATGAAGGTCATGAAGCGTCATGAGGGACCAAAGGTCACCGGACAACTGGCTGGACGGCCGAGCACGTTTGGCCCAAGCAGACTCGGTCGACAGTTTGGAAGCACAGCAAATACGCAACCTCTTGATGAAGCAACGGTAGGTACATGTAGTTATATCCACTTGTCCGTCCAAGGCCACGTCACGTCGACAAATGTCCCTCGCAAAACAGAATGGCACCACCTCGAATCCCACAAGCGCCGAGGCGACCGACATTGGCCCTCCCGACTTCCACGAAGCCATAGCGTCCGTAAAAGGCCTCCTTGCCGGCGGCGCTGATGACGGACGCGCAAATCTTGTCCTCCTTGGCCCTGTTGACCCCCCAAAGGACGAGCGCCTTGCCCAGGCCCTGGCCCTGGTAGCCGGGATGCGTGCACAGGAACTCGAGGTACCAGTTTTGCCGTCGGGGCTCGGTCCAGTGATGGGCAAACAGCGGGAACGTCTCGTCGAGAATGTTGATCTTGTCGGGGTCGGCCGCCCGATTCGGCCACAGATAGTCTAGGGTTTGGAGGTACGCCCTGGATGCGCTCTGCATGAATGAGCCTGTGAGACGGTGGTTAGTTCAAAGACGGGCCAACATTGAAGCCACTGCCGATGACGCATCGGCGACCGGGACGCAGCTCGTGCGGGATATCCGAGACGTCAAGTTGGTGCGTCATGTCCTCACCTATCCACGACGCGGGCTGGACGCCTTGCCTCTCCCATTGCGCGCAGCCAACCACCTTGCCCGTCGTCTTGTCGAGTCCCACGACGAGGTGGCAGTTGGGGTCGTTCCAGTGGCGGAGAAAGCGCCTCTCGAAGTAGGCGACAAAGTCTTGGGGGTACTCTTTTCGGCGAGGGTGCATCAGCTCGCCAAAGAGCTCTTCGTCCTGGAAGGCGGCGGCGGCGGCCTCGGCCATTTCCCGCAGGTCGCTGTACTTTGCTTCGCGAATGGCCATGGTGGACTGTCGTGGAGGCAGAAGATGGAGATGTCAACGAGACGCAGGAAGCGGCGATGCCAACCTGCACATGTTGAAGTTGCCGGGAAGTTGGAGCATTGAATACATGTCAATAATTGACGTCAATCAACTCGGGCTTGGCACCAGTGTAAATACGGGGGACCCGTGGGCGCCCTTGGATACCCGGTGAAACGCATTGACGTGTCTGGTGTCCGCGGGTACCCGTAAAGCAACAGTCTGGGTACATGTCGACGGTAGGTTTAATGCATGAATACCAGCTTGAGGTTTCAATGTTGACTCGTCGGCAACGAAGTGGGTAGCTGCTTAGTTGACGACGGGTAGTTGGAAACTCACATGCAGCTACTTTAGGCAAGCACAAGTCAAGCGTCAAGTACAAGTGCCCATCCAAAACCTAAAACATCAATTGATGTCCATACGTCATTGACATGGATGTATCCACATGAGACTCGAGTCCTTAGTTACAATCGGTACGCACCGACTGCCCATACAACACACAGCCTTTGCGGTTCACTACTACACCTGACGACAGGCCTTCAACCGTGCTAGTTGGTTGTTTCTGTGAGCCTCTCGCCCTGGAAGAAAGGCCCCATCTTCAATGTTGGGTAACACCAGACGTGCGTCGATTGTCAGGTTTACGGGTCGGTCCGTGCCGTGACGTGACATCTGTGTAACAATGACGCCGCTGCCTTGTATAGCAGCAACTCGCTCCAACTCGGTCACGACGTCTTGGATGAGGTTTTGCGCCGCCCTCCACATGGACAACTTGTCAGAGCAACCCTTAAACTGGACCAGGTACTCGGTGGTGCGGCCGCGCCCTCGCTTCCGGATTCGTTTCCCCAACACCTTCTCTACAGCTGCGTATTCGCTTCCCAAACTGTCAATGTCGGCAGTCGAGGCCGCAAGCCGCACGCTTCGCCGCAGCCCTCGCGGCCATGCTCGGGACGGCACATGAGCCGCCGGCATTGGCCTCTCCGATACGGCTCCATGTCAACCGTCTTTTGAACTTGATCTGCAGGCGAGGCCGCCCGCTCAAGAAGCTTCTTCTCCTCGGCTTCCGCAGCATCGCTCCCCCCGGCTAGGCTTCTATCTTCCTGATACGCCCTCCCACACCACACGGGAGTGTGGACAAAGTCGTGTTTCGTCGTCCTTGAGCGTGATTGTTTTCGCCACCTGCGAAAGTTACGCCACCGTAGCTGTTGGCTTCGGAATACCGCGTGTCAGAGGTAACCGTCACGGTCCGACAGGTCGCAGGATGGGGTATTCTCTAGAATGGGCGCAGCATCTCCTGGTGCGCTTTGGGGTCGTGGGAAACGGATTCCAGCATGCCAATTAAATACAGCGGACGACCACCATCCTTAACAAGGTTATCATAATCCTCCGTCTCGTGATGCACATATGACTCTCGTGCATCTGGGATCGGTCCGGTTACTCTTGATTCGCTTCTTCGCCTTCAGCTTGGGCATGAGGAATCATCATCACCGTCTCTGTTAGAGACCTGTTGCAAGAGCGCGTCTAGCTTGTCGGCGTTAAGCGGATGTGAGTTTGCCTGTATGGCCCTAAAACGAAATGAGTAAATAAAAATAATGGCATGGCAATAGAACAACACACTTGGGTCTTTAGGCAAGGCTATCTCGCTCTTCTTGTGACCGTGGACCAAAGTCATTAGTCACCAGAAGCGCATATGAGCCACCGCGCTGCCGGCTTTGCTCCATACCCTCACAAAGTTGGGCGTCATTTAAGACCGAAGGTCAACAGCAGCCGGTATTGAAGGCGAACCATATATGTCAACTTGGCGGCAATGCAAAAGGGTGGCTGGCGTCTCGTGCCCAGGTACCTGTACGAGTAAGAAATGTGATTTCATTGCTTGTTAGTCATGTGCTTGTGGGGGACACCGGCGAGTTTATGTGTAATATGGGACCCTGATCTATAATAGGGAATAATATAAATCGTAAGGTATATAGTCACCAACCATAGGGGCACGGAAGCCTGTGTCTAGTGACATTTGAGGGGGACCAAGGAGTAGGAGGATATGAAAGGAGATAAGAAAGGGGAGACTGAGGAAACAATGAGAACGAGAACCAAGGGAATCGCGAACCAGGCAAACTTAGAACCAAAGAAAACTGGGAACCAAGGGAACAGGGAAACCAGAAAGCAGGAGGAAGCAAACACCGGAGGGCGTGCTGGCGGCGATGAGCGACCCCTTGACGCCTTGTTGAGGCTCTGTGATCTTGACTAATGGCTTGCTTATGTGGCTGCGTCAACAGGCATTGATGCAATAATTATTTTGTTTGCTTCTCGAGGCGTGTCCGGAACCCCGACTGCAACTCGTGGCGGATATTGCATGGTTACCACCTTACCTCCCGCCGAGATAAGGGACTGCAGCCTCGCGGACACGACTGGGCGAGAGCTGACAAACATCAGTCAATGTTTGGTAGACGTCTGGTGTAGGACAAGTTGTCTTCCCGCCTGAAGATGATACATAAAGTCGACTGGCAGGCACCTTCCGGCCCCTTGAGCAATAGCATAAGCCTCTTCCCTCATTCCACGTCGGCACTCTTCATTCTTCACCATAGACAAGATAGATGATCCGGATCTTATTGCTCGAATATACCCCCATTCCACTAAAGGGATTCCATTTTATACTACAAAGACCATCTCGAACCCCTTGTCTCTAGCTCTACCGCTGCATCAGGAAGCTCAAACACTTCAGTATGGCCGTGATGACCGCCTGATATAGGTGGTCTCGGCAAGAAACACTTCAGCATAACATTCGGCAATCAACAGCAGCTCCTCGTGAAAGACTTGGACTCTCTTTACGGGGCTCAGGTCACTTATGATGATGCTGGGACTGAGCAGCGACGAAGATATCAGTGAATCATCGGCAGGGACAGAAACGTAGATGAAAAGGGCCGCATTGTTGTCCAGATACACGAACAAATTCAGTTCAAAATTATTGTTGTGGACCATGGTTTCAATCCACAACCTTACGAGGAAGATGTCGAAAAATACTGCCTCGGCAGTGCCGGCATTGCCATCACGGATGCACTCCTCAGTAGCCTGAGTTTCCCATCTCAAGCGGACACAAGACGGCAGACTGGAGCACATACGCCAAGTACCGAGCCAATCTACCTGGTACGAGTGCTCGGAAGCGGAGGTGAGGTTATCGTGATTCATTATTGGAATGTCAGCACTGGAAAAGAGCATGTCCTCAAGCAGGCTTACGGTAAGCCAAGACTCAACAACTCTCGGTGGTTGACGGAAAGGGACATGCTCGGTAAATGATCAAACGTCTGTCTTGCTAGCTGCTGATGAATGCAGAGACATCCGGCTCTCTAGCCGCCATCAGTGAGTATCCAATCCTGGAATCCGTGCGACTCTTTCAACAAGACGTCTTTGAGTTGGCACAAACGCAACTACAATAGATTCTCGTAGACGCCTGAAAGGGTATTTATTTTTCGCAAAGGAGTAGACCAATACTTTTCCGGCAAACGATTCAATGTACTCTCTACTGGTTATAAACAGCCATGATCCTAGAATAGCTATTGCGGACATTCTGTTGGGGGTTCATACCGCCCCGACCGTAACGTATTCCAATGTTCGTGGTTGTCGAGATGCTGCCCAATCAGACGACCAATAGTCATCTCACGTAGATGTACCAAAGACAGGTCCTTTGATTGCCGGTCGTAGAAGGTAACTTTCGGTCGTTGTATGGAGGCTGCATCCAGAGTTCAAGCTCGTCCGACCGTCAGCGGCTTCTTCATGCGAGGACAAGCGACAGTTCAAGTCGTCTTGCTCATGGCGACAGCATTCAACATGACAATCTCGTAAAATGAAAAGCAGATTGAGATGGGGAAGATACTGGGTCCGGCGCTGCGGAACGCCGCAAAGCCTCAAGTGCTCCTTGTTGGTTAGACGGCAGCACGGTGTGCAACTACAATACGCCCTACACATGTCACGTCAATGTCTCAATCCTGACCCCAACATCGTCGATACCGCTGCTTCCGTACACGACAATACCCTTCCATCATGGATCGCATGGCCTTGACACCCGGCGCCGAAGCCAAAGAGGAGCTGTTCAAGGCAGCAGGCCACATCTCCTTCCAGCGCCCAACCGCAATAGCCTACGCCGACGAATTCCTCCTCAGGGCGCCGCAGCCCACGGCGGGCATCACGTACCAGGCCATGCTGGCGTGTATGAGCGAGGGCGACCAGGTGGACCTCTGGTTCGGTCTCCGCGATGCCGACCCGTCCCTGGGCCACGACACGCTGCCCTCGGGAGAGCCAGTCGGGCACACATGGGCCATTCTCCAACCCGCAGACGGCAAACAAGAGACATGGACGCTCTGGGAAGTCGGACGGGCCACGCCCTCGGTGGGAGACGCCCACGCCGCCCGCGCATTCAATGCCTACCGAGAAGCACTCGCCCGGTCCCAGGGCCTCGCCTCGCCTCCCGCCGTGCCCGTCGACGCCGACAAGGCTCGCGTGCCGCCGCCGCAGAATGGCAGGCCCGTCATGTCGCACGCCTTGTCCCCCGCCAACTTGTACTACGCCTCGGGCCGGATGTGGTACTTTGTCGACTTGGGACCGCCGGCCGACGACGTCACGGCGCCGGCGCACTTGTCGCGGCCGATGAGGGCGTTTGACGCATTGGTTCTGTCGAGCCTCATGACGCTCGTCAACGGGACGCCGCCGCTGGTGTTTGCGCTTGCGAATACCACGGCAACGTTGGGGCAGATGCCCGCCAAGTACAAGAGGGTGGCTTACGAGGCGGATGAGACACTGGAACGGCCCCCGGATACGCCCTTGGTGGTTCTGTGAGGGAGGAGAGGCGTTGGAGTCAATCAGTGTTGCGCGCCGCTTGCCAGCTCCCTCAATTTGCCGTGGGTGCTTGTCCCTTGCCAATGTGCGGATTCTGCGGCTCGCGTCTTTGTTGTGTCTGCGAGCATAACTCACTGAGTTTGCCTTGCGCCGCAGGGCTGAAGGGACCAAATTTCACCATGTGGAGCTGGCGTTAGAAAATATGCCAAAAATGTCCAGATGTCAACCCCGAGTTCGCAATGGCGTTGCTCCTAGGCTTGCTCCAGGCTGTTTTGAGGCGTTGGAGGCGTTGATGCTCTCACCTCATAGGTCATGAGCTTGGGTCCCCGAGGCGAAGGGCGCCAACGGCATTGTATTGGCTCACGCGGTCGTGTTGACAACTGGCTTGGGATGTCAGGAGTTGATACATATGTAGTGCTCGTTATTCGCTTGCCTGCCGTGGACTTGCTCCGCGCGCATTGTGCCCAGTTCCACGCGGCCGCGATACCTGGGGTTTCTCACATTGTCTCGGGTGTTTCTGTTTGGGAAAGGACCTTTCTAGCATAGCCATGGTACCAGATAACTCGACGGACTAGCCAGCAAAGCGTCGATCAGGCTGGCTTTGACCCTCTTCAGCTCAGACACCGTGTGCCGAGTTATTGGCCAGCCACGCCAAGTTTGCACAAAAGCGAAGAAGCTTGAGGTTATATTAGCGACTCCACCCACCTGAGCAGGTACCTGGTTGCTAGAGGACAATGGTCAATGATTATTGATGCCAGAATGCCTTGGATGGCGCTGACTGGCATCAAATCCTTGTTCCACGTTTCCTCGCCCACGATGGTGCCTGGATCAGCAACAGCCAGCGGAGGCTTTGCCCATGTTCAACAAGAACATGGCATTGCTAACGGCAGGGTCGAAACGGCCAAAGAGCACGCCGGCACTTGTGGAGAGGCGTTTGGCGTTTGCTCAGCCCATGCTTGTGATGGCGGCGGGCTGCATCTTGGTGACTGGGCTGAGGCTGAATCTGGCGTTGTCATTAGGCTCACAGACAGTGACTGTGACTGCATCAGCCGGCTCTCTTGTGAACTCAGGTTGTGGTAATTTTTCTTCTTGTCATCTCTTTCTTTGTGGATATGGGTTTGGGCCCCCCTTGAACAGTTGTCCGCTCCCGTAGTTATATAAAGCGTGTTTCCTGTTGTCGCAAAGCCGGTCACGCCACTCCATATACAAGAACGAGTATTCTTTCACCCTTTTTTTTTCCTCACGGTCGTTTACTGTCTCTTTGTGATACCCCCATACAGCCCATACACAATGGCCGCTCCTCAAGAACACGTCCCCGTCACGACGCAGCCGGCGCCTACTCCAGCCCCGGCTGCCGCCCAACCTGCCAACAACGGACCTGTTGACCAAGCCGACCTCGACGACTGGAAGAACCGCTTCAACCATGTCCTCTCCCGCTCTGGAGAAGTCGTCAACTCCAAGTCCCCGGAGAGCGCGCAGTCCTGGACCGCCGGCTTCTTCGACTGCTTCAACCCCATTGACACATGCTTAATCACCTACTGCCTGCCATGCGTCACCTTTGGCAAGACGCACCACCGCGTCCGCAAGAATGGTAACCTGGATGGATACGAGCCCATCAACACCTCTGTACGTCGTTGAACAACAAAACAGGTGAGAAACACGTGTCGATACACGACTAACAGTCTGGCAAACAGTGCCTCCTCTTCTGCGGCGCTGGCTGCTTTGGTCTTCACTGGATCCCCATGGCCATGCAGCGCATGAACATCCGCGAAAAGTACAACTTGAAGGGCTCGTGCCTCGAGGACATCCTCACCTCGTGCTGCTGCCACTGCTGCAGCTTGATCCAGCAGGACAAGGAGGCCGAGCACCGCGAGCAGCAGCTCCTGAGCGCCGGTGTACAGCAGCAGTACCAGCCCAACAACGAGATGCAGTATCCCCCCAAGACAGGTTAAAGAAGACGCTCATTTACTAAGGAGGGGTCATGGGCCTTTGGTTTGAACAATGAACAACATTCGAATTGATACCTGGAGTGGACGGACGAATGGGACTTGGTTCCAGGGATAATAGGTTGGTGGTTGGTTTATTATGCACAGTAGTCGTGCAGTTGATACCTCTGTCATTTTTGCAGCTATTCTAATTCTACTTGTCCATGTCTTGTATGTTGTGCATTCATTCTGTCATCTGCTTTGACTGACGACCGCATTTAAAGTTTCACCACTGTAGATGTAGCATTGCAGATTGCGCCAAAGTCGTCCTTCCCAACATGCGATGCTTCACTCAGACACCCGCTCTGAGACATCACGGCGGGATGAACCATCAGAAATAAGTCCGCCTCGCAGGGCTGTGTCCTAGACATTGTTGGGAGCGGCATTCTTTAAAATCTGCTCCATCAAACACCAGACTCCAAAGCAACTTTTGACAGGGTGAGATGATGTCCCCCAAGAAGAAAACTATCTGGTCAGTCGTACGATGCAGCTTGGTTGTCAACACCAAGTCCCTGGATCCGGCAACAGCTCACCTTTTATGCAACCGCTCCCCCTCTCATAAACTCGCCACTTTACATAGTACACAAGCAGCTGAGTTCTTTCACATGGACAATCTCATCAGAGGACAGAGCAAGCTCCCCCCGACTCTACTGATGCTCAACCTACACCACAGGCTATTAGTACCCTGCTATCGGCTCCCCTTGTCTTTTGAAAGGTCTTGTTGCTCCGGCCGCAGACACGGCCTTGTTTATATTTCCAACGCAACTACTAGCAAATGTACTTGATATACAGGTATTAAATTCTCTATCTAGTCAAATCTACTCACTAACGGAAAACGACAGCCCAACATGCGGCACCTGAAGCGAAACTGATTACACCATTATTATGCCGCGACCCTCCACTACATTGGTAATCGTAGTAGTATATCTTACGCCATGAGAGCGGCGAATCCAGCAAGAGCTATAGCAGCAACGCTGATGGTCTTGATATCAGCACCAGACGTCTGGGAAGTACTGCGAGCCGAGGCACTGGTTCCTGACTTGGTAGCACTTCCTGCACCCCCGTTGCCTCCTTTACTGCCGCTGGATCCGTTGGCTCCGTTGGCTCCGTTGGCTCCGTTGGCTCCGGGCTTGGCGGTGACGGAAGCGCTGGTCGTCGAGGCAGCAGTGCTTGCCTTGGTGGCGGCGGCCCCCGCGCCTCCGTTGTTTCCCAGGCTGCCGTCAGCGCCGTTGGCTCCGGCCTTGGGGGTGACGGAAGTGCTGGTGGCAGCAGAGGTGGCCGTGCCTGTCATGGCAGCACCGCCTTGACCGCCGCTGGCTCCGGGAGCTCCAGGGGTGCCATTGCCTCCAGCGCTGCCGGGAGCTCCGGGAGTGCCATTGCCTCCAGCGCTGCCGGGAGCTCCCGGCTGGCCGTCGGCTCTCTTGGCCATGGCGGCGTCACAGTCAGGGCCGTTGCAGCGAGGTGCTTCGACGTAGTCTGTAAGATATTAACAACATGATTAAGATCCGTTGATCAAGAGTTACTTGCTCGCAATAGAAGGGGTACGGCCAGAGACGTGGCTGCCGCCCTGGGCAATGGCGGAGACGACGAGCGCTCCAGTAGCGAGAATAGGAGAGACCTTCATTTTGAAAAAAAGAGATACAAGGTAATAAAACAATGTAGCGAATAGCAAGATGGGATAGATTCAACGGCGCTCTTGTAGAACTAACGAATTTGTACTAGTTGACTGGAGCGAGTGTAGTAGAGAGCGTATCAACAAACTTGCAAACCAAATAGGCGCCGAGCTGCCCCATTATATCTAGAATTTTGTAGAAACCACAACAACGGCAGTAGCGAGCTGATAGGATCGGAGTCCGAATCCACGACTCGGCAAATACGAGCTGCAATATTGCCATTGTCGCACGATATTGTAGCGTTAGTAACTGGCAGTTGCCTGAATAGTTGGTTGCCCGGCTATATTGACATTATTCCTTACTAGGGTCATGGGATTTGCCCGGCTATATTGATATTATTCCTTACTAGGGTCGTGGGATTTGCCCGGCGCCCAAGTATCCATTGGCGTGGAGTTGGCTTTGTCTTTTTTTTTTTTTTTTTTTTTTTTTTCCCCGTAAGGTCCTTGACTGCTCCATACACAAGGCAGACTTGACTGTGTTTCCCATTGAGTTTCAGCCTTGTGCTTCTTGTGCATAAAGTAAAGAAAAATAAGGCGTCCGTACAAGAAAAGCCCGTTGTGATGGGACTTGTGGGATTGTGTCATCTACATGAAGACTTTGATTGCCGCTCGCTCATTGGCGTCGAGTTTTGGCCGATCCCCCTTACATGTCGTATGGGCCAGTTGTATTGCTGGTGACGGATTTGCTCTACGCGACTTGCTTTGCGCAGGGCGATGCCCCGTGCCACCTGTCCTGTTGCTACATGGCAGTGACCCCTTTATCAAAGAGCGGGCTTATGCGCAAGGACACATTATGATGCAGCACTGGACCAAGGAGCGGTCAGAGCCGTAGATGCAGCATCTAGGCCAGATTACATGTACATGAGGAGAAATGGAAGCGTATAAACTCGGCGGTGTGCGCTCTACGACATGCGTCTGGTACTTTGAAAATAAATGGCGAACGCAAATCTGCGTGTGGCATATGGTGGCAGTGTCTGATGAATCCGGAAAAGCATTCCAGCTTCTTATTATGACCACAGAACGAAAGCGTCGGTAGTCCCGACAGCCGGAATCGTACGATGCTGTTGGAGAACGGCCCCACTTTAAGACTAAAATAGCTCGAGTCAGACCTTCTTCGGAAGCTCTTACTTTCCTTGGGAACAATCGCTTTATCCAAGCCGCACTAGACCTCGTTCGTGCTCTTAGACCGTGACACCTGCACCCGAACAAGGCGAAAAATTCACTAATAGTACAGGGTGCATCTAGGCAAATTCACTATTAATACGCCCAGAGATCAAAAGAACCTAACGTTTAATCGGTACAAACAGCCTGGTTAGTTTTCCTGCTCTGAGCTCACGTTAGAGAGACCCCCCCAGTCCACTCGCGCCCATGGAATGTTCCAAGATCCGCGACGGTTGTTTAACAAGGATTTAGATAGCCAGCAGACTACACTCGGGCTAGATACCTACAGGTGTTGTGGTAGTGGCTTATGAATTCTCATGTTCTGCACAGCATCTGCATCGTTGGAGATATGGTTATTGAGGGGCCAAGTCAGCTGTGCTTTAATATCGGGCGTCTATTAGTGTTACACGCAAGAAAGACATGCATGCCAAGTCAGAAGGCAGAAGCTTCAAAGGGATTGTGTCTTGCGCCTGGTGGCTGTATCTATAGGTCAGGGAGCTTCTAAGCTGGCAGCACGAAATGCTTGACTTATTTTTCCGAGCGAGCAACCAACTTGTACGGAAAGGTTTCTGCGAGTGCACCGTCACTTGAACAAGGCTTCAGAGGTTACGACAAATGTAACACGCCACAGCTAGGTGAATGAGGTGAAGCAAGCAGATAGATTCTAGATTTATCCCTGTACATTGTTGCACAATGCTGGGGGCACCCTGGGTACGTCGTCTGCGTGGCCTCAAGGCTTTCCGTTTGCCCACCGACAAACATGAATACGCTCACCAGATGCCCTCTTATTTTGCTCCAAGCCATAGATGCGTAAATTGGAACCTTTTCAACAAGCTTTCCGGCAGTACGTCAATTCACTTCGAGATATTAACAACTAAGAATATAATTACTATTACATGAGGAAGTTACATAGTGTATATTGGCATCCAGGCCAATACAACATACCTGCTTGCAAAAGTTTGAGTGCACTACATGAGAGCAAGACCGTCCTTGTGCGGATTTGTAGCAGCCAACGCGCGGAACTCTGTACAAAAAGAATCTCATAACCGAATAGAGAAGCAATTCCCAAGATATTTCTCAATATTAGTCTATTTGGAGTAGAATCTATAATACACTATTATACACCACAGTGCACCATCGTACAAACCCCGTCTCTAGGCTGCAAACTCGACCTGCTCACCCGTTGGACTCATCGACTGCACCGCGTACCTCTCCATTTCCTCTAATCGCTGTGTCAACATGCCATCATACGGTGGCGCCTCCATCATGCCCATGACAAACGGCCCTTGCGCACCCCATGTACATCCATGCAAGTGGTCACGAATGGTAATTAAGAGGTCGTAAACATCTTTGTCCGCGTATAGTCCTGCGGAATTCATCTCCTGGAGTACGTCTAGCGCAGAGCTGGCATCGCCAAATCGATTCCAGTGCATGCGGGCGAGCCGGGTGTAGAATGGCGTAGACACGCCCAGCACGTAAGATGGTAGACCGAGATCTTTGACACGAGGCAGGATCTGGAACGCGTAGTCGGATGGTCGAGCGAATGCACAGTCGAAGAGGCCCATGGCTGTGTTGATAAAGTACGGGTATAGAGGGCCGTGGACGTCCATTACACGCTTTTCTTCGTCGGCAGCGGCCTGCGTTGCAGGCTTTCCGGCAGCTGCAGATTTCTCGGGGCCCTTGGCCTTTGTGTTCCTGGTCGATTCTTCTCTAGCCTTGGGCTCTGTGTTTCCGGCTGCTTCCCCTTTAGCCTTGCGCTTTGTTTTCTTGGCTGCTTCCGCTGTCTGCTTGCTGTCTGCGGTTCTCGTTGATTCCATTGTCTCCCCCCCGTCTGTGTTTGTAGCTGATTTCTTTGTATCCTTGACTTTTTTGTTTTTGGCCCTGACTGCTTTGCGCTGCCAAATGCCCAGCTTCGCTGGCAGTGAGAAAACTTCCTTCTCCATGACGGCCCACAGCTCACCGTCCGTCGTGCAAGCCTTCATCAAGCCATCAACCCTCTCGCGCTCCTCGACTCGCGCGCGTTCGTATCTTGCACGCTCTTCCCACTTGGCTTGATCTGCCTCTTCCAGCTCCACCATCTCACTGGCTGAAGAATCACTTGGCTCCAACTCATACAACCCTAGTGCGATTTGGGCAGCGTTTCTTAATGACGGCGGATATCGTCCAAGAAATTTCTCCCGAAACTCCATCACACGCGCCTGCTCAACTATGGACCGTGCCATGCCGGGTTTTGACTCTTGAGAATTTTCGCTCTGGATCTGCATGCCTTCCGATGGAGTGGGCCGGTTCTTGGCCACGGGCATTTTCCCTTGGGCAATGTCATCAAATATGCCCTTGAAAATCTCCGCTTCCGACGGCGTTATCGTCGATTGCTGGCCAGGCACATTCGCTATTTCTTCATAGGGTGTGTCATGGTCCCACTCGAAAGGGATAAAGTTGTCTCGTCTCCGGGACTTGGGCCTTGCAGGTGCGTGAGCAAGGCGGATGAACTGCGTCACGGGTTGTACGCAGATGGCTCTCTGCAGAGTCCTTGTTTGGTACAAGAATGGCAAAAGTGTCGATGACATGTTTGGTAGGTGCCATCAAGCTGAACTCAAACTTATCTCATATCGAATGGCAAGCTGATGATGAAAGTTGTCGTGGTTCCAGAAAAGGATGACAAAACGAATGGGCGGTTAATTCTCGGATATGCGGGCGTCGAGTCAGCGCGTGACTTCGCGCCGCCCATTAAAGCCGACGCGACGGCGAGGCGCGTTAATTGGCGACTAAATCAAGGGCGCCTCGGCAGAGACAAATGCACGATGCTAAGCTGAGAAATTGCTGAATTACAACTCATCGCAGGCCCAGTCGAATTTCGCGTCAAGGAAACAAATACGCGATTGCTCATTGCTTCAACTCTTCCACTCCGCCAAAATGCCCGTCAAGAAGGAACCGGGCGAAATGAGCGCCTTTGAGCGCAAGCGACTAGAAAATATCGCCGCCAACCGCGCCATCTTGACCGACATTTCCGTCACGGCGAAGAAGATTATTCCAGATAAACCGAAACCCGCCAAGTCTGCACCCCCAAAGCGCAAGAGCCGCGGGGACCAAATAAAACGCGAGCCAAGCCGTCCCACGCGCATGAGTTCACGCTTGGCCGGTCTCGAGGCAGACAATGAGACGCTGAAGCGCAAACTAGAAGTCGAGGCCGAGAATCAGGCCGAGGTTGCCAAAGCCAAGAAGCTGCGTGTTGTTGGCGACTTGAACTTGGGCGACATTGCGGTCGAGGGCAAGAAATGGAGCGCGGGACTGGACAGCCTGAAGGGTATTGTGCGCGGCGCGCAACCTGGCGTGAGGACATTTACCGAGGACGATATCCAAGAAACGACGGACAAGAGTCTAAAGGATCTGCGACAACGAATGGGAGGTCTCAAACTATATGAACATTGGCTTCCTAATGGTACGTTATCATCACCGCTTCTAACCCATCGCGCATCTCACCTAACGACGCAGACATCAAAATAACCCCTCAACGTGTATACGCACTCGGATTCCACCCGACCGAGGACAAGCCCATAGTCTTTGCAGGCGACAAAGAAGGCAACATGGGCGTGTTTGACGGCTCACAAACACCCCCCGAAGTTGACGATGACGAAAATCCCACCTCCGATCCGGAAATATCAGCCTTCAAAACACACTCCCGAACAATAACATCGTTTGTATTTCCACCCACAGACGGCAACACTGTATACTCGTCCTCTTACGACTCTTCCATCCGCAAAATGGACCTCGAAAAGGGCACATCTATCCAGGTCTTCGCCCCCTCAGACATCGATACCGACATGCCCATCTCGGCACTGGACATGGCGCACTCGGAGCCAAACATACTCTACTTTTCAACATTAGACGGTGGTGTGGGGCGCTACGACGTTCGCGCCCCAGGAAGCGAAGAGATCTGGACTCTATCGGAACAAAAAATCGGTGGCTTCTCACTACATCCTCTCCAACCACATCTCATCGCGACCGCGTCGCTCGATAGAACCTTGAAGATATGGGACACCAGAAAAATCTCTGGCAAGGGAGACCTCCGCCACCCTGCTTTGCTGGGGGAACACGAGTCGCGGCTTTCTGTGTCTCATGCGTCGTGGAGCGCGGCAGGCCACATTGCCACTTCTTCCTACGATGACACCATCAAGATTTACGACTTTACCGAGGCGAGCAGCTGGAAGGCAGGACACGACATATCCGCCAACACAATGGAGCCGAAACACAAGATTCGCCATAACAACCAGACGGGCCGGTGGGTTACGATACTCAAGCCGCAGTGGCAGCGACGCCCGCACGACGGCATACAAAAGTTGGTCATGGCGAATATGAACCGCTTCGTGGACGTGTTCGCCTCGGATGGAAGCCAGTTGGCGCAGCTTGATGGCGAGGGGATCACGGCCGTGCCGGCAGTGGCGCATTTTCATCCGACTCTGGACTGGGTTGCTGGGGGCAATGGGAGTGGGAAGTTGTGCTTGTGGCAGTGAGTAGCGTACATGTCGGGTAGGCCTGTCTTTGATAATGAACATGATTATATCCCTGGTTCTCACTTGTGTTTTCTCTTAGATAGGAAGCGTCCTTAGGCACATGTTTTGGGCGGCTATATGCGCCTCCGGGTGCCGCCGAGTCTCAGTGTCCGGATGCCCTGAGAACATAATATTCATCGTAGTTGGATCACGCAGCCGCGAAATGATGGGAGGACATGATTGTTACCAAGTTGCGGGCTGATAGCTAATCCGCCTGGCATCCCAAGTCAATGCCATGTCGCCTCGGACACCTGCCAGGAGCGCATCGAGCAGTTTTTGAACGAGCCACATCCTCAACCACACATGATGCATGACTCGCCCATGGGATTGTGCTTTCTTCCGCCTTATCCGAGATGCTACAACAAAACGTACACTTCAAAACATTGACTTTGTCGCCAATTGGAATCGGATAGGGCTTGAGCTGCCGAAACGCGCCAGGTTGTTCTGGAACAAGCAACGTACTGGGAAACATACACCCGTGAATTTGGATTGCTCATTTGTAACTTTGTAAGTAGCAAGCGAAAGCAAGGCGCTTCACGACTTCACGAAGCCGTAACATCATCACTTGGTTGACTCTTTACTAACGGGGTGCGGCGCAAAGCTTGCTGCGAAGGATTCTTGTCGCCGATTTTGATCACGTTGGGCTGAAAACACAAACACGTTGATTGAACGGAGCTTTACCAAAAAGAGTCTCTCATGAGGGGAAAAATCAACCCTAAAATGGAGGAAGACGAAAAGTACGTCCCCAGATTGTTTCCCTTGTGGGCGTTGGCGCTCTCGCCTACTCCATAAAGTACGATGCATGACGAGCCACACTCCCTTTACTCCGGCGTTGTCTCATACTTTCTTTTTTTGCATTCCTCAGAGTCCCTAAAGCGGCCGTGAACTAGATTACTGCTACACCGAGCATGAACGCGAAGGGACCATGAGACGTCTCGAGGTTCTTGACGATCAAAGCTTCTTGAGGCCGGTCCGCTCCCTTTCGCAAGGTCACAGAGGAGCGGTGTTTAGCGTCATAGTTATGACGGGTCAACTGGTGCTTTTCCAGGGCCATAGTCATCGCGAAAGATACGCCCGTGGTTCAAGTATCAATGGCCTGCCCGGGCTCCTGACTGTGTAAAAATAATTCCGGCGCTGACGGACGGCATCTCAATTTACCTCGATTCATGGCGCCCAATTTTTGTGCAGCAGGCAATATACGGAGTACAGAATCTCCTACAACACGAGTAACCCCTGCCAAGTCAATCACTGACAGCACGCCATCCTCTCCCGCATCAGTTTCCCGCCACCATTCTCATGCCTGGAAAAGGGTAGAGCAGCGGAGGAATCCCAGCATACAAGTGAGTACATGGGAGCACACCTTTTTACAGACCACAAACATATCGCGTCATCTGTGACCGCCATGTCTCTGGTCACCGACGCTCCGAAAAGCAAACTGGTCCCTTGGGGACTCGCAACAAGAGCGTTTTTACATGTGGCTGGGTGGACGGCCCGCCTAGAAAGACGACTGCGAAAGTTGGACCACCTCGCGCTATTGTGAGATTATCGCCAAGTCCCGTGGTTGGTTATGTTGTAGCAGTTGTTTTAGTTCAGCCGCGGTGAGACATGTCATCGCAAGGGTAAAAGACGCAGGGTAGACGGAAGAGACGTGTCTGGAATAGCTTTACAAACTACCAGACTATTCTCCGCAAGCCAGAAATTTTCCGTGTCTTGTCTCCAGCTTTGCGACATTTCGGAACGGCAAGCCATGACCCTAGCGCTTCAGCCGTGTAGTAGTACTTTCCTTTGACACACGCATGCTTTTTATATTTTTGGCTTCCGTTACCCGCAGAAACTCTGAACGACGCGATGGGTAGTTTGGTTAGAATTTGGTTACCTTTGTGGCAATTCCTCAGCCCGGGGTCGGGAGGTCGCTTGGGGAGATAATTCCCTGTTCCAGCCTGATGGGGAACGAAACGACGCGCAAACGCGCGGGTGGCTTCTTGATGTATCCCTTCGGGCAGAGTGCTGAATGAGACACAGAGTCAGGTCATGTTTAACGGCAGTTTCAAGCATCTGTCTCAACACGATCAAGCGACGAGGCGGGATTGGGAATATTGACTCTCAGTTTCTGTTACCACTTCGATATCCCTTTGCTCCTCCAACCGTTTTAACCTACAGTCTCAGCCTTTTGGACGCCCTAAAAAGCCCGATGCCCTCACCGTTCTCTATAGAGGTCTCCTATTTCTGTTCAGCGATGCAATGACCTTCGGTTGAACTACCAGACCGTGAGCGAGATGGCTTCTGCTGGACTACCTCCGCCGCCCTCGGGAATTGATCTCTCCCAAGACAAACGGCCTTTGATTGTGGCGATTTCAGTGACAACCTGGATTCTGGCATTCACCACGGTGGCATGTCGAATTGTAGGACGACGCATGAGGGGGCTTCAATTATGGCTCGATGACTGGTTTATTGTTGCAGCTTTGGTACGCTCGCCCGCCCACAGGCCATGAGATTCAGAAGTGACAATGTGAGCGTCGCGTCTAACTTGTCACAGCCACCGTCATTGGGTCATGTTCTCGGCATGGCAGCATACGGTACGTCTCAACATGCCGTTTATATATATACGAAGCGCGGATCATTGCGACGTACCGCTACTAATACAAGGATAGCCGTCAGCCATGGACTCGGAAGACACGTTTGGGCGGCAAAGCGCGATTGTCTGTACGCCTGGGCGCTCGGACTGTTTGTCGCCGAAATCTGCTATACCCTCACATTAGTATTTGTCGAACTTTCCATCTTGTCATTTTTCTGGCGATCATTTTCTGTTCGCGACTCGATCCAATGGCCGATTCTCATTCTCGCATCCCTAGTGTGTATCTGGGGTGCGGCGGTAGTACGTGTGGATCGATGTACAATGCAGCGCAAATGAGTTCATCTTTGACATCGTGTTACAGCTTCTCGTTACATTTCTGCAGTGCCTTCCTACTCGCGCAATTTGGGAGCGTTTCGATCCCGCCAACTCCATGAGCGCCAACAACTACACCTGCGAAGTTGACCTCGTCAAGTTCTTTTACGCAAATGCAATTCCAACCATTGTGACCGACTTGGTAATGTTGATGCTCCCGGTGCCGTATGTATGGAGGCTTCAGCTGCCGCGCATTCAGAAAATTGCTCTGGGTTGTGTCTTTCTGGCTGGAGTATTGTGAGTCCAACCCAGCGGATGGGCCCTTGTTGGCATGTCTAACCCCGTTTGCCAGCGTCACCATTATTTCCATGATACGATTTTACCATCTTTTATCGCTGGATCTGGAAGACCCTGATATAACCTGGAACTTTGTCACAGTGGGTATCTGGTCTTTTGTCGAAGGCAACACTGCCATTGTCTGCGGTAAGTCGCACAATGGTCTCAAGAGGCTAGTTGGTTGCGTGCTAATAATTTCAGCCTGTCTACCTTTTCTTAGGCCCGTGATCAACAGAATCCCGTGTGGCAATCCATTCATTTTAGCCCCGGTTCCATTGAACATCGTTCAACAATCCGAAGATTCTGGCCGCGGCTTTAACCAGAAGAACGTATTCCCAACTTGGGGCTTTAATAAAAGTCACGCCGCTTCAACCGCCCCAGTGCAGTCTTTGCACCATGACGAACTCGATAACGATGAATACCCATTTGCTCACCTTGCAGACGATGTGTCTGAAACTGATACGCCAGCCAGACGCGATGATAGGGCGTTTGTCGATTTGGAAGCCGTTGTCGCAATCCCCTCGGCAAGATATATTCCCATGACAAGAGACGTTCGCCAACCGCATCAAGCAACTCCATGAGCAGAAGGAAAATCTGTGTGTTATGCCGCAAGAATTTGCGTCACGATGGTATAAGCGCAGTTTAAAAGGACCACACCAATCGTTGGGTTCACTGAGGCGGTCGAGCAATCAGCACGTCAGCCTCCCCTTGTAGACTTAGCTCGTCGTCTTCATGGGGAATCACCAGTGTGAACCCTTTGGATAGCGGCAAGGGATCAGAGTGCGAAGTGTTCGATAACAACTTGCCATCAAGAACGACTAGAATGGCAAATCCGCGCTTGGTTCTCGCTGAACCTTCTACATGGATTCTCTCAAGTCCAAAGTGCTTGGTGGACTCTGCAGCCAAAACGCTCTTTGCGACAACTCCCGACGTTACCCATTGCTCGACCTGAACGTAATCCACGGCTTTGAGAGCAGTGGGAAACTCAAGCCCCAGATGGCCGCCGTTTTTGCCATGAATAGCAAACCCGCCCCATTCGCACAGCACGGAAAGATCCTCTGGCCCCTGGATTTTAACAACTACGATGCCATTACTAATAGCGTGCAATGTACCCGGCGGAACGTGCAGCGTCTGACGCGGCAAAAGGCCAAACTTTTGCATACGATCCAGCGGGTTCGTTCCCCGACCCGTCTCGACAAGTTGCGGTAGCTCCCCGCTGTCAATCGATTCCTTTAATACAAGCCACACCGAGCCGGGTGTCAGGATATACCAGGCTTCCGCTTTGCCGTGATTTCGTCCAAGGTGTGCCTGGACCAATCGACATGAGGGTGAGCGTGGACAGGCAGTCTCTAGCCGGCATCCAACAGCTTCACCAGGAGTTTGGTACCAGCGCCATATTTCGCCAGATGCTCTGCGCTAAGCTATTTCTCTGGCTAAGAAGACACTGCATCTGTGAGCAGAGTCCCGTCCTGAAGCCGGCTGGCTGTAGCCAATACCGGCCGTGGCGAAGCAGCACGTCGTGGAAGATACCCAGTCTTCGGGCTGGTGAGAGGAGCAAGGGGGGTTGGAGCGAACCGCAGAAATCCGTGCTCCGCCTGCGTAGAAGCGTTTCTCAGGTTTATTCTCAGGGACGACGATGGGTGCCATGGCGGATCGTGAACGAAGTGCTGGTTATGTCGACAGGTTTGTATCTGAAGAACAGCGATTCTCGGAAGCACAAATTGCCAGCCTCTATCTAAAGAAGCCCAAGGCATGAATGCTGCGTGAGACGGTAGATTTATAATGCGAACACTTTTATATATATCTACTCCAAGGTGCAGGTTGTGCTGATCGCGGCCGTGGCGGATTTGGTCTGTGGGCAAGGTGATACAGCGGCAATCATCTGTCATCCTACAAGACCGCTGATGGGCCTTGACTTTTAGTGAGCCATTGACGGTACTTGCATGGACAGATGTTCCAACAGTGGGAGAGACTATTGGTGGCGTAGTTGAAGGATGACGAGTGGCTTGCGATTCACAAAACAAACGATGCACTGGAAATGCTTGTCAAGGGCCGAGGAGAGAATGATGGATGCCTTAGATAGTAATGTCTGGCATGACTATGTACGTGGCGGGCGTGTCTTGCCCTCTGGCACAAGCGAAACAAAGGCACCAGACGCTCGACGCTTCGCATCACTGCGTCGGCTCGTCGCTCTTGAAGGGATGCTGCATCTCCATGCCGGCAGACGCATACCCGCACTTGCGGTAGAAGCCGCTCTTTGCAGCATCGCAGTTGAGAAGGCTCTTGGTGCATCCGACATTCCTGGCCACCGAGTCGAGGGCATTGATCATCTTGAGCCCAAGGCCCTTGGCCTGGTAGGCCTTGGCGATGCAGATTTCCTCGACGTGGCCTACGCTTGCGCGGTTCCAGATGCTACTCGTGTCAGGGACGTGCGTGATACGCCGGGGATAATTGCGTGAACGTACAACTTCTTTTCGACGACGACGGCTCCCGTGCCGACGATGCGCCCGGCGTGCTCTATGACGACATAGTAGTAGGGTCCCTTGCCGTGCGTGTCCATCTCGTCGTAGCGCTCGTTGAACTCGTGCTCCGTCTGGTCCCCCGTCCAGGTGAGATCGTGGAGGCATGCGAGGAAGCCCTTGGCGTAGTCTCCCTTTTCGAGGGGCCGGATGGTGAAGCCTTCTGGGAGGGAGGAGGCGACCTCTGGTGAGATGAGGGAGGCGGGGAAGAGGGGCATGGTTTCGACGGGTTGGGACTGGACTGATGGGCGAGGTGGTTTATGGTGCTGAGCGGCGAGGGAATGGGCTTTTGGCCCTGTTTGGCGGTCTTGTATACTCGAGGGAGATGAGAGGAGTCGGGCGAGATGGAGGTGGCTCAGCCGGAGGGGGTTATTGACTTATTGTGCGCCCATGTGCCCCCACAGAAAGAACTTGGAGAAGTGATTCACGGCCGAGCCGTCTCGGATGGCGAGAAGGACGAGGGCAAATAAATTGGCGAGAAAGCGGCGTAAATGTTGAATCCCTCTCATGAGAATACATTCTGTCCCAGCAGCCAACAACAGTTGGTGTTGACTCGGCGGCCATCTCGGCACCTGCCCCAGCAAAACCGCCGGTTTGACCGGCTTCATCCGGGCGACGGAGCCAACAGCCTCCGAAAGGTTCAGGTCCCGCGGTGTGTATCAAGGCAATGCTAGGTGCCTCAGCCGTTGTTGCAGGCAATTGGAGTACTACCAGACCTTATTGAGGCCCAAACCAGCAAACGACGCAAACGACGTGCACAACGTGCGTGCGCCGGCTCACGAATTCGCAGCCATTCGTGCTGGCAGTGCGTGCTTGACATCACCGCTTGCGTTCACCAGCCAGCAACGCGCGTAGCCTGCTTCAATGTTCCTTTCTGGCACAAGTACCTGGTGCTGGTGAATGGCCATTGGCTCCAATATGGGTAGCTGAGCATGTGCCAATTCCCCGCGTGTCTTCTAGATTTCGGACGATGAATCAGTTGACCATATAAGCCGCCGTTTGTACACGCCCAATCCGCCCGCATCGCAACAAAACGCGCCCTCTCCCGCATATTCAACAAGCAGCAATCCCTTACCATTCATCTGCAGTCTCAGCCCATCAAAAATGACACACCACTCCTACGTCGGCTCCGGCCCCTACTGCTACGCCAACTCGTTCGCCATGGTCATGGGCGCCGAAGCCCCGTCCACCGCCGTCCTCGAATTCGCCACGTGCAGCCCCTTCGGCATGCAGGTCGTCGGCAAGGAGCTCGTCTTTTTCGACCCCTTTGGCTGGGACCCCACGCAGGCCTTTGACGACATGCTCACCGCCGCGGGGTGGACGTCCAAACTCACCATTGGCAAAGACGCAGACGACGCGCTTGCTTGTTTACAGCGGGAGCTCCGGCAGGGCCCCGTCTTCGCGGGACCCCTCGAGATGGGCTACCTTGGCTATCATCCGGGAAACAAGGGCCCCATGGGGGCAGACCACTACGTCGTCGTCTTGGGCATCGACGGCGACGGGCTGCGGCTGCGGCTGCACGACCCCCACGGCTTCCCGTACGCGTCCATCCCCGTGTCCGAGTTCCTGCGCGCCTGGAGGACGGACTCCCTCGGCTACGGGACGTCGTACACGATGCGCAGCGAGTTTCGCCGCGTGCGGGTGTTTACCGAGGAGGAGGTCATTCGGCGGTCTTTGCCGAATGCCCGCCGGTGGCTTGGCATGGGGGCCGTCGAGGCAGGCAGCATGCCGCCGGGGTCGTGTGGCAACGCGTCGGCCGTGGACCGCCTGGTCGACATTATCCAGACCAATTTCCACCCGGGCGTGAGGAATCCGCTTGTTTACTTTGCCGTAAGGGTGGGCGCGCGGCGTCTTGCCGACGGGGCTACGTGCCTGCGGAGGATTGGGTACGCGGATGCCGCGGGCGTCATGGCGAGACAGGCCCAGTTGGTTGGGGGGTTGCAGTATCCCTTGGTCGCGGGGGATACGGCGGGTGCCGTCGAGATATTGAGAGAGTTGGGCCCGACGTATGACGAGTTGAAGGCGGCGCTGGGGTGATGCCGTGACGTTGCTCCTGGTGTGGATGTCAAGATGCGGCATCGGCAGCATGGCAGACGACTGCTTCTTATACGGAATCTCTACAAGATCAAACACGGCTCTGTACGATTCTGTGTAGCTCTCGGAAAGAGCAAGTATTCTGAAATAAGCTCTTTCGCTTGAACGACGTAACAGCCCTTTGGCTGATTCTACCCCCCTTCACCACGGCTTTGCATCGCAAGGCGTGCCGTGAGCGTATTGTATTCGCGGCACGACTCCTCCAGGTGCTAATGCAGTACCCTGTTAAACAGGTATATGAAATGGTTTCTTTACAGGGCGCCCCAACCGCCCAAGACATAAGACGCCCGACATAGCCTCCCACAGTGCTCGCTAAATGGTTGTAAGTGGTAGGCGTCACACTATCCATGCAGTTAGTTTCAAACACACATGTAGAATAGAGCATCGCGGGCATGTTTCCCAACATTGAAACAACCTACCTTGCATTTGCCCGCTGTAATTTTTGGGATCCCCACGACCGGTTTTTTCACAGGCTTTTCCGCCCTTTCTACCTCGTCTTGGAACGCGGTACAGTGATCCTCCAACTTGATTCGAAGATCCTCATTCCCTGGAGGGTTACTCTCTAGTTCAGAGCAAGAATCTAGGAGCCCAGTAAGGCCCATTTCCCATATCCGCTCCGCGTATTCATCAGTACGCTGGAGCGCCTCGCAGCGTCTCTGAGACCACCGCCAAACGTGCGGATCACCACCGTTATACACGTCGACTCCTTTACAACCCCTGATAAGCTCGTCAATCTTGCCCTGTTTAAAGTCCCTCTGCAGGCTCTCCGTGAATTCATCTTTTGTAGGGGTGCAGAAGTGGCTCTTTCGCCCTTGAATCGTCTCGCTCTCCCGCCCTCCTTTTAATGCGCATATAATCGAGGCCTTGAGATCGTTTCCGTCAATGTCATCGCGCGAGGGGCCCCCAATGGCCTCCTGGATAGAAGCTATGGCGTCGTCGAACCAGCGGACCGCCGCGCCGATAGGGTTGTCCCATTGCTTGATGGCCTCGAGCAAGTCCCTCGCGAACGGCAGGATAAGAGTAAAAGCAGCCGCCTTGCCCACAGCCTTGGTCACCCGGACTTTGCTCGACTTGTAAATCGGACGCTTGCTGCTCACCTTGGACTTTGGCGGCTTGCCGTCGGGGTTGGAAGCGGTTGAAGGCTTCTTGGGGGGTTTTGGCCTGGTGAGACCGGTGGTTTCCTGGTGGCCGAGACGCGTCATGCAGCCCGCGTCTCTCTTGGTCGACTTGCCGGCGCATATGGAGCTGATCAAGTCGTCGAGGTTCTTCTCTACTGCCTTTGTCTTGAATGCTTTCCACGTGTCGTCCTGCCATGCTGGGGAGAGGCGAGGGAACCCGGCAAGCTGCGGTGCCGCGCCGGTGCCCCGTAGCTTTTGGAAACTACCCTTGTTGAACTTGGGGTTTTTCTTGAATCCCTTAAACTTGCCCTGTCGTAGCTTTTCTTGACTCTCCTTGCCGATTTTCGGGTCGGAAAAGTCGTCCTTGTAGGTGACTTCCCACCAGCCTTCGATCTGGTCATAAGGGATGAAGCCAATAGCCGCATGCTCTTTTTGCGCGGCGTAGGGAGAGTATTTTCCGAGAGACCTATTCACGTCCACCATTCGTTTATCCGTGTGAATCCGGTAGATGTAGCCCTTTTGCTCGGGTACATCATCGTTAACAGCAAATGTGAGTCCCACGCCGGGGTCAGCACTTGTCGAAACGTAGCGTGTAAATTCGGCCGTTTCCCCTGCCGCATGATGGAATAGGCTGCTACCTTCTTGTAGTTCAACGGCAGAAAGTGCAGCTCCCGCTCGTTGCTTCTGCACGCCTCGCGAATATAGGCCCCCGTCCTTCTCGACGTCTGCTGGGCTCCTCCCCGTCTCGCCGCGGTAGACATATTCCGGAAATTCATCATCAAAGTCGCCTGCTTGGCGACGATCAAGTGCTATCTCGGTCCTGCGCGTCGACTCTAGTTGGCTCTGGCAAAGCCCAAGAAGCAGTGCCAGAGTGGCTATCAAGGCCAACAGACTTGTCTTCATTGTGGAAGGATTCTGGGGGGGAATGATATTAAAACTGGGCACCAGTACCCCTGAGGAATGCGTGCCCAAGTATGGCAGCGGTTTGCTTTTGCAAAAGCCTGGGCAATGCAGATTGCATTCGCAGCATCACTTGCGCCAGGGTTAGTTATATATCATATTCAGTCAATTTCTCACCGGAACATGTACTGTCATGGTATTCATTTAGAGTCAGGCCCTCGAGTCTCGGCTGCCAATATCCCCATGCCACAATTCACTTGGTCTGCAATGCGAGACGGATATGCCGAGGAGATATCATCCTAGCAGACCCTAACCCATGAACTTCCCCTGAATCCACTCCACTCCACTCCATATGTGTGACAAGGGCTCAATAGAGGGCATGAAGTCAATAGATCAATTCATCTGATAACAGTCTTTGGAATCAAAGGTCCTTGGTTTTCCGTAAGGCCTCGTTGACCAAAGACCTCCTTAAATACAAGAAGTCAGTGAGGGACTTTGCCCTAGGTCTCGTGACCGTAGCCCTCGTGTAACAGGCCATTTCCGTGTAACAATATGTGCCCAAAGCACGGCATTGTGTACCGTAAAAGTAATCTATTTGCTACCTTTGGCCTATAGCGAACACGAGAGATTGAGCAAGGATTTGCGAGGCTTGTGATTAAATAGTCGGAGATAATGCCGGATTTACGGAGGTGAGCCAACGTCTCCCACCGGAGCAGCGCCCAGTATATACATGGATCTTGATATCAGTGAAATTTTCTGAATCGTAGAGTCGTACGCGGACAGGCATGGCTGAAGCTCTAAAAATAGTCAATGGACCTCCTCTCACAGCTGAAGCTAATTAACAGGGGCGAGTACACGGCAATTGTTTGAGCGGTACGTACTGCGCGAGCAAGCAGAGCTAGGTCTTCAGTTGACGATATTTCAGGGGTTGTATTGGATATGCTATTGCAAGCGATACCGGGTGGCATCTGGTCGCACGATACTTTATAAGCGTCATCTACATCATGTTGCACTCTTAGCTAGTAACGATATACGCACTTTATAGAGAGACATGAAGTGATATCATTACCACATACCAGCTCTGAATGGATAGTTCTAGTTAATGCGCTTATATAAACAGCATCTTATATTTTACCTAGTCCCAATTAACTCCTTACTTTTTATCTCGATAGTATTCCAATCACCCTATGCGCATGCCTGTATAGTTGCTGCGATGACTTGAGCAAAGCGGAATAACTTGCATGGCTAATAAGTAAACCGAGAGGTGATGGCCTAGAATGCATCCAACGCCTAGTAATACAAGACAACCGGCCAAATACTAGTGATGAAGCGCACTACGTGTAAGAGTCATGTCTGCCTCGCAATTTCCTTACCACCGAATCTCTTTTGCCAAGTTTTTTTTTAGCATTGGCTATTCCCACGGGGATTTGGGTAGATAATATCAAAATTTGTTAAGCTAGTGATGTCTTTTCAGCTTGGAATGGGTGGCTTTGGCGTTGAATGGCATGTCATGCCGTGTCAGGGGAAGCATTCGCATGAATCTAGTATGTCTGGTCTTCATCATCGGTAATAGTCAAATCAAGCCACCTACTCGCGTCATATCCCACTTTTTCGAAGCAGACTGGACGGCAGTGCCATTCAAGCCTTGCATCTGGTAAGCTAATCTGGTTTTATGGGGGACTTCTTCGAGGACGGTAAACAGGCTCTTCGAAAGTTCCACGTGCAGAGTGGGTGCATTCAATGTTATTACTATAAAGTATTTGATGTAATATAGGTGCGTGGATGTCCTGTGAGCGGCCCTCCGTGGGGCGCTCTTAAAGCCGACTGGCATCATTTCCCAATAATGGATGCCTGGCCCTGACTCAGCTCAATGGAGAGAGTAGTTCGCATAGATATGCCTGGACATGTTATGCCGAGGGCGATTGGCAAAGATCAGATGTGTCCCAATGACATTCATGTTCTGTGTTGTGGCCTGCATACTGTCTAAACCACTCTATTTATTCAACACCTACTTTATATGCTGCACGCTTTTCATCTCAACCAACTCCACTTCATCGTCCTGTCGTTACGGAACAATTTTGATCATGAAATACTTTACTATCCTCGCCGTCCTGTCTGTCCTGGCCACTTCCAACGCCGTCCTTCGCCGCCAGGAGGCCGAACTAGCTCCGGATAGCGTGGCAAACTCCGAACAAGTTACTGCATGTAAAAAGCCTAGCCTCGAATTGCAACGAGCCTGGCAACAAAACGGCTGCGAAGGAACAAACGATGGAGGCCAAGACGGTAGTACGGCCTCAGAAAGCCACTCTCCAGCTTGCGACAAGGCAATGGTCGATTTTGTACAGGCCTGGGCCGACAATAACTGCGAGGAGGCGCTTAATGCCGCCATCAACAATCTATCCACCCCAGCAGGCCGCTCAGATTCAAGTACTCCTACCTCTGAAATTATTAATTAAGTGGCCGAGATGAGTTTGGTCAGTCACTGTGTCAAGGTGGGCATTTATGCAATATAGCCGCTGAAGCTGCGGACGGATATGCTGGCGTGACTTGATGAAATCAATTTCATTGACCATGGCAAGCATTAGTTATATTAATGCGTATACTTATGGTAAAGGAGACTGGGGAGTCGCTAATCGCATTCAACTTTCAACGAGAGGGCTACCATTCTATGAATGAAATGATGTCTTTTTAAGATCCGGGAATTGTGATTATGGTACTGAAGCAGCTTAACTACTGTAAAATAGACGACATGAAGGGATTCAATCTTATCACCTACTACGATACATTTGCATGATAGGGCGCCACACCTTAGAACAAGATTAATCAGTAATACGACTGGTCTTCAGCATCTCATCGCCAAAGTGTGACATACAGATGGGAGAAAATTAGACATAATAGCACAGAACGGCTCCATATTTTAGATAC